GTCTCAAAATTATAAGTAGAATTAGGGTATAGAATTCCAAGTTTCTGTCTAAGTTGCTGTTCCACATTGCTTCTTTAGTGAACTACTATTTAATGTAACCCCATGAGGTAACATAAAAATGAACCTAAGATTTCATCCTTGTGATTGACATATTGTTTTCTATCTGTATTTATCTGCTCTACAATTCTATGATGACATAATTACTTAGAAAAGGTCTGTTTTGTTCACAGTTTCTAGTTCAAGATCAGTTGGCCTCCTTCCTGGGGCTTCTGTGAGGACACTGGTTGCAGTGGCAGGGAGTGGGGACTAAGCCACACTCTGACCTGGTGAGCCAGGAAGAAGGGGACTAAGAGACTAGGGTCCCACAGTTTCTTTCAAGACCTCTACCAGTAGCCTGAGAACTTACCCCTTAGCTCCGCCACTCAGCATTTTCACATTGCCCAATAGCACTTTAGCACAGGGTTTGGGAAGATATTCACTGTCCAAGCTTTAGGACTATCTAATTGATCTGTCATACCTACTTGTTGCTGAAAGTTACGTGACCCAGCTTGATTGTATTAGACCACTCTGATATTATGAAATATTTAAAGATGGAATACGGACTATATTCTTCTGTATTCATTTTTCAGTTTTAAGATGACTTACAGTAAGGTAGGAATTGACATTTACAAATGCAAATTGCCCTTAATATACTTCTCTGTGTAATAATGCTTGATGACTTACACTGTAAGTTCTAAGATTAAATGTCTTGGATCAAGTCTCTGCTTCTCTTCCCGCTTGCTGTGTTCTCTGGGAAAGTCACTTAAACTTGTACTTGAATTTTCTTAATTTGTGAAAATAGTTGATTTCAGGTGCTATTGTGAGGTGATCATGCACAATGATTTTCATGTAGTAAATGTTCCACATAGCTCAGTTGGGTTGATAATGAACTTAATTGTCTCTAAATTCCCCTTTTGTCCCTCCCTAATCACACACCCAGTCATAGCAACAATGAAGTCATTTAGGCAGTGAACTCCAGGCTTAATTTGAAATGGATATCTAGTACAATAAGTAAAATACTTTGCTAGCTATGATATTTGTGGTTGGTGCTCATGCGTGCATGCGTGAATGTGTGTGTGTGTGTGTGTGTGTGTGTGTATTCTTATGTGGATGTGTGCGTACTGAATGTGTACCATTAGACACTTAATGTTGATGTTGGCTGTCTTCCCCTATCACTCTCCACTTTATTTATTAAGGTAAGGCCTTTCGAAGAACCCAGAGCTCCCTGATTGACTTAGTCTAGATAGCCACCTTGCCCCAGGGACCCTGTCTCTGCATTCTGAGTGCCAGGATTATAGACAGCCACCCACTGCGTGTCTCCAGCCTCTGCATGGGTTGGGAGAGCCAATCTCTGATCCTCACACTTACCCTACAGTGTTTTATCCTGGACCCATCTCCCCAGTCCTCCTGATCTTTTATTCCATTCATGAATCCTCCTGGGCTGTGAATGTAGATCAGCAGTAGACTGAGTGATCTTTGTAGCATGTATTCAAGACCTTACATTCCATACTCGGCAATACCAAAAAGTTAAGATTTTATTAGCTCTCATTTTTCTTTCTGTTTATCTATATTATATATAGTACTTCCTTATTATTCCTCATTCATTTCTACTTTCATTATATTTGTGTAATTCTTCACTTTTTTTTCCTGCTGCATACGCATAGGATCTTTGAGAGAATCTTGCATGTTTTAGCTTTGCTTTCTGCAACTCCTCTTTTGGATGAGGAAAGCCAGGCAAACTGTACAGGAAGTATCTGGCAGGTACTGGTCCTCAAGTAAACTAATTGATTTGCTTCAGAAGCCAAGGGACTAGTTAGGTAGTCGTCCTAGTTATTGATAGGCAAACAGCAGAAAAGCTGAACGCAGAAGCGTATCTGAGTTAGGAAATCTGTATCCTTTTCAACAGAGTACACTGGAATTCAGAGTGACAAGGTAGAGTAACACTAAGGAAAACATTTAGCATTAGTCAGCTTTGTTCCATAAATAATTAGTATATCAGAGTATATGATAATAAATGAACATTTCTCCATTTAACATATATATTAACAAAATCATTCAGGATATAATCCTTTTGGTTTTAATTTGAATTTCAGATATTTTATGCCTTGTCTAGTTGTGAATATACACATAAGAGATGGCAATGTTTTATCAAGTAGATGATTGTTAGAAAGTTGGATTATTTTGTAGTAAGAATGTTCTTTATAAAACGTCAACATTAGGGAGCATGCATACACAGTCACTGGTATGAAAAGATATGGTATTTGTGTCTATGACTTGCTGTTTTTTGTTTAATGTGTTCTAGATTGATTTTGTGTGTGTGTGTGTGTGTGTGTGTGTGTGTGTGTGTGTGTGTGATTTTTTTGTCCTCTTTAAAGTAACAGTCTTAGCTGGTATAAGAAAGTCATTGAGTTAAGCAACATAAAGGGTATTATTTGATGAGTCCATGTGTGTTTTAGTCCTCTCGGCATTTCTGCACTCTAGACTGCATAGGTCTTATGTGCATTTGTGGATTAGGAAGTAGAGAAATAGAATGAATAATTCTTTGACGGTCATAGTGAGCATGATAGAGCTGGCATATGAGCTGACTTGGAAGCAGAAATCTTAATTCTCTTTGTACCTTAGATGTTCTTGTGGCACCTAAAGTAAATTAGCTAGCTAACCACTCTACCCACCCACACATTTCCTCTGGCAGACTGGGCTTACTATATTTTCAGTAGGGTAGAAACTCCTACATACTACCAGGGTCAGAACTGCTTGATCTAAATTGTATGCTTTTCCCATGCTGTATTTCATGATCACACACACACACACACACACACACACACACACACACACACACCATATCCATTCTTTAAAGTTTATTTAAGCTTTCTGTTAAAGCGCAGATACCTCCCTACCCACCCTCTGTCCATAGGGCCATGCTGGTGGGACCCTTTAAGGCTGGCTACATCTGCATCAGTACTAGCCAAAGGGAGAGGAATAAAATCAGGAACTCTGGGCAGGATAGCTTCTCAAGCCAAGTACACAGATGTGCTGAGGCATAGTGCTTACTGTTTGATAGATGGTGAGAGTCGTTCTGTCATGTCGGGATGTTGTGTTTATGACCCGTAGGTGACCGTATTAGGTGGTATAGCACTATCTGCAGCACAAGAGCAGAAGCTTTCTTGACTTTGATGCAGTTGACTTCTGGACTTCAAGGTGTTTTCTGTGATAAACTACTGATTGACACTCAAGGTAAAGAGGATTTTTCAAGGCCAGGAGACTACTTCTAAGCCTGCCTCAGTGAGGAGAGCTGCTTTTATATTCTTTGCTGCTAGTAGTCAGTTTTGTTTATTGTTAAATCTGTTTTTGTCTATTAAATTTTATATTCTTATAAAGCAGTTCTACATACTATTATATAACTTGTTAAAATCTGAATTGCAGAACAGATCTGTTTAAAAATAAAAATAAAAAATGTCTACTTTAAGAGGATTTCACAAAGCTAGTCTTTACAATTTCCCATCTTGTCCAGTGTGGTTAACATATTTACAGGCATGCACCACCACACTCAGCTAATAAGACTCTCAGTGCTACATTTGTGTCTCATTGCTAGGCTCTTTTAAAGTTCTGCAGGGACAAGGCTGATCTCAAATCTTATAGCTGGATAGTTATGGCTGTGTTTTACTCCTGAAAAACAACTCTGAGCTCCAGACAACAGACCTCAGCTCAAAGAACATGTCTTTGATTAATATTGAAAGAGCAGTGGGTGGAGGGATTTATAGCTCAGTGGTAGAACATTTGCTTTTCATGAATGAGGCCCTGAGGTTGATGCATAGCAAGAAAGGAAAAGTCTACAAAATAGAATTTAACTTATGGTGCATTTGCTTTTGCATTAAGCAGAACTTGGGCTGGAGTTTATTAAAAGTCACCAAATGTTTTAAACCTGTCTTTTTACTTTGTATTATTTATTAGCTACCAAAAATAGAGTGGCAGTGTGTTAAAATAATTGCATTCTCATTTCAGGTTAATGAAAGTATAATGCACACAGCAGTGCCTCACAGAAAATTCTGCAAATGTGTGTTTTGTGTTATGTTTTGATCTTTATTCGGTGTATCTAAGAGAATAGGACGAGGGATATAACCTAGTAGAACATGTACTTAACACGCACAAAAGCCAAGTTCATCCCAAGCACTGGGAAAAAGGGAAAGGAGGAAGTGAGGAGAAGACAAATGGAGACCATGGAGCCATGAAGGATATTTGGGTTGTATTCCGCTAGTTTCTGGTATACACAGATCTCATGTTAATTCTGTGCTTCACTTTCCTTGTCTGTTTAGTTTAAATGAGGAATCATAATATGTTCTTCCTGGTTTATGACAGCTAAATAAATTAATTTATATAACATTTACAATAATACCCAGTACAGAGAGAATATTAGTTAAAATGTACTTTTACATATACAAAGTCTCCCATCCATCCTAACTGAAAAGCATTGGAACATTGATTGTTATTCTCATGCTGCATCGAGCAGTGTGGTTATATAGTTAGTTCTTGATTATATTTTTAGTTTTAAAAATGACACTGTTAGATTGAAAAATGATAGTAAAAAGGATATTTTAAAGTGGTATTTGCCTGTTAAGGGAAAAATCAGTACTCTGAAGATCAACTACCATTTTTCTCTTGTTACTTTAAGAGGAATGAAAGAGTTCAGGTCAAAACATATTAATAAACCTTATATTATCTTGTTTTGTTTATTACTGATTTTTAATGCTTTATTTTTTTTCTAGAAGGAACAGTTTTCCTATTTATTTTAAAATTATAATCTATAAGATTTGTAATGATAAAAAAGGAAACTAAAGCCCTAATTACCTCAGCCTCATTAAGTGGCCTGGATTGAATATCAGGTCATCAGAATATTTATTATTTAGATAAAAGTTTCTTTCACAAGTACACCTGCTAAAACTCCTTAATGGGACCGATGGCAGCTTTGGTCGTCCAGGAGTGGAGTGTTATTGCCAACATGAGAGCGGAGCGGCGGTAATTCAACTCCAGTTCCTGATTAATGAGGTTAGTGACTTGTGTTTACTCCTCCTACTTAGAGCCGAAATTAGAGCACATCTAGTTTTTCTGATTGCTTGCATATACTCATATTTAAATATTTGAACCAAAATGTAATTTCTTGTGAGTCAGAGGCAGTCATAATTCATTTTAAGGTGCTACCACAGATAGTCACCCAGTATGTTTTCTTGGAATAATGTTGCAAGTACAATAGTGTGGGTAGATATTTTTGATACCTGATGGTGTGTTTTAGCTATTATTTCAAGGACTTTGAAAGTTACATAACATCAGAAAGTCGTCTATATTGAGATAGTGTTAAATACAGAGCTCATTATAGGTAAGAGAATGTATTTTAACAGAGTGCTTCAGAATATATCCAGGGAAAAGCTTCCATTCGAGAGCGTATTGTATTGCTTATTGGCTTTGTTTCTGAGAATGAAGTATGAAGGGAACTAGAGAAGATGCCATTTTACAACACAGGAAACTGCTCACAGGGAGACTGCTGAGAAAGGCTTACTTCCTTTAAATTTGAGGATAGTCTGTAGACATTCTTTTTGCCCCAAATGCTTCGGACCAATGGAATAAGTCACAAAATGTGCATGAAAGATGGGCCGGTAGGATGGCTCAGTGGGCAAAGGCATCTGAGTAAGTTTGGACATGTCACTAAATTGACCCTTTAGTCTACAGATTATTCATCCTTTTTACGGATCACTCTCTCTCTGAGCCTTTCTTGGAAATGGACTTGCAGAGGTTCTTGCTCTGAAAATTCTGACTTGTTGGAGTTTGGCAAGACTCAGTCACCTGTGTGGCTCTAGGGCCACTCACTTTCTTACCTATGAGTGATCGTATAAACTAACAGGATGTTTTAATGTGACCAATTAGTCAGAGTTTTCAATTGTTCAGAGCTGAATAGTGTCATTATTCTATTATTATAATCTGAATAAAGGACTCCCATTAGTGCTTGTTGTATGCAAATAAAATGAGGTCACTTTTATATTTTGTTTTTATTTAAAAAGTATCTATAATAATGACCAAATGATTTGGAGTCTGAGGTCTAATAATTTTGGAGATTTTAGCCCTCCCACCAGATCCTAGTATACTTTTGGATTATAAGGTGTTAAATTACTGAAGAAGTTAAAACATTAATTTGATATATATATATATATATATATATATATATATATGTGTGTGTGTGTGTGTGTGTGTGTGTGTGTATCACACATATATATCATACTCGTCGACATCTGCTGTTGAGAATTTGGGTGAGGCAAATACTCCTTAAAACTATATTCTATTGGCTAAATGTTTTCAAACTGAAACTGTTTTGGCAGCTTTTTGGAAACACTATTGTAAAATTGTTACATATAAAATACATTGTTGCATATAAAGCTTAATATAATTTAATTTATTTAAATTTTTTATTATTTTAATATAATTTTTTAATTTTATTTTTAATTTTATATTAATTAATTATTAAATATTTTATTAATTATAATTTATATAAATTAAAAATTAAAATAAAATATAAAATTATAAAATTAAAATTAAAAAATAAGATAAAAAAATAATTATTAAAATATAAAAAATAATTAAGCTTAAATTATTTTAAATAAATAATAAAAATTTAAAAATAAAATTATAAAAATAAAATATTAAAAATTAAAATATATATAAATCCTTCCAAAGAGAATTGTATACATTATCTTTTTTTTATAGCAATAGCTACAATATAGGCATAAAGGTGAAAAAAATCTCCTTGTAGCTCCTGTTTTCTTTATAATGAAGAAAGGACACTGTATACAGTCTTCTGTAACCTGTTTCACTTAACTGCATACCTAATAGTTGTCTTGTATCAGCACCTTCACATCTCTCCTGGTCATTTTCACTCTCATAGTGTATGAGAGGGTCATAATGTGTTCAGTAATCTTCATTGTGTCCATATAGCATTCTCAGTATTTGTAGCATTTTCAGACTATTGTTCCTATTGCTTCTTTGTGTTGTGCTGTTAGAATATATATATATATATATATATATATATATATATATATATATATACACACACACACACACACATACACATATACATACATATGTAAATATATCTAAAAGATAAATTTCTACACATAGAATAGTTGGTCTAAAAAATCTGTCATAAGATTTGTGAACTTTAGGCATTGACTGAAGATGTCTTCATCCCAATTTTATTAAACACTGTCCTCCAAATGTTTTTATATAACTATTAAGCTTTCATTATTATGCCTCATCTTTGATTCATATGGAACTTACTTTTGTATGAAATATGAGTTAGTATACAATCTCCACAGTTTATGAGACTGTTTCTAGGTGTGTGTGTGTGGTAGTAATAGTAATAGACGTAGTTGGCATTAAAGATAAAATCACTTCTTTTCTCCAAGGATTAGCCTATGTTACTGTTTTGATGAGGGTTGTGTTTGCCTGTCAGCTTGTATATACAGATCAGTCTTTGACTGTGGGTTTCTGCCCCCAATAGCCTTCCACACTAGGTCAAGGCAAGCCAAAGTGGCCTCTGAAAATACAGTATGTCATAGTGCCACCAATCTGAGGGCATAACTGCATTAAATGCAAGTGGGTGGGAAGACAGCGTAGACCTATCCAGAGCTCAGGAACTATTTTGTAGCATGAATCTTAAAAGTTCTTATTAGTAAGATCAAACCCAGACCAGGTATTGGGGTGAATTCTGGAAGATCAGAGAGACAGAACAAGCCACAGCTAACCTCACCCGGCCAACTTCTCAGCTGGTCTTGTTTCCTCAGACTGGAAGCTTCTGTGTCCTCATCCCAATGGCTCTCAGCTGAACTGCTGCTTGAAAGCCTGAAGCTTAACCATCTAAAAGCTTAACCTGCCAAATGCTTCTAGTTTCTGGTCCTCACGCCTTATATACCTTTCTGCTTTCTACCACCACTCCCTGGGATTAAAGGCGTGAGTCACCATGCTTGGCTGTATCCTTGAAACATGGATCTCTGCCTCTGGAATGCTAGGATTAAAAGCGTGTGCTACCACTGCCTATCCTCTATGTTTAATATTGTGGCTGTTCTGTCTCTGACCCCAGATAAGTTTATTAGGGTGCACACTATTTTGGGGAACACAATACCACCACACTATTTGTTGTTGTTTACATCCTGACTGGGAAGCTAAAACACAGAACTTACGTCAGTTCAGCCATGCTTGCTTCTGGAAGGGCAGAAGGGAAAGAGAAGTTAGTAGCAAAGTCCGTGGGGAAAGCAAAGAAGCAAAAAGTCAAGATTCGGCTGTTCTCTGTCTCTTGGGAATCAGTCTGAACTCTTGACTTCTGCACAGTTCTTTCATGTGTTTGCCAATGGGATCTCAGGGGCAGCTCTGTCCATCTCAGTGTCATGGCATGGGTGTCGATGGACATGTGGTCCTCGTACCTCCCCTCCCATCAGCGCGGTGCTATGGTGGAGCTGGAGATGTAGCAGGATGGCTGCCACACTCAGAATTTTGCCCCCAAGAGGGCATTTGGCAATGTCGAGAGACAACTTTCAGTGTTACAGGTAGGAGGAGGAGTCCTGCTGGCTTTTAATGGGTAAATGCCAGGGATTCTCCTCTCCCTGCTACAGTGCATAGATGATACCCACAACAAAGAACTGTGTGGTCCAAAATAGGAGCAGCATCAAAATTCAGAAACCCTGAATTGTAGCAGGTCAAAATGACGGCATTTGGTCAGTGTAGTGATGTAGAAGTTCTTGTAAACTGCTATTCATTAGAAAGAGCTTTCCAGGAGCAAGAATTCTAGCAGAAGGATGTGTCTGGTGCCTCAGATGTCAGTGACGTGCCCATGTTTTCAGCTGGGCAGGGGAGTGTGGCAGGACACTGTCCAGGCTCACAAGCATATTCAGGATGGGATACCTGTTAAATACTCTTAATGAAATAACTAAACATCAACGGATCCAATGTTAGGAATTGATGATAATCAAATATGGAGGTTGTCTGCGTACTAGTTTTTCTGTGGATAGTGTTCCAGTTTTGATATGGAGTCGTTGTGGTGCTTGTCCAGTCCAGTTCTAGAATGATACCCCACAGCTGTAGGCCCGGGTTTCTGATGTTATGGAAATTAGGAGGTGGGACCTAGTAGAAAGAAGAAGGTCATTAGGTGTGGAGTCTTCAATATATTTTCCTTCACCCCCTTCCTGTTGCTTGCTGTGCATCCTGTTCCACATGAAGTGAAGAATTTCCTCTGTCACATGCTTCTCCAGCCATCATGTCTACCCAGGCTCGTGGGGCCAGTCTACTGTGATCGGAACCTGTAAAACTGGGAGCCTCAATCAGTTTTCTTTCCTCCCTTAATTTGTTTTAATCAGGTGCTTTGGTCACAGCAATGAAAGTTAATGAATACAGAGCCTCCAAGGAATTGTGGTAGACACTGATGGGGAAATGGTAAGCCAGCCTAAGATGCATTGGCAGGTAAAGATCCCTTCGTGAGAAATGCACAACAGTGGCATTTTCAGTAAATGAAGCCTGGTGTTGGTTGTCTACCCCTCCCCCACCCTTGATTGGGCACCATTATGTAAGGCACCAGCTTGGCAGCTTGCAAAGTTGTATGCCATGGTTGTAAAATTGGCATATGAAGTGAACTGATGGAATTCCCAATTCTAGATCTGTAAGATGGTTTTGCACATAACTCACAGAGGCTAGTTAAGCCCATTCAAAGTTCAGATCCCCTGAAGTGTTTATGAGGGCAGCGGTAAACAAGAAATTGAGGCAGGACTGTTTCTTGAATACATCCTTTGGAATAGATTCCCTCTGATGGCTGTGAACAGTTGGAGTGATAGGACCCAGCTAGCAATGGCCCTCTGTCTTCATGTAGCTGCCAGGTGAGAGGTACTGGACAGGTGCCTAGTTTTCCTCAGCATGTGACTCTCGGCAGGGGGAGGTGGAAGAAAGGGTTTGCCTCAGCTGTGGGGCTTCCCAGGGCAACAGTGCCTGTTCCACCTGAAGGCTTTGGATTCAAAAACTCTATGGTGCTCTGAAGATTTCTATCAAAGGAGTTCCCCTGGCTGGGGAGAGGGAAAGGGGGCAAATCTGCAATGCTTTGCCCATCCATCCATGTTTGTAGGGATATAGTCTGCATTATGCTGTAGTAACAAATTCTCTCAAATCCTTGATGGCTTGCTTCAACAGCTTATTTAGCTACTCTGTATACCCTTTGTGGACTTGTTGGAAATACTATTCAATATTGCACTATTTACCCCAGAATCTCTGAGGAAGAGTCAATCTTTTAAATATTGCCAGTTACTGAAGCTAAAGGGAAGAGAACATGCTAAAACCATGACCCTTAAGAAAGATCCTCCACTGAAGTGATACTCATCTCTTGCACTCTTATTTCAAGAGCCAGAGCATATCATGTGGCTGTCCCTAACTTGAGTGATAGATCCAACAAAAGAGAAATCTGCAACAGTGGGTGATGATGACCACACTGCAGCAGTAGGAGGTGATGACCACACTGCAGCAGTGGGAGGTGGTGACCACACTGCAGCCATGGGTGATGGTGACCACACTGCAGCAGTGAGCCAGAGGGTGATGGTGACCATACTGCAGCAGTGGGAGTGATGATCACACTGCAGCAGTAGGTGATGATGACCACACTGTGGTAGTGGGAGGTAATGATCACACTGCAGCAATGGGAGGTGATGATCACACTGCAGCAGTGAGTGGTGATGACCACACTGCAGCAGTGGGAGGTGATGACCACACTGCAGCAGTGGGGGATGATGACCACACTGCAGCAGTGGGAGATGATGACCACACTGCAGCAGTGGGAGGTGGTGAGCACACTGCAGCAGTGGGAGATGATGACCACACTGCAGCAGTGGGAGGTGATGAGCACACTTCATTAGTGGGAGATGATGACCACACTGCAGCAGTGGGAGGTGATGAGCACACTGCAGCAGTGGGAGGTGGTGAGCACACTTCAGCAGTCGGAGGTGATGTCCACACTGCAGGAGTGGGAGGTGATGACCACACTGCAGGAGTGGGAGGTGATGACCACACTGCAGCAGTGGGAGGTAATGCAGGAGTGGGAGGTGGGAGGTAATGACCACACTGCAGCAGTGGGAGGTAATGCAGGAGTGGGATGTGATGTCCACACTGCAGCAGTGGGAGGTCATGTCCACACTGCAGCAGTGGGAGGTGATGATTACACTGCAACAGTGGGTAGTGATGACCACACTGCAGGAGTGGGAGGTGATGACCACACTGCAGGAGTGGGAGGTGATGATCACACTGCAGGAGTGGGAGGTGATGACCACACTGCAGGAGTGGGAGGTGATGATCACACTGCAGGAGTGGGAGGTGATGACCACACTGCAGGAGTGGGAGGTGATGACCACACTGCAGCAGTGGGAGGTGATGATCACACTGCAGGAGTGGGAGGTGATGACCACACTGCAGCAGTGGGAGGTGATGTCCACACTGCAGCAGTGGGAGGTGATGATCACACTGCAGGAGTGGGAGGTGATGACCACACTGCAGCAGTGGGAGGTGATGTCCACACTGCAGCAGTGGGAGGTGATGATCACACTGCAGGAGTGGGAGGTGATGACCACACTGCAGGAGTGGGAGGTGATGACCACACTGCAGGAGTGGGAGGTGATGATCACACTGCAGGAGTGGGAGGTGATGTCCACACTGCAGGAGTGGGAGGTAATGATCACATTGCAGGAGTGGGAGGTGATGACCACACTGCAGCAGTGGGAGGTGATGTCCACACTGCAGCAGTGGGAGGTAATGATCACATTGCAGGAGTGGGAGGTGATGACCACACTGCAGGAGTGGGAGGTGATGTCCACACTGCAGGAGTGGGAGGTAATGATCACATTGCAGGAGTGGGAGGTGATGTCCACACTGCAGGAGTGGGAGGTGATGTCCACACTGCTTACTTTTACAGTGGGCATCCAACTTCTGGGAACAGGAGTCTAGTTTGCTCTTTCTAGTTTAGATCTAAATTAACTTGGCTAAATTACTATTTCTCTTTTATGCCATTTGCATTTCTGCTTGTGAAACTAAGGAAGGTAGGAAAACCATGAAAAATGCACTAAATGCTATTTGTAAGATTCTGGAGAATTGTTGCCCTAAGCCTGCATGTCTTGTGCATTGTTTTGTCTTAAGTAGTAGTTAGATTATATTTTAGCGAAAATTTCTGTACATATAATAGAAATTCTATATAGTAATTAAAATTATTTTTCATAATATACAATTTTAGTTAGTTTAGTTTTTTGAATTGTAGTAAATTATAGTATATAAAATTACCACTTCTTAAGAAATTTAACTTACAGTTAATGTTAAGCATATAGTTATGTGAAAATCCATAATGTGAATATCTCTTAATAGGTTGTGCTTTGGTGGTGTTTAAGAAAAAATAAAACAGTTGAGTGTCAAGTCTACAGACTTGAGAAAATTACTTCGCAGTTTTGTGTGATGATTTTCTAATTTACAGAAAAATTTTCTCTATGCCTTGTAGTCCTTACTGTTTTATTTCTCTTAAATGCTGAAATGCTGAAGTTTTTTTTTTTTTTCCTAATTCCCCATTTACTCTGAGGATAGGTGTAGAATATGTATCTTAGTCCTGACTGCTGATATTTGGCATAATAAACAAGAATGATGTGGGCCTTACTTTTAGGATATTGGTCAAAGCTAAGAAGACTAGTTAAACTGCCCAGATGCCCAATTAAATGCCATTTATTCATACTGAGTGAGTAAATATGCATTTCAGTTTCCATAGAATGGTTTTCGATTTTGTGTAAGAAAAACCTTAGGAATGTCCTGGTTGAGCAGCCACCTGATTATCCACAGGCAACTGAAACACCAGAGCTGCATTTCCCTACCATTCCTGTACCTTGTGGATGGGCAGGTGGCTGTCTTCTCCCTGTCTTCCATTGTTTCCTCATGTGCTGGGCCCTAGTTTCTTCTGAGAACACCAGCCACACTGGGCTAGGGCTGATACAATGACTTCATCTTGGTCACATCTTCCAAATATAGTCACATTCTTCTCTGCTGTGGGACAGGGATGGCTAGGACTTCAACATGTGATGGAGGCTGGTTGATCATAAAAGGAAGTGGTTTGCAGCCAACCAGAGTACAGGGTAGAAGTGAAGACTAAAAAGAAAAAGTATACATATTTTCAGAAGTCACAGAAAAAACTCAATTTAATTTTTTCTATAATTAGTATGCAGCTTCTTATGCGATCACTAGGTTCAGAGCCCTTTAGAGATTAATCTGCCATGTACTTTTTACCACAGGAATTCATTTGCCAGTGGTGTGAACCATAGCATTGAAAGGAATTGGTAAAGTGGTATGTATTAGGGAGTACTTTAGTGTGGTCTTTACTGCTCTGACCCCTGTTACAGATTGAACTGTGTCTCCCAAAATAATGTTCAAGTTCTAATCCCTAAATGTGACCTTATTTAAAAGTAGGGTCTTTCCAGTGAAACTAAGTTAATGTGGCCAGCACTTACCTGACTGGTATCCTTATAAGAGAAAAAAGAACACACACACACACACACACACACACACACACACACACACACACACCAGGGAGGGAAGGGAGAATGAATATCATGGAATGACATTTGAGATGATAACAGATTGGAGTAAAGAATCTTTAATTCAGGGAATAAAGGATAGCTGACAATACCAGAAGCTAAAAGAGAGGGGTCGGGGGTGAGGGTGCAGAACCTGCTCCGGAGCCCTCAGAACCCTTTTGACATCTGGGTGTCTGTCCTGTACTTTCAGAAGTGCAAGAGAAGGAATTCTGCTTGTGCTAATTTACCATGTTAGTCCTTGACACTAACATGCTTCTCTTGTTCTTCCTTGGGATTGGTAACCTTGTCATGCACCATTGAGTTTATTCATGCAGAGGAGAAGTCCTTGGCTTTGACAGAAACTGAGAATTTGATAAGCGAAATTCTATTTGGCACTTGCAGAAAATGTTCCGCTTGGCTTCCACTTTGATATTCTTCCCTTTGAAGGACATTTAATTAGGAAGAAGTCATGGATTAATAAGCAGATCCAGCCGCCTCCTCCTCCTCCTCCTCCTCCTAACTCATCACTATGAATTAGAATGAGCATTATTCTCAACAGTGCTGTTTTTTCCATGAGTTTTGAAATAACAATATAAAAAAATTAAATTAAAATTTAAATATATAGACTCTCTACTCAGGGATAAAGTTGTCTAATGCTTACCTTGATCATATAGTTCTTATTGTTTATGAAACTCTTCCATATAAATGTTATTTATTCTCAGGAAATCAAGAAAATATTCTTCACTGAAATGTTATAGGGAGGACTTTTCCTCCTCAAATGTCCTAATAGTTGCAAGATGATACTGAAATATATTTCTAAAGATGCGTTTTTATATGTCTGTTTTATTTAATTATAGGTGCATATTTTTAATTTAAAGAGTAATTATGCATTCTAAATTAAATTATCTAATACATTAGTTCTCATACTCAGAATTTAGTTTGCTTTAACTATCGTGGAAGAATCATGGATATTTAATAAAAATCTCACAAGAAAAGGACTGTTTGGCATTTGGAGTGACTCACTCTATAGCAGCCCAGCAGTGGAGAGTGAGCACTCCTGGTGTGCGGCAGACACTGGCTGTTCGCCACGCGTCACTTTCTGAGTGGCATAAATAAATCAACATAGCAACAAAAGCTCCGTGACCATGCTGTACCTTTATTTCCTGTAATACTAACCAAACATTGTGTTTTGCTGATTTACATAGCTTATACTTTTCTCAGCAGGCCCATGGACATCAAACAACTAAGAGCTAGAAAAGTACCATTGGCCAAAAGCCAACCTATAACTGTCTTACAAAGATTTTGAATTAAGTTACTGCACAGATTAAACAAGAAGAAAAGTAATTCAATATTGAACTAAAAAATCTACAATTACAACCTCTCTTGTAATTGTACAATATTATCAAAATGCTTTCCAGCCTTTTTTTTTTTTTTTAGAAGCACATGGTCTCATGTAGCTCAGGCTGACGTTGAAGTCCCTGATCCAAGTGATGGATTACAGGTGTGTACTACCTCACTCCAGATAAAATACTTTTCTTTGAAAGAAGCTTAGTGAAGGGTACAAGCCTTAGGAATGAAAATTTTGGTTGGGTGAAATTCAGGGCTGGAGAATGACATTTGAGATCTTGGCCAGCACTGTTCAGAAGAGATGGATGCAGTTTATCACTCTGGACCTAACCCTGATCCACAAGAAGATGGATTATTGGTGCAGACAGAACAAGTCATTTTAGAACATGGATATACTTAGACAAAGTTTGAAAGTGTCAGATAAAAGGAGTTACCATTTGATGAATTTGAAACTATAAAGGAAAAGATGGTAAGTGTTGGGTAACTTCTGAGATTAGGTATCTGTAATAACCAAATCCTTGGACAAAAAGAGGAGTTATTCAGAGAGAATCATCAGATCATGTAGGCAATAAATTAACATGTAAAAGCATTAGATGAACGGAGGGGTCATGTAATACAAGAGTAAGTTCATATCTTTTATTTAATAGAATAAGTTCTGTAAAAATACCAAAACAAAAGAATGAGAAAGAACCCCCTCCTTTATAAAATGCTTAGACAGTGGCTGGAACAATTAGAAATCGTGTAGTTCATTATGTTTGTGCAGTGGACAGAGTGCAACCTGGGGTGCTGAGTAGACTGACATCACATAGCTGGGCAGGAGGGATGGGCAGTACAAGTAGTGCTTCAGATTTGGGCATTTAAAACATGTCATGAAATAATTATGTGGTCCCTTTCATTATTTTTAAATAGAAATTTGTCACCAGGAAAATACTAACTAAAACCCCAGTCGCCTTTCAGAAAGTGCAAGACTGAATTTCTCATGCCCTGCTGGTAAGAAAACAGTGTTCCAAGCACTCTGGAAAAGCTGTGGTGTTATTCATATGCTCCAGGAGGGCTCCACTCCTAAACATGAGCCCAAGAGAAGCAGGTGCTAGTGGGGCCTAAGCATCTGCTGATACCGTATACCTGTCCTTTGTCATTTAAGCACGCAGTCATCTAAGTGAGCTGTGACTGAGTTCCCAGTTTAGTTCACCTACAAATAGGACCATAAGTCACCATGGGCTCGACCTAGTCAGGTGAATCTTTTAACGGGCCAGGAGTCTACTTAACACATAAAGCTCAGAGTCTAAGATGGATTCAGTAAAAGAACCTTGTTCTGTGTTGGTCTTGAAGATGGAGTGAGTCACATTGAAGGGCCTGAGGGAGAGCTAGGACATGTAGACTGTCTTGCAACTGTAGAAGTTGAATTTTTCTAGCAACTCAATTGAGCTTGGACAAGATTTTTTCCCACCGTTTTCGGAAAGGTATTTAGGATGCAGCTTGGCTGCCCAATAACGTGCATTTCAGGCTTCTGTGTTTCTAAGCAGAGTCTCCACACGCAGGGTCTAGACATCTGTCCAGCAGAAACTGAAACAGTAACTGAATTTGAATTCACTAAGTTGATAGTGATTTATAGAAATAAAAACTACTAGATTTTGGAATCTGAATATGGTGTCACTTAGCAAGGGGGCTGTGCTCTGAGACATGAATCATTGTATGGTTTCATTTTGCAAGCATCTGTTGGTACTTTTCGTTGGGGAAACAAACATTTACTCAACTGGTACCATTGTCAGAGCAAAAACAATGATTCCTTCTAGACCAAGCTTGCTGAGCAAGTGAGTTTAGAGGGCAGGGTTACAGGAGCTTGGATAAAGGGTTTCAAGAATGTGGATGGTACCAAAACAGCTTCCTCATGGAAAAGTCCCATCCCAGGATGGATGACCAACTTCTTAAAGTTGCATGGATGGACTCCTCCCTTGAGTTGACCCCCTCCCTCTTGTCTGTTCTAGCACCACCCCAAAATACTTGCAGCTGAGGCAGAATCATGTGCAGGGTGAAGAGAGGCAGGAGGGAGAGAGGGATTATAATCTCGGGTGGGGACCATAGGCCAGATCTTGTGAGTCTCTGGTTTGGGGAGTCACTTTGCTCTAATTTCCAGGCAGTAGCAGCCATATTGTGTGTAGAGAAAAAAATATTTCACAACAGCATTGTAGAACGTATCTAAATGAACTTAGGACCGCTGGACATCACTAGTAAATAGAGTCTTGTGTTGTATATGTGCTTCTTGACTGGATAAGCATATGGGAGTGGTTTTTGAATTCGACAGTGGGTAGATGGGGCTGAAGTTTTGAGGAACACGAGAGAAAAGCCTCCAGTTGCCTCCAGGAGGCTGTCTGTAGGACTCTTACCCACCTGTCTGTTGGTTGTCAGTGGAACTCAGGATGGAGTGAGAAACACGTTAGTGGAATCTTGAGAAAGTGCTTCCTCTTTACATGGTGCAGAAAGATTCATAGAATTGTCTCCTCCATACTGAATACATGATTAGTGTGTATGTTTTTTTGTTTCTGTTTTTGTTTTTGTTTTTTTGGTTTTTCGAGACAGGGTTTCTCTGTGTAGCTTTGCGCCTTTCCTGGAACTCATTTGGTAGTCCATGCTAGCCTTGAACTCACAGAGATCCGCCTGGCTCTGCCTCCCGAGTGCTGGGATTAAAGGCATGTGCCGCCACCGCCCGGCTAGTGTGTATTTTTAATTGATATTTCCCAGGAAAATGTTGAAGGTGTGACTTAATATTTTTTCCTTGCTTCTCTACGATAAAATGCAAGTAGAGAGTGCTAAATTGAAGGAAATGTAGACAAGGAGCCAGAATGTGAGTGGAATTCTCACTTCAGTGGAGGTGGTAAAGGAGAGAATACTTTTGAAAATGTAGCCTAGAGAGAAATAGCAGGGGATGGCTCTACAGGATGTCTCAGAATCTCCCCACGGTGAAGGTAATCCCACCGCTCTCACCCAGACTGAAGGCCTATGGAAAGTTTAAAAGCTCATCCTCGTGTCCTAGCGAGAGCCTAGGGGGTCACTCTTGGAAGATGGTGGGATTTCTGTGCAGTGGGGTGAGACCTGGTGGTATTTATTCATTTCATTTATTAGTGAGAAAACAGTGTCAGTAAAAGCACTACTAGGCCGGACTGGAGGAGATGAGACAGGGTGACAGGAGACCGTGGCTGCACCGCCACAGACATGTGCTGCCGCCGCTTTCCTGCTTCTCCATCTTGGAGGATTTCTTGATGGAGTTTTACGATCCAGTGTCTATGCTGTGAAGATCAGAGGCGTTACCCCATTGTACTGAGTGCTCCTGTTCCCTTCTATGCTTACTGGGTTTCTTTTCTGTTTATTTTGCCTTATTTCTATTGATACGGTTTGTTAGACTTCGGTCTGCTTAGGTGTCTGAAAACGAGCAGCATTTATTAGTTCCCTGTTTCCTTAGACCTAACGTTTCAGTGCCGGTTCTCATGGCAATGCTTTCTCTGCTAACTTACCCAACTAAAGACTAATTTATTTGAATAAAAACAAACACTTCAAGGCCATGAGCCGAATCTGTGATGAGGTGACTGAGACAGAGATTTCCTTTGAAACAGTTGCTGGGGACATGCTACTGAAAACAGAACCTTGGAGGGAAAGGAATGGCCAAGGTGTAGCTGAAGAAAACTTGGAGCTGAAATAAGCTTGTACCTAATTCATGTACAATTGGTCAAATTTAAAACAAGACATTAAGAGCCAGGCATGGAGAGAGGAGGGGCCCAGGCGGCCCTACCCCTCACTGCTGAACTGCTCCCCGTCAATAGAGCAGGGAGAGAAGGGGTGATTGTCTTCATTTGTGTCCCCTGTCCCTCTGGTGACAGTCTCAAGCCAGGGCTCACACAGATAGCCCAAATTCATCTATAAATTGAGAGACATTGTAATCAGAAGCTTCAAAAGGTTGTTCACGATTCTAAAACTTACATGGCAAAAGAAAAATCTAGAATACCCGAGACTGTATAATTTTGAAAAAGAAATACAGGGTGGTGGTACTTGTTTTACTAGGAACCCCTGTGCCCTCCCCCCAAAAAGTGCTAGAAATTAGAAACGGTAATTTCCAAGAGAGAACAAATGGACTAAAGCCCAGAATGAGTCCAGAAGTCCATGTGTGAAGAGAGGCACACATGTTCAGTGACAGGGTAGCCTGGACCACATGTGTGAGACGCTGACTGAAAAATAAACAAAGCAGGAGAGGCAGTTCAGTGGATACAGGGGACTTGTCACAGAAGACTGGCTGCCTGAGTTTGATCTCCAGAACCCACGATAGAGGAGAGAACTGATTCTGGAAAATTGTGCCCCAGACTGCACATGTGTACCATGATACAGACATATCCACAGGTACATACTCACCACACACAGACAAACAAATAAATAAACAAATAATTTTTTTAATTAAAAAAAAGAAAAAAAAAGAACTCTCTCCCAACCTCAAATCTTTCATGCCTTGCTTATTTTGGAAACATGATAGAAAGATAGAAAACATATTCCAGTTGTTTATAAAATTTACAGGAATAGCAAATTTGGGGGAAGGAGAAACAAATAAAAACCAACTTTAAAATAGCAAGTTTGTGTAAGTGCATAAATAGGGGCTTATGTGTATGTGGAGAGAGAGAGAAAGATAGACAGACAGACAGAAAGAATATGAGAATGAGAGCATTGATATGAATTTGGTTTTGATTCAAGGCAGTATTTTAGTCTTGTGGTACATGGGACTATATGTATTCCTGACAAGTTTTTCTGGCCTTTTGAAACTTGATTTTATAAGTGTAAGAATTTATTTTCCTATTTGATTTTTATGCCTTTTCTTCATTTTCAACTAAAATATATTTGCCTTACGATCGTAGTAGTTCAGCTATCAGCTGCTGCATAAGAAAACATCCTCAAGCTGAAGAGGCAGCTATGATGAGTGTTTCCTTTGCTCATAGTTCTGTAGGTCACAGCACAGCCCTGGGGGTAGGGGGCAGGAGGGGTTTTCTTCTGTCCACAGTCAGCTGGACAACCACAGTTAAAGATGCCTCACTGTCAGACGATCTGGCCAGCCCTTCTCAAGTGTCCCGGCTGGCTTTACCTGTCCTGCCTGACATTGTCTGTCTTATGTGGAATTCATCATGTGCTACCTGGGTTCCAAAAACATTGAAAAACAAATTAGCCAGAGCATGCAAATGCTTTTCAAACCTCTGTCTTTGGCATGACTGCTAATAATACAGTAAATCGGTGATGGTTCAATGTTATAGTCCATGTGCTCTTCACCCATTATTCAAAATATTCCAAATTTGACGTTTATTTGTCTCAAGGCTGTTCTGTGTCAATGGTGTTATGTTTCTATTATGGAATAGTTCCTTGGATTCATTAAATGGCAGAGAGAGAGAGAGAGAGAGAGAGAGAGAGAGAGAGAGAGAGAGAGAGAGAGAGAGAGAGAGAGAGAGAATATCAATCCTCTGCAATCCCTGCTCATTCATATACATATGCAAAAGTTTTAAGTTCACATCACTCTTCTTAAGTAAACTATGTCCTTTTGTTTGTTACTGTATCAAAAAAAAGCTTACTTCATCTTCATTTTACCCTTTAATCTGTCAATAAAAAGGTAAGATTCTAAATTTATAAATGGAGAAGCATGGTCAACTTTCTGTAACACATTGAAAGAACATTGTTAGATATGGTGAGTCGAGTCCATTTTGTCCCAAGCCTGACTTTTACATTATGTCACTAAGTGATTGAATTATGCATAGTTTGGAATCTTAGGTAGCATTGGTAGGATATTGGACTGCCCCCTAGGAGTCTGGGGTAATGACATTTCACTGGCATGACTAGCAGGATATTATTTCATTTTTTCATCTGGTTGCTAGAGGCATTTTTTTTTCCACTCTTCGTACAACCACATGCTCAGAAACGGGAAGAAAATGATGGATAAGAAATTGTTAGATTCGTTGTGATTAACACCATTGTGTTTCCTTCTCCTTTAGCTTACTCAGGTAATGAGGGTAGTTTTAGAAAACAGTAATTTGGGGGGCTGGGGAGTTGGCTGAGCTGTTAAGAGCTCTGGCTACATTCCTAAAGGACCAGGGTTTGGTTCCTAGCACCCACATGGGTCAGGTTGCAACTGCCATGTTGTAAACCACCATGTGGATGCTGTGAATCAAAGACAGGTCTTCTGAAAGAGCAGCCAGTGCTCTGAACTGGTTGCTGAGCCATCTCTCCAGCCTGAGAATATAATTTATTTTTAATAATACATAGCTAACATTCATTGAATATTTAATGTCAGGCCCTGTTTTAAGTATCTAAAATGCTTTGTCTTACTGATCATTTGATGGATACTGTGAAGTAGGTGTGTTTTGCTACTTAGAAATGGAGACTGAAAAATTGAATAGTTTACCTAAGACTATATGCTAATAAGTGAGAGACCTGGAACTTGAACCTAGGCAGTCTAACTATTGCTCATGTCTATATGTTAACTAGAACTAGGTAATTTCTCATAATTCCTAAATCCATAGATCTGTTTAAACAAAAACGTTAGGCAGTTTTTGAGTTATAAGTGACATAAATTAAAAATGTAAACTTAATATATACTGTTTAAGTTTTGATACATGTCTGCACACTCTGTTGAACCATTATCACACCTAAGATACTACCCTTACTCATTGATCCAAGTTTCTTCCTTTTCCTTATTCTGTAAGGTTTTCAAAAAGGTGATAGGGATTTCTACTGCCTTGGAAATAGCAAAGTACAAGTTGATCATCCCTAATGTAAAAACCTGAAATAGGAGATGATCTCAAGTCTGAAACGCTGAGTACCCACATGACAATAAATGGGAAATTCATGTTGAGTACCCACATGACAATAAATGGAAAATTCTACACTTTACTTCATAGTACAGGATTAAGTCAAAATGTAGGCATACAAAAGTTGTACAAAATTTCCTTCAAGCTATATATACAGGGCATGTATGTGATTTCAATCAATGTTGTGTTTAGACTTATGTCCCATTCCCAGGATATCTTATTATTTATATATTACCGTTTCAAAATATGAAATATATGAAATCTAAAACACCTTTAGTCCCAAGAATGTCAGAAAAGTAATACTTAGGCTGTACTGTAAAATTATTTTGCTGATTCAATAGGAATGTTTATAGTTTATTATAATAAATTCATATAAATCCTTAGAAAGAGTACATTTTATTATATAAAACATTAAAAACTTCAAATGTCTAAACCTTAAGGTCTACCTGAACATTAACTCTAAAAAGGAATGAGAACATAAGCTATATTTCATTGTTTAAATATGTATTTTCATCTTGCAGAATCTCTGTAATAAAATTGTGCATTTATGGAAATAGCAAACAGGCTGTGTGTTCGCTCTTGCCAGAGGCCAGGCATTACGTTGATACATAAAGTCTAGAAGTTGTTATTCTCAGTTTGCATTATTTGCTTATTATTATTATTAATTGTCTGTTTGTTACTGTGGTTGAGCATTGGCTTGTACATTAGATCTGTGATGTACCCATAGGAAGAAAGTGAATAATGTATTCAGATATGAAACATATTCTTACTTCAAAACCATTTTTTCTTAATCATGCCATACTGTTTAGTATAAGGCTATATGTTTAACATACAAGTTAAATTTAACATGATTAAATATTAATCACAGTGGATAGATGAATCTGATTATTTCATTGTCATTTTTGCATTTTCTAATTGTAAATATAATTATTTTATATTTGCCTTTTAAAATTATATATATAATTATTATATATAATAAATATATAAATTATCTCATAAGCAAACACCTAATACAGTCAGGAGAATGTATCAGATATATTCTTCTAATTCCCTTTCTGTCTGTGTTTTCTCTTGCAGGGTTACATTTTGCCATCTGCCTTTCCAGAGTAAGTGGCTCTATGTGGGCACTGAACGAGGTAATATACATATTGTCAATGTGGAGTCCTTCACACTCTCAGGCTATGTCATTATGTGGAATAAAGCCATTGAACTGTAAGTTTGAGCAAATATTCCATATCTGAAAGTATCAAGTGTCAGTATCTTATAGCTTTAAGTTAGTGAATTATTGTGGCATTGATGTGTTAGGCATTCCTGATATTATATGTAGATCTTTTGATTTTTCATAAGTATTATCCTATTGTCATGACATTTAATAACTTTAAACCTTTTTATGTTCACATATATTTATAAATGTATAATATTATACATTTTCATCTGTGTATAAACTGTTATATTTAATAGTTGAAATGCAGTAGTTATCCTGTTAGGTTGAACACATTCATTTTTTTCTTTTATCTTCTAATTCAGTTTGTTTCTTTAACCTTCTAATTATTTTTCTTTTATATCTTCTAATAATCACCCAATGTAAATGTTTGTTAAAATTAGTATATCACCAAGATTAACAAAAAACAGATTGAACTATGTTGCCAATAATTTGTAGTGCTATTTTCCACTTCTTCGAGTTTTTTGTATCATCTCTTTTTGTAAGTTTTAACGTACAATGTTTAAGTATGAGAATAAAGGTCTAAAGCTGTTGTCAAGACTTTTTAAAAATATGTTCCACAGCTTTAATCTTTTTTTTTTTTTTTTTTTTTTTTTTTTTTGGTTTTTCGAGACAGGGTTTCTCTGTGTAGCTTTGCGCCTTTCCTGGAACTCGCTTTGGAGACCAGGCTGGCCTCGAACTCACAGAGATCCGCCTGGCTCTGCCTCCCAAGTGCTGGGATTAAAGGCGTGCGCCACCACCGCCCGGCTTTAATCTTTTGACAGAGAAAAATTTGTGACATATCTCAGATAACATTTTGGTGTAGCTAGAGTAGTGTGCTGAAAGCCAGTTTTTCTTTCTGTGATAAAGATGTTGCTACCCTTCCTTGGAAGTGTGGGTTTTCAGTTTGTTCTTTGAGTTGATCATGACATCTAGTAGGCAGAGGTGGTCTAAGTCTTCACAGGCTGAAGGGGTGCAGTGTCCCCAGCCTCCAGCATTCATGAACAGGATTATACTTTTTCTAAATGCATGGGCTTTGTTCCAGTAATCTTTACTTATATGCTCTCTCTTTCTCTGGTATACATATAGGTACCATTAATTTCTGGGTTTTCAAAAAATAAAACAGAAATTTTTTTCAACTTCTGGTATGAGCTGTAGAATTGGTTGGGATATCCCAGCTGACACCTAGCATTAAATGTTGCATTGTTTTAAAATATTAACTTCACAATGAAAAGAGATTTTCTATGCTAAAATAAATATTTGACTAAATTGAAAATCTTTCCTATATAGAAAATGCAATTATAAAGTTTATTAACTTACAGGCTTATGATTTTCATCATTTTTTCTTTGATTGGCAACTTAACTATTCATAAATTGATCTTTTTATTGTGATGAATGCTGTGACTTTTAATTGAGTGAAAAGCCTTATTTTTTTTTTTTTCAGGTCATCTAAATCTCACCCAGGTCCTGTTGTCCATATAAGTGATAATCCCATGGATGAGGGGAAGGTAGGATTTTTTCTAAATAAACATTTGTTAATTAATCCATACTGTTTTGACTTTTAAATATGCAAACTGTCCTAGAACTGCACTGTTGCCAAAAAGTTGAGATTGGACCAAGGTTTGTGTATTGAGTAATGTAAAGGCTTGTTATTCATTATGAAGAACAAGGTGAAGAATTAGAATGATTCCTAATTAAAAGGATTAAAAATCCTAAAGCATAAATAGAATTTAATAAATATAAGGTATTTATTTGTATTCGGCTGACTCAATATTTTCCCTGATTTTCAGATAATGTAGACAGGTTTTTTGCCGGGGGTGGGGGTGGTGGGTGGTGGGGGGGTTGGGGGGGTGACTTTTCATTTAGTTTACAGATTTTATTGTGCCTATCATGTATTACATTATCTCAGAGTAGTCTCTGTAGCTCAGCTTCCTTAAATTTTTCTTCATAAATACATCTGATTAATAATGTATATTAATCCTAATATATAAAATCTTGTTTGTTTTTTTATACTCATGCAGTCTGTATCTAGCTACGGTTAGCTTGGGTTAGTTAACACATTTAAAACTCCTATTTCCTCTTCTGTGAGTTTCTGTTTTCTTACAATAATTGTCTTTCAGGTAGTTCTATTTAATAATAGCCCTTTCCTACCTATGTGATTTTAGGATCTTAACAGGAATGAGCACCAGAAAGTCTGTCAGAAATCAAGGATGGAAAACTTTATCTTATAAAGGGATTTGACTCAAATGTTTTCTTCTCTCAGTTAGTGAGAAAGGGCGAAGCTATCAGTTACTTACCACTGTTCTCATCTCGCCACTGAAAGACAAAAGCATACCTGGACTGTTGGGAGTTGGCTAGTGGTCATGGAACTGTATGACTGGAAGGAAACTCTACATAAAGCAAGTGTACAGTAGCCTGGTTATTGCTTTATTTTTCTTTTACACAAGATGCTTGTTTAAAAGCCAAACCTCTGGCTGGGAAGTCTGGTGAATTAACAAGGTTCCTGTCACATGGAGTTACTCACTGAGTCATTTCAACCCTTCTTGTAATGTCTCTTCCTGTAAGGTCTGTTAGAGTTGATGGCAGTCTGGCACACTCTTTTATTTCTCTTTTTTATTGATTAAAATTTTTATATAATGTATTTTAATCATTTCCTCTCTTCCCAGCTCCTGTCTGCCTCCCTCCCCATCAACTTCTTGCGTTTACTCTCTCTCTCTCTCTCTCTCTCTCTCTCTCTCTCTCTCTCTCTCTCACACACACACACACACACACACACACACACACACACAATGAAAATCAAAACAAACAAAAAATCAGTAAGACTAACAAAAGCCAAAACAAAGAAACAAAAAGCTCCTCCCCAGCACACACAAAATGGAGTTTGTTTTCGTGTTGTTCAACTACTCCTAGACATGGAGCCTACCCTAGAATATGGTTGATATACCCAGTGTCACTCCATTGGAGAAAACCGATTTGCCCTTTCCCAGCAGGTATCAACTACAAATAGCTTCTTGGACTTTGTGTCTGTTTCCCCTTCTCGGGGCTGGGATCTTGTCTGGTTTGAACCTCTGCAGGTTTTGTGTGTGCTGCCACAGTCTCTGTGAGTTCATATGTTTATCAGCTCAGTAGTGTCTGGAAGACAGTGTTTCCTTAGAGCCATCCACCACCCCCAGCTCTCACAATCTTTCCGCCTCCTCTTCTGCACAGATCCCTGAGCCTTGAAGGGGGATGTGTTTGATGAAGCCATCCCTTTGACGACTGAGTCCAACCTTCCTAGAGTGTCATTCTCATCTATATGATTTCTCGTTTAAGTGTTGAGTGTGTCTACAGTCTGACGGGGTGACTGACTTTTCCTTAGGATGTAGTTTGGCTCTCCTTATCTTTCATGATATCCTCACTAGAAGGACACACTGAAGCCAGAGTCACTGTTCCCCAAGCAGACTGCTTTTTGCTGCCTCCATGCTTTGGTTTCTGTCAGTCTTGTTTGCAGGGCTAGCTCACCATTGTGCTGACTTCTTCTCTACACTTTAAGGTCCAAATTAATAGTACATATAAATAATGTCTTCCCAGATAATTCTGACAGAAGATAGTTTCTCTCCTACTTCCATAGCACTTCATGCAAGTGTTCCGGCATGCGTGATTCACTGCCTTTGTTAGAAATGCATGTGTATCACTGTTCCTCTGCACCGTATAGATCTGTAATCATACTCAGTGTAACCACTTGTTTTTTTGATTTATATTTGGTGGTGGAAGTTGATTCAGGGCCTTGCACATGCTAAGCAAGTGCTGTACCAGTATTCTATATCTCCAGGCTTTTTGTTTGTTTGTTTGTTTATGCAGGATTTCACTAGGTAGCACAGATTGGCCTGGATCTCACAATCCTTTTGTCTCAAAGGCTTCCCAAGTGCTGAGATAACAAGTGTTGATCACCACGTTTGCTTATAAGAGAAAAAGTAGGACATTAGTGAGTGATTCGCAGAATTATTTATATCTTTCTAAGCTATAGACGATTCTAGTAGGAACAATTCTTTTTACAATGTATTTTAATATACATGTATGAAACTCTCATACATGTTTATTATACATCTTGATCACACTACTCCCTATTACTTCCCCGCTCCTCTGGACCTCTTTTTCTCCCCCACAAGTCCCCAGCCTGTTCTTATGGTTTCCTATTTTTATGTAGTTTTTTAACTACCGTTGGGTTTCATTGAGGTTCCTTCTCTGAACATGGTGTGGTTCTTTACTGTAGCGTTGACAACTTACTTCGTTTTGTCCCTCCTCCTTTCCCGCTACCATGTGGGCAGGCCAGATCTAGATCAGGTGACCACAGTGTCCGGGAGTTTATGAGTGCAATAGCCATGTCATGTCCAGAAAACTCTTTCATAGCCTTTTTCATAACATTTTTTCCTGTTCTTTGTGCTCTCTCTTCCATGATGTTCCCCAGTTGTGTGTGTGTGTGTCTGTGTGTTTCTGTGTGTGTATGTCTGTGTCTGTATGTGTGTGTCTGTGTATGTGTTTCTGTGTGTGTGTGTTTATGTCTGTGTGTGTGTCTTTGTTTCTGTGTGTGTGTGTTTCTCTGTGTGTGTTTTTGTGTGTCTGTGTGTCTGTGTGTGTGTTTATGTCTGTGTTTGTGTGTCTATGTGTTTCTGTGTGTGTGTGTGTGTGTGTGTCTTTGTGTTTCTCTGTGTGTGTCTGTGTGTTTGTGTGTGTCTGTGTGTCTGTGTCTGTGTGTCATGGTAGTGACATGATAGAGATGTCCCTCTTAGGGCTAAACCCTAAATAGTCACTCTCAGCACTTTGACTGGTTAGAACTCTCTGCATTAACTGCTATCCACGGTTAGAACTCTCTGCATTAACTGCTATCCACGGTTAGAACTCTCTGCATTAACTGCTATCCACGGTTAGAACTCTGCATTAACTGCTATCCACAGTTAGAACTCTGCATTAACTGTTATCCACAGTTAGAACTCTGCATTAACTGCTATCCACGGTTAGAACTCTCTGCATTAACTGCTATCCACGGTTAGAACTCTGCATTAACTGCTATCCACAGTTAGAACTCTGCATTAACTGCTATCCACGGTTAGAACTCTCTGCATTAACTGCTATCCACGACAAAATGAGGCTTCCTAGTAAGAATAAACCCTGTGGAGACTTTGCAAGGACTTATATAACTTAGGTTCCCATTTTCCTTGTCCTGCATCTGTAGAGAAGATCTAAGAAGCTTGTGATCATTCAACCCTAACCTGTTGGGCATATTTCTAATTTCATTAGGATGTTGTGGCTAGATAAAAGAGGCTGAAAGTTTGCTGTGACCTTCTTAGGTTATTAAAAATGTGAACAGGCAAAGCTAATTCCTTAAAGGTACAAGTCTCTGAAGTGGCACTTTCACACTTAGAGCCCTTTACCTACATCTTGAGCTGCTAACATAGTTGATCAGTTTGTAAATTTTTCTTTTCTTTATTTCTGAATGTTCTTTCTTTCTCTGTGGGACATTGCCATATCATGTATCCCAGATATCTAGAGGGAAAGGAAGCTGTTGCAAAGTCTTTGCAGGAGTATGTATTTCACCTCTGATAGCTAATGTGTAGCTCACTTTCTCTTCTTTAAGTCCAGGACCTCAGGCCATTGAGAGTGCTGTCTACATTTAAGGAAGCTTCTTCTTACTTTAATTAACATAATCATGCTAACCCCTCACAATATGCCCAAAGGCATGTCTCTTTGATGATTCTAGATCCTAGCAAAATGACAGTCAGTGTCAACAACTATCACACTGGGGCAGGGGTGTGGGGCAACAGATGGACAGTCCACAGTTTATGAGGTAAGAACCTATCAGGCCCCATGACATACGTTAAAGGTATAACAGTGAGCAAGATAGTTTTAGTCCTTATCCAGTCAACCAGTATTGTAGTCTGCAAGAGAATTCAAGTGAAAATGCTGTATTAAAAAGTAACCCTTGAGACCATCAAAGGATGGAGTATTACTAGATTATGTCGGAAGGGCATTGATACAATAGTTGGTCATTCAAGGAAGTCTTCCCCAAAGAAGCAGTTGCTAAGTGCACATCTGAAGGATAAGGGGACGAATCAGGGAATTCCATTTAAATGGCACCCCACCCCTCACCCCAGACAGGAAGGCAACCTGTACAAAAGCTTAAATATGGGAGTGCACATGCATGGAGAAACAAACTCCAGAATCAGCAAATAGAGTGTGTTGGGCAGGAGAGGTATGAGGGGTGATTTTGGAGGAATAAGTAGAAATCGGACAGTGATAAATATTATATTGTGTAATGGAGTTTTGATTCTTTCATGAAAAGAGGAGTGAGGCTGACCAATTTAAGTAGAAGCATACATTTCCCTTTCAGCTTTGGATTTCATAACCAGTCCTCCAACTACAGTGTGAATTGGTCACAAAAGAGATCTTTGTGTCTTTTTCCAGGAGGGAGGTACTAGAGATAGAGGGATATAAATTAGATGCAGAACATGAAATTAAACTTAGTTGATGGTTTTTTGTTCTTTTTTTTTTTCTTTTTTTGTTGAAGGTGAGACTAGCATTCATGATGACTGCCAGGTCTTTGACAGACAGCTGATTAGCTGTAGTCATCAGGACGCACAGTAGAGAGAGCCAGCAGGCTCCAAAGGGTGTACATAGTCTTGAACATACTTTCTGGTTTAGCATTGGGAAGTGGTGTGGTTATTGGAACTGTGAGCTTAAATTTTATGAAGGAATGGGATGATTATTTGAAATTAATCAGTGTGTACATTGAGTGAAATTCCTTGGTGATATATAGATCTTTGAAAGTATGAAATATCTGACCAGGCGGTGGTGGTACACGCATTTAATCCCAGCACAGGCAGAGGCAGGTGGATCTCTGTGAGTTCAAGGCCAGCCTGGGCTACAGAGTGAGTTCCAGGAAAGGCTCAAAGCTACACAGAGAAACCTGTCTCGAAAAACAAAAACACACACACACAAAAAAAAAAACCCCAAAAAGAAAGTATGAAATATCGCAAACACATACAAATACACAATTTTATTAGTAATTTTTAGAAATGTATTAGGATGTAGACTCATGACTTCAAGAAGTCCGCTTCCTCTTTTCAGTATCAGTTGTATTTTGGGTCGCGAATCATGAAGAGCATGTAAACTTGCCCTGCCATGTTGTCATTTGTCGTCTGTGTGATTAGTAACGCCCAGTGCAGGCATTTAATTATATTAAAGTTTTATGCATGAAGGATATGAACAATGATTAGCTTTATTGTCCAAAATAAGTATTTTACAGTGTAAATAACTCATTCCTCAGTAAGGTGGCCTTTCCTTTCCCCAGCTTTTGATTGGCTTTGAATCTGGAACAGTTGTCTTATGGGACCTCAAGTCAAAGAAGGCAGACTACAGATACACATACGACGAGGTAACAGCAATGTTTATTCTCATTACAGATCTTGCCATTGCTATAATTCGCAGTAGCTTCTCTAAGAATTGAATTTTCAGTTTTAGCTTTAATTTGATGTTAGGTTAGCTGCAAAGTTTTTCTAATTGCATTAAAACACAAAGTTTCTTCTGTTAGTAATATGTTCACATCCCCTTCCTTTCTGGGGAGTTAGAGCACACAGTGTATTGTTGGTACCAGTCAACCTTCTGAGTCATGGAGTTCTCTCTGAGAAACGATGTCGTTACATCCACAGCTCATGTTGTAACTGAAGATCCTTACAAGCGCCTTCCACAGAACAGTCTGGTACTTTCAGGGACTATTGTCTTCTCTAATGTTTCTCCTTGATTAGATTCAGGTTGCAGTGCTCCGTAGTCATATCCCACATAATACATGTGTTTTCTTTTATTAAAAATTATTTTAAGCTGGGCAGTGGTGACGCATGCTTTTAATCCCAGCACTCGGGAGGCAGAGCCAGGTGGATCTCTGTGAGTTCGAGGCCAGCCTGGGCTACCAAGTGAGTTCCAGGAAAGGTGCAAAGCTACACAGAGAAACCCTGTCTCGAAAACCAAAAAAAAAAAAAAAAAAAAAAATTTTAAATAGCTTTGGTTAACTTCTCAATACTGATCACATTTCATGGAAATAATTTCACTCTAGTATATATAAAGGTAAGGCTTTTATTAAGATTGAGGTTTTATAATGGCTTAAGTATATATTTTGGAGCAATTTATCTAACTACTCTATTTCAAAATTTGGTAGAAATACTTCGAGTCAGAAATGTTGTATTAAATATTGGCATGTACAGTCTGTGCTCATCATCATGTAAATGTTTTTTCCAGCCTGTATTAAAATACTATATAATTTTAGCTCAGATTTATAAGCACACAAAGAACCCAAATAAGCAGACATTGAAGTAATTGAAAGTGTTGACTGGGTATGTATAATAGAACTTTTTCTGGAGTTCAGTTGAATGCATCCTTGCTGTGCTATGCAATTCCGTAGTTCAGCAGGACACCTTTAAAGTCATTAACTATTAAGAATGAAAAGTGCATCACCATGACTTGAAAATAAGACATTCAGAGCAAACCTCAGGAACTGATTTTCTGAAAATAAGAATTTAAAGAGAAAATTCATAATTTAGAGGGGAAAAGTGGAGGACGAACACATGTCAGTCACATAAAATACTTTCTGGATGGCAGATTAAAAGTATAATATTCCAATCAAAAAGTATCTTCTCGTGGGTCTGAAGAGATGGCATAGCAGTTAAGGGTCTTCTTGGGTGACTGGAGAGATGGTTAAGAGCACTGGGCTCTTTTCAGAGGACCCAGGTTTCATTATTGGTATCCACATGGTGCCTCACAACTGTCTGTAACTCCTATTTCCAGAGGATCCAGTGTCCTCTTCTGGCCTCTGTTTTATTACACTAGGAACACGCACAGTGTACAGGCGTACATTCAGCAAAACACTGATATACATGAAATAAAATAATGAAAATGAAAAGAGGGTAGTCTCCTCAGATTAAAAGTCACCTCCATAATTATTCTGAGGTATTGAAATTATGCTGTGATGTTCATCCTGAGGAGTTTTCATTGATCTTAATCCTAAACATATATTTTTAATTTTAGAATAGAGTTTTAGCTCATTAAAACAAATTTTAATATTTCAAGGTGACTAATTTCTTCCGTCAGACATTGTTTGTAACTTGGTAGTTTGTGTTTGGGTAGGGTTTATTCTGATAAGCTATAAGAACATTCTTTTCCTGAACTTGTCAGAAAATAGTGCATGTATCATTGTCATAGCTTCCTAATGCACACTTAAGAAATACAATGATTAGGAGGAATTAAACAGTTTCACTATAAAATGTCTTATTTGTATTGTAAGAGGACTAAGTTATTTTGAGAATGTAGTTAACATTTTGACTAGTTAGGAAACTATAAAAATTTATTAAGATTAATTACCAAACCATTTATCACTAATGTGATAATAGAATTCTTCACCCTTCTGTAGGCTATTCACTCTGTGGCATGGCATCATGAAGGAAAACAATTTATTTGCAGTCATTCTGATGGTACTTTGACCATATGGAATGTGAGGTCCCCTGCTAAACCTGTACAGACCATCACTCCTCATGGTAAGGATGCCTCCATTTTAAAGACTACCCAAATTGAAATGGACTGTTGTATGGTTTGTGGGGGTGGGGGGTGGGGGGAGAGGCTTTGTTTTAATGAGTGAAGAATATGATCCTTTCATGGAATGAATATTGTAATATCTCTGAATATCATTTCTTCATTTGTCCAAAAGGCAGATGATGTTGTTAATTGTAAGAGACTTTAAACTTTGGTTATCTTAAAATTGTCACAGGCTATTGATGTATATGTGACAATGTAGTTGAATCATCAAGGCCTCAACTGCAGGTAATTTTATACATGTAAGAATGGTGTATGAGTGCTGAAGGTTATCCAGAGTTTGTTGATCTCACGGGACTCAGCAAGCACATAGTCATCCCCCTGTAGTGTTTGTTACATTAAAAGAATGTGATGCAGATCAGTTTCCACAGTGTTTATAGTCTCTTGGTAGAAAAGTCACTAGCTGAACTTACTGCTACACAGCAAGGCAAAGAACATTTGATTTATGGCTTTTCTTCAAAGTTAGAAGGCGAACAACAGAAATAAAGTGCATTATTTTCTTGTGGTACATGTAAAGAAATTGAATAGTTTTCCTTACACAGTATAGCATCTAAATGTAGATGGCACTCGTTTTATTACATGTTTAATTTTATTTCTATACAACATTTTCTATATAACTAAATTTTACAGGAAGTGAATTGTTTTCATGAGTTTTATTATGTCTTCCAGTCACTGCTTAGCTTGCCACTGGCAGTGGTAACCGACCAACACTAAATTTCTGTTACCAGCTGAATTCTGCAGCAGACCCGAGTCCACTTCAGCACATTACAATGCAAAAATATGTCTTGTGTACCAAACAAGATACCATTTATTCTATATATAGTATGTTTGTGGTACATAAATTTCAGAATATCAACCACTCATTCTGATAGAATATAATTTAGTTCTTTCTTTCCTTATACTACGTTTTCTTCCTTTAAATTTTTAGACTAATAATTGTTAAATTATCTTTTTTTAACCAAAAATTCCTTTATACAAAGTATCAAAATACAATCACATTTCTAAAATGAAACCATAGGTTTACAGTTGTAGTCATAAGTAAGCTAAGTCAAAAGCTGTAAGTGAAACATCAATGGGGCAAATGTATGAATGAAGACACTCCTGAATTCCCACTTTTCATCGAGCATCAAAGACCACCAATCTTTTAGTCCTCTTCTTGTACGTTATTCTGTATCCACATTCTCTGCATCTGATTGGATCCCTGGACTTTATTTCATTTTCGGTGGGACACTCTCCACAAATAGATATCATCGGCTGCTGCTTTGGGGGCTGAATGTCTTTATGAGTGTCCGTTGTTAGTGCCTCGGCAGCTCAAAGAAGCTCCTCTGTGCACGCAAACCCTCTTTCCGGTCCTCTGTTAAATTATCTTAAACGTACTTTAAATTTTTGTGCATTATTAGTTTTAGTCAGTTTTGATTAGATTTGGTGGTGGTAACCACCTGTATACATAGTGCATTAGCATGGTGGTTAGTGCTACCATGTCTCATGTTAAAGTAGACGTTAATGTGTTCTGTTTCATTGTTGAGCTGCTGTAGACTGAACCCAGGTATGGTTCAACGCTTGCATGGTAGGCAAGCATTCTCCCAACTGAGCTGTGTTTCCAGCCCTGAAGTTAATACATTCTTGAAAGATGTATTCAGAAGACATAATAAGACATCAGCATAATGTGGGATTTTCAAGCAGAAAGTCTGTGACCTTTGGGAAGCCAGTTAGCATTTCTGAATCTCATTATCATCTGTAACTAGAATTGATAATGAAACTTAATCCAGTTTCCTCATGCTGTTCTGAGAATTGAATTTATTTATTCAACAAATATTTATTGGCTCTACAATATGATCATAAACTATATAACTGAGAGTACCTGGACATTATGATGTGCTATGTGCATGTGTGATTCTACTAAATAGAGATTTTGGAATTGTATTTACTCAGTGGGATAGATTGGTATTCCCACAAAATATATTTCTGTTTTCTGCACACATCTGTTTGTTTGTTTGTTGTAGGTGATGATTTTTTTGAAACAAGAAGTATAATATAGTTTAAAAAGTTTGGGGCTTACTGTTAATTTAGTTGAAATTTTTCTCAATGGCATGACACAGCAGATGATTTTTGATTGTCTAAACAGTGAAAGTAGTATTTCTTTTTGTTGTAGTTCTTATGAATATCAAAAACCATTTCCCTGGCAATCTGACAACCTTGAGTCTTTTTCCAACTTTGATATACATGAGAAGCTTTGTAAAGGGGCTGGAGAGGTAGCTCAGTGGATAAAGCATTTATGTGTCTTGCAAGTGTGAGGACCAAAGGTCAGATCTCTAAAACCCTTATAAAAGGCCAGGTTCATAATGATAGCCACCTACAATGCAGCATTCCCCAGACAGAGGCAAGGGATTCCTGGAGCTACATAGCGCTAGCTAAACCAGCAGGAATCAAGTGGAGAGCCATTAAAGAAGACATTAACTTTGAGACTCCATGTATATGTACACATATATGGACACAAGTACCCATGCATGTATGAACATAAATGCATACATACATACATACATGTATGCAATGCATACACACATGCCTTCTGAATATAATTTCTATTCTCTGGGACTTAGTTTTATCAATTATAAAGTTGCAGAAATGAATGAGATGAGTTATCAAGCATTTATCAATGTGTGGAAATTGAGCAGAATTTTACTTCACAAATTTACTTTAACAGTAAATGCCAAGTCATTTGTCTGCGGACAAGGCTTTGTGTGGTGAACCAGGCTAAGTTCTACTACTGCTTTTTGGTTTGCTTTACTGCTGTGATTAAAGGGCTTTTATTTAAGAAAGAATGTTTGATTGTCCTGCCATGGCTATTCCTATCCAGAAACCATCATCTTGCTTACACGATTTGCTGGGTCAGGGAGCCCAGCTAGGTCTGCACTGTGGCCCTGGGCTGGAGTGGTGTACCATTAGACGAGAACTTTTGTGATTGTCAGCTTCACGAGAGTCAGTTGACTCTCTAAGGAAATGGAGGTGCTAGGTAGTCACAATCAACAGATATCTTCAGTGGGAAATGATGTTTTAATTTTCTAGATGTTTTACATTTCTTGAGCATATTCATCAACTCAATCAGCAATTTTATCTGTGGTACATGAAAGGGAGTTTTTATCCTATTAAGGGTCACTGAATTAAAATTATATTGAAGTTCACATACCTGAAAGTCAGTATTATATATTAAGGATGAAGCATACTAGAGTTCTATTTACCTACATTTAATTCACCATAAGCCTAAAAATAAAACCATACCTGTTGATTATATAAAGTTTCCTCTAATTTTTATATTTGAAAGGACTTTGTAGACTCCTGAACATGCCCAAATAAGACTGTTACTTAAATTCAAAGAACCAAAAAGACAGAAGAATGAATAGATGGAGGAACGTTGAAGCTTTCTGTATGCCAGCTCCCAAAGGCAGGGCTGTGCTGAGGTTCTGGCTGCAGCCATCACTTCTGGCTTCGGGGGCTCAAAGAGAATCTCTAGAGAATTCTCTTGTAGTGGTTGAGCCACTGGTATCTGTCAGTGCTTGGGGCATACCCTGGGGAATTTGGACTTTCAATAATGTATCATAAATTGTATTCTTCTTGTCTTGCTAAGAGTCAAGGCCCAGATAACACAACCCCATTAGCCTCCTGCTTCAAATGAGCTTCATTTCTACACTAAGTAAGCATGGTAAATTCTCCCAGCCTATTATTTCAAAATAACATTATTAGCATTAGCAATGTCTTTTTCTAGTTGGTCAATTTTTTTAGAAAGTTGCTTTCTAATTGGAATATAATTTTAGCCACCTAGATAACTTAAAGCTTACTAATAGCAGTATCAAAATCTGTAAAATAAATCAGACAAAACTAATTTAATATTGTATTTTATCTAACGTTAAATATGCAAAAGTGCTATTTCATCATGTGACTAAATATACAAAATTGAGATATTTTCTATTCTTTTCAGTATGCAAAAATATTGTGTAACCAAACACACAGAAGTGAGATATTTCAAATTTTTGAAATCTAGTGTTTTACATTCCCAACACATCTGACCACGGACTGACCACATTTCAAGTGCCCACTAGCCAAATGCAATTGGTGGCAATCTTAGGGTCCTTGCTCTAGACTGAGGGTCTATGTGTAAATACAACGGTTTCAGTTCATTCTATTTAGCAAAATTAACAATTATAGACATTATAGACTAATTTTTGTCAGATTCTTTTTTTTTTTTTTTTTTTTTTTTTTTTTTTTTGGTTTTTCGAGACAGGGTTTCTCTGTGTAGCTTTGCGCCTTTCCTGGATCTCGCGCTGTAGACCAGGCTGGCCTCGAACTCACAGAGATCCGCCTGCCTCTGCCTCCCGAGTGCTGGGATTAAAGGCATGCGCCACCACCGCCCGGCAGATTCTTTTTTTTTTTTTTTTTTTTTTTTTTTTTTTAAATGAACCTTTACTCAACAGATGTATATTGAGGGCCTCCAGTCTCTTGTTTATGAATTACTAGAAATGTATCAGCCTTGATAAGCTCATAGTCAAGTACTTAAAGTGATTTATAAATTGGTAACTGCAAACATTTTAATAGTTGTTGATAACAGCATATGTAATGCTACATGGCTGTGTTTGGGACTGAAGATAAATAGAAATAGTTCACAAATTCGGGATCTTTAAGCTGGACCTTGAAGAAGAGGGGTATTATGAAGTAGAAAAGACTAGTGAAAGATTATTTTAGTGAAAGCATATAAAGGAACAAAAGCATAAAAAGCAAGGCATTATTGAAAATCAATACTAGTCTATCATGAGTAAAATCTTGACAAGTAGCAGGAATGAAAACAGAGCCATGTGTGATGAAGGATTGTAACACGAATCTTAAAAGGTCTTATTGATATGAAAAAAAGCAAGCAAACAAACAAACAAACAAAAAAACGGAGCCAGGTATTGGGGTGAACACTGAAAGATCAGAGAGCAAGCCAGCAAAATCCTCATTCTCAAGAACCTGAGTTCCTGTTTCCTCACACCTTATATACCTTTCTATGTCCTTCCATATTACTTCCTGGGATTAAAGGCATGTGTGCTTCCCAAGCAAAGGCATGAGATCTCAAGCGCTGGGATTAAAGGTGTGTGCCACCATGCCTGGCTCTGTTCCCAGTGTGGCCTTGAACTCACAAAGATCCAGTCAGATCTCTGCCTCCCAAGTGATAGGATTAAGGGTGTGTGCCACCACTGTCTGGCCCCTATGTCTAATCTAATGGCTGGCTCTGCCCTCCAATCCCCAAGCAAGTTTATTAGGGTACACAATCTATCACCACAAAGGATATACATCAGAGTATAATAAAAAATTTGAACCTCATGTCCAAAAGTTAGTAAATGACTTTTCAGTGATACACATAAAATTGACATCTTAAAAACATGACTTTAGTGGTAATACATCAGGTCACTCTGACAGGGCTGCTGGTTAGTGAGCTATTATATTAAGAGTAAATAAAGATAGTTGCAGTATTGGCAGGGGAAATAGATATGCATGATGAAATTCTGGAATAAAATGTCAGTAGGTCTTAGACCAACTCATTATAGCTGGGTGACCAAAAAAGTTAAAGAAACTAATATTCTGAAAGACAAGAAAGAAAGAAGATGTAGAGTGGGGTTGTTGTGATTTATTAAGTTGGGTTTTATAACTAATCAGATATTTTCAGTGGTTTGTCAAGGCAATCAGTTTACAGAATTTAAAGAACTAGCCTGTGTTTTTATTCAAGTAAAATAATACTTAGTTGTGAAATCTAGTGAGTCAGGGATTTATTGTATATTTATATGCACTTTAATTTTATATGCACTTTAATTTGTATTCAGTTAATAAAATCAGAGCAAGGGTCTTTTTTAATTTGCTTTAGGAACTGGTTATTTTAGAATTAGAGGTAAATGCTAGCCTGAGCCAATGCCATCATTTAAACTGCTCAAGTTGGGAAAACAGAATGTGCATGAAGATTGATAATGCAAGGAGAAAAACATAACTCACAAATGAATAAAAAGAGAAGTTGTAAGACTGAATGCTAAAATACAGTCTAAGCAGTTTCAAAGGACAATTGAGCAAGAAAAGGAGATAAAAGAATCTTGTCCCTAGCCAGCTTTTATAGGAGATGTCCAAACCTAGTCTCAGAAAAGCTCAGTAAATTCGCTAATGGCCTCTAAATACTGACAGCTGTGTGGGGCTGGAAAGACCACTCAGTGAACAACACCTGTCTCAGGCAGCTCCCAATCCCATGACTCCAGTTCCAGGGCATTTGACAGCCTCTTTGGGCCTCTTCTGCGGTGATGCTGCAGTTCTGACCTAGTACACCTGCCCTTAGAATCAGTCCTTTCATGTCTGCCCAATAAATGTTTAGAAATGCAGTTTCTATACCTGAAAACTAAACAGTTCCATTTATTTCTATTTCTAACAAATATTCTCAAACTGTTTTCCAGAAAGATTATCCTTCATAAGCGAACAGAGAAGTCATCTGAGGCTGGGCTTTTCTTTATGGGGATTTTACTTACATATTTATTTCTAGAGGTTCTGGGGTTTGAACCCAGAATGTTGCACTTACAGTGCAAGTGCTCTGCGTCTGAGCTAAACACCAAGTCCTGGTTTCTGAGTTTTAATTTTTAGATCTCTTCATTTGTTCTCGACTTTATTTAGATTGTCTGTTTCCTCTTCAGTCAGTTTCAGTATTTGGCTTCCTAGGACTTTTATATTTTTTTCCCTTGGGTATTTCATTTGTTGGCGCATAATTCCATAGACTGTTTTAGAGATTTTTATTTTTAATTATGTATATATGTTTGTGTCTGTGTGTGGATTTATGCACATGAGTGAAGTTCAGGCAGAGGTCAGACGGGGTCCCCTGGGGCTGGAGTTGAGTGCTGGGACCTGAATTCAGGTCCTCTGCAAGAACAGTGCACTCTTAAACGCTGAACCATCTTTCCAGCCCGCTTGTTCTGTAATTCTGTCTGTGACTGTCTGGTTTGATTGTTCCTCTTCTCTTAGAGGGGCCAAAGGTCAGTTTTAGTGTTTCACCTCAAAGTATTATCTGAATTTCTTTAATTCTGGTTATTTAGTAATATGTTGTTTAATTTTCCCATATTTGTAGTGTCTCCATTATTTTTTTCCTGCTACTAATTTCTAACTTCATTCTTTTTTGCTTGGAGACTTACCTTGCATGAATTTACCCTTTAAATACTATTAAGATTTATATTATAGCCTAATAAGGTCTGCTTTGGACATGTTTCTCATTTTTAAATGTTTGGAAATACTTTAGAAAAATGTGTATTCTAATGGTTAGGTGGTGTGCTTTGTGCATGTCTGTTAATCTAATTAAAGTTGGAAGCTTCTGTGTCTTGTAGGTCTTTCATGTACTTATCCTGAATCCACTAGAAACTGAGGCATTAAAGTCCTTATTGTTATTATTAAATATTATTGTTGGACTGTCGGTTTTTACCTTCTTTGGTTCACTTTTTCATCTATTTTGGTGCCCTTATAGTAAGTATGTATTATTTGTACATCTTCCTGAAGTGGAGTTGGCCCTTAGCATGACATTCTATTAGACTACTGGTGAAAGGTCATAGGTCATAGACTTTCTGAAACCATTTTATTTATATGTCCTTTACCTAGGAAGTTATCCCAAAGAAAAATTCAGGACTCGTTCAGTAAACATATACTGGATATCCAATATATGCCAGACACTGTTTGACTGCAGAAATATATATTAAAAAAAAAACCAGACACACACACACACACACACACACACACACACACACACACACACAGTCACTGAACAACAAGCAAAGGGAGGAGCGAACATAAGGTGCAGAGTGTGGTAGGGGGTCTGGCACGAAGCTTGAGCTGTAACAGAGGAAGGACATTGAGTGTGTTGGGGTGGGAGTTTCTAAGGGTCCTCAAGATCATCCCCAATTTCCATGATTTGTCAAAGAAATGCAATGATGCTGAGAGTAATCTTTCTTTTTTAAAAAAAGTAGGATAGGTGTTTTCTTTTTCTGTTTCTTTCATGAACCTCTAAACTTAGATAATGAATAACAATAATTTTTAAATGAAAAGTACTTATAGCTATCGGTTGGTTTATGCTCATTTTGTCATAATAGATACATGGAATTTTCTTTAGAAGAAATGTCAATGAATTTATTAACAATTTAATTTTGCAGCCCGTGGTACTTGGATGAAAATGTGATATTTATTTTTTTCAAATTGTGTTATTTTAAGATATTTATTCACTAGGCAAGTTGAAATTCTATGTTGTTTATCTAGTAGCCACAGTTCACATTTGGAAAGATTGCCATTTTCTCTTGCTAGGATTTACTCACATAAACATTAGGTTATTCAATTTATTTGCCTTTTTGACAGTATTTCACACAGTAATTTGACTTCATTATAAAACATCTTATTTTATACTAAATACTTCTTTCAAAATTATTTTAAAACATTCATTGGTGAGTTTCATTATATTTCATTTTCATCTTTTTAACTATGTATATATGAAGTTAAGAATTATTTGTCTAAAAGGGGGTTTTATTATATTTCATTTTCACTTTATAAATTATCAATGTAAGAACTTAGAGTAATGTAGAATTTAATGCAGGAAAATATATTTTAGGAAAACAGTTAAAGGATGGGAAGAAACCAGAGCCATGCAAGCCTATCCTCAAGGTGGAGTTCAAAACGACTAGATCTGGGTAAGATTCCTTCATCATCGTGTTCATTGTTACAGGTGATGCAAATAGCATTGGAACCTGTATAGTGAATTTTGAAGCCCTACTTTAGACTAGGCTACCCTGTCTTAAGTTTTCTGCTTTCATAATTTAATAAAATACGTAGGATAAATTAGCTGAGGCTCTTCTTGCTTTTGCAGTTGATTTCTACATCTTGGAAAGTAAATTATTTTTCATCCCAACATAATTAATATCTTCTGTTGATCCTTGGAAACAGTAATATTTATTTGCTAATGTAAAAAGTGTGGAAAAGGTGATGAAGGGAAATAATTAAAATATAATCTACCCTATATGTTTTAACTGAGTCATATATTCAGAAATTAAATTTCATAATATTTGGCAGTTACAGAAATGAATGCAACTTACTACTTTAAAAAGGTTGTCAGGCCAGGCGGTGGTGGCGCACGCCTTTAATCCCAGCACTCGGGAGGCAGAGGCAGGCGGATCTCTGTGAGTTCGAGGACAGCCTGGTCTCCAAAGCGAGTACCAGGAAAGGCGCAAAGCTACACAGAGAAACCCTGTCTCGAAAAACCAAAAAAAAAAAAAAAAAAGGTTGTCAATTATATTACAATACTGATACTCATATGAAATAGTTGTAAGAATTAGATGGTTCCCACAGTCTAAATGTCTTAATTTTATGTATCAAAAGCTATACTGAAAGTACAAATCTAATATATATATATCTTTTAAAGTATTTCTTTGAAAATTCTGCATCTCTTTAATTTCCGTTGGAAGAGTTTTTAAAAACTCCCTATTCTAGTTATTATTAGTTGTCCTTACAAAAGGAATCCCAAGAGTAAGACTATATAGTATAATGCAGGGTTCTCAAAGTGCATCAGGAAACTCTGCATTGAGGTCCAGAAATCAGTTTTGATTCAATCTACAGGAAATTCTAATGCTGCTGATCTATTTACACATTCCAGTTTATAAACATGGTGTGAGAACTGCCCTCTTTCCCTTTTTAACCTGTCCTCCTGACTCGGCTTTGCTCTGTCCTCTTGTGAGAAAAGGCCCTGGACTTATTTTGGACAAAGAAAAAAGAGATTGCTCTTATTTATTTCTTCATCATTCCTAGCCTTCCTGTGAGATCTGGTGGGAATACACTGTTAGAGTTGATTCAGAAACAGATAATAAGCTGAATGAATTCCAGGAAGAAGCACATCTGTTTAGTTGACCTTGGAAGCCCTCACTATATAATCCTTGGTACAGAGTTATTTGATTTCTTTTTGCTTGGATGTTCTCATTTTTACATAATGTACTATAGGTGACTATGATGAATTTAGTGAGATATTCATGTATGTGCATTAACCTTTTTGTGTTAGGAAACCCTCAGCCACTAATTAATTATTATTTGTCACATTTGTCCTTTTACAAAAGAATTAAAATAGGGGAAAAAAAGGAATAGCAAAAGCAACACTAACAGAAAATTTAAAAAGGAAACAAACCAAAAAAAAGTCTGTATTTATATGCATCATAAAGTGAGTTGTTGTAGAATGTTATTTTAAGATGTGTTACTTTTGTTTATGTTGAATTCGTTTAACTCTGTGAAGCTGCGTTACTGTGCCTGTCTAAAACACCTGATCGTATAATAAAGAGCTGAACAGCCAATAGCAAGGCAGGAGAGAGAAATAGGCAGGGCTGGCAGGCAGAGAGAATAAATAGAAATATGGGAGGGAAAGGAAGTAGCCAGAGAAGGAGGAGGACTCCAGGGGCCAGCCACCCAGCTACACAGCAAGCCCTGGGAAAGAGTAAGATTTATAGAAGTAAGAGAACAGGAAAAGCCCAGAGTCAAAAGGTAGATGGGATAATTTAAGGAAAGCTGGAAAGAAACAAGCAAAGCTAAGGCCGAACATTTATAAGTAAGAATAAGCCTCCATGTGTGATTTATTTGGGAGCTAGGTGGCAGGCTCCTCAAAAGAGCAAAACCCCCAACAACAGTGAGTTCTTTAAATGTTGCAAACCATGAGCAAGACCAGGCCGCTATCTTCTGTGCATCTGTTAGTTCTCTCATGATAGTGTTACTGGTACAGTCCCGGTTTCCTCAAGATGGTAGCACTGCTTTCTTGTTGCAGATTTGAAATGAAGATTTAAAAAAGATATATTGTTCTTTAGTAGGTAATTTTTTAAACTATTTAATATGATCAGTAGGGCCATCTTTTAACTGTCTCCTCAAATTTTTTATCCTGGATAGGAAATTCAATAAATTAAGTTTTTATTTTGCTGTGCTCCATGGCTTTCTTCTTTGATTAGCTCTAAGTACTAAAACCGTCCCCTGCTCACCTACAGCAGCATCTCTTGGTGCTGTCCATAGCAAGTGTGCTGTTTCATTTCCTGTTTGCAAACTATGAGTCTTCAGAGAGAGCTGTCATCACGTATGCAGGCGTCTTGTTCTTTTCTTCGCCTAGAAGTCATTCTGGGAGTAAGGACCCTTCTCTCTTCCTTCTAGCTCAACCTTCTCGCTTTTTAGAGTATTAGCCTCCTTGGCTAGCTTAGGGTTGTAAGTGGAAGTTTCTGTCCCACAAGCCACTCCCAAGTAACCACACAGAGGCTTAATATTAATTATAAAGGCTTGGCCAATAGCCCAGGCTTATTGCTAGCTAACTCTTACATTTAAATAAACCCATATATCTTATCTATACTTTGCCACATGGCTTGGTACCTTTTCTCAGTATGGCATGCCCACCTTGCTTTTCTCTACGTCTCCTCAAGACTCCTGACATGACCCTTCTTCTCCCCAGCATTCTCAGTTTGGCTCTTCTGCTTAACCTTATCCTGTCTAGCTATTGGCCAGTCAGCTTCTTTAAAACAATCACGGTGACATATATTCACACAGTATGAAGGAATATTCCTCATAGGGTCTCCAGAAATACACTCTTGAGAGATACAGTTTTCTTTTTAGGACTTACACATGTCAGTATTGAATGCATGTATCCCCTTTAAGTATTAAATTTGATGAAAGCATGAGGCATGAAATACAATTGTCTCACTTTAAATCCTCACCCACCATACACCTCTATGTTAGGGGTGGAACCTGTGGCCTTATGCATACTAAGTAAGTTCTCTATTGCTGAGCTATATCCCCAGCCTCTGTCTTCTATTTGTCCAGATCCTAGCTTAGTGTTGCTGAATGTTAGGAGTTAGAGTATAAATATGGGTAGGTATGGGTATGGGTATACAGGTATGGGTAGGTATATATAAAGTATAGCTATGGATGGACTCTTGATATTGCTGTTAGATCTAGAAAGCATGGATTCTTCTTTTGATGGAATAAAGTTAGAGACAGAGCAAATTAAGAAATAATTTAATTATTAGTTTATTTAAAATATGTTACTACTTCATTAAACACCCAGTTTTTATTAAAAGCAAGAAGTAAGGGACTAGAAAGATGGCTGAGCATTTAAGAGCACCTACAGCTCTTACAGAGGACTTTGGTTTAGTTCCCAGCACTCATGTGTATTATGTGTTGACTCACAGCCACCAGGGTCTCTGACACCATCTTCTGGCCCCCAAGGATACCTGCACACATGTGACTTACTCTCACATAGACACACACATACATACAAGGTTTTTTTTCCCTCCTTTTTAATCTTTAAAAAGCCAGGAGTCAAATGCTAAGTCAGATCTGCTGAAGTTATTTCTTTGGGAAATAGGAAGGTGAAGCATGCTGTGGTAAAACATGTCCATCAGCACAGGGAGGAGGGGTGTATATAAGCAGACCACTTAGGTCTGCATCCTGCCTCTGCTGTTCTCATTGCTCATTTGGGGTACCAGCTATGCTTTCTGTGCCTGTTTCATTATCTTTAAAGTAGGAACCTTACTTAATAAGGACCACTTCATAAAATTGTTAGAAAAAAATATAAGAATGTTATATAGCATGATCTTCACACAGTAGCCTCACTTCATACTGTCTCCAAGTTGCATTTGATTACGTCTATAAACATCCAAAATGCAGTTTTTCTTTTATTTTTGTTTTCCCCAAAATCGATGACCAAGTGGCAAGTCTGCCCGGTATTTATATGCTTCTTATTTTTTTTTTTTTTAAGGCGAAGAGTCATTTGCTGCTTGACTCTAATTACTTGAGTTTCTTTAGCTTTAGTGTGAGTGTTGGTCCTGGCTTTCAAAGAGTAGGCATGTGAAGGCTCACTGGAGCCTTCTGTTTCTTGTGCATGCTTTGCTCTGGTGTATGAGTCCAAGGAGTCATGCCTCAGGCAGGTAAGGAGAGCATGGGAATTATTGTCAAAGGAATGCTATCCTTTAGTTGTATTGAAAATGCCTTTCATAAAACTGTTTCAGATATGTATATATTTGTGACCTAGCCAGGGTCTAGAATATTAGAGCTTACAGAGGGAAAATAGATAAACTCTGGCAATTTATGCTAGTAAATGCAGGTAGTGATGTGGGGAAGGTTCTTAGGAACATGCGGGGGAAGACTGCCTGTTGAGAGTGAATGAATCAAGAAAGGCTTTTTGGGCAGTAGAAATATTGGCAGGACTGTTTTAAAACAGGAGCTAAACAAATAAAGTGAATAACTTTCCAAATATAATATAAAGGCCACAGCCCAAGGAATTGTGGCTTGGAAAGGTGGTGGCTAGTTCCGTAGACACTAATAGAGTGCACAGAGTGAGCCCTACATCACATCACCGTGAACACCTTGACTGTTGTTATGGCCCTTGTTTCCTCAAACTATACTGTCTCCTGATATTTGCAGTACTTATTGTTTTTATTTTTATTTGTGTGTGTGTGTGTGTGTGTGTTTTGCCTGCATGTATGTAAGTGCATCATGTGTATGCAGTGTCCACAGAGGCCAGAAGGTGTTGGATCTTCTGGAACTGGAGTTACAGTTGGCTTTAAGTTGCCATGTAGGTGTTAAGGACTGAACCCAAGTCCTATGAAGAGCAGCCAGTGTCCTTAACTTCTGAGTCATCTTCCCAGTCTTCAGTAGTCATTTTGGATGGACAGTGTGTACCTCCTTCTCCCAACCAAACTAACTCCTCTGCACAGCTGGTTTCTCCTCATTCTGGTATCGCCTTGTCTGTCATCACTTTAGTGGCTTGGCCTGACTCTCACAGCCAGCCCATCTCTCCACCTTATTAATTTCTTCAGTATGTGAACTGTGTGGCTAGACTGGACGTGAAAGCACTTGTTTATCCCCCAAAGCACAAATACTCAGAAATATTAAAGTCAGTGAATAGATGCTATCATGGAACTGCAGTAGGTGACTCACCTACATGTGGAGCTTTTTGGATGAATAAAGTTGGTTCATTTAGTGATGACAGCTTCTTATGGGCGCACAGCTTACCCTAAAGCTACCTCCAGGCTGGGTTGGAGCAGTTCATAAAATGAAGAAAGCATGTGCACCAAATGATGTCCAGTCAAATTAGAAGACCTACAGAAGACTTAGGTAGCTACTAAATGAAGTTCTGCTTGACCTCCAATGCCATTAAGAGACGATACTAACATTCTTCCTAAAGTCATAGAATAAAATTATGTCACCTCTAGAACTCCTCAATAGCACCAGAAAGCTTAGCTTTTTCATTTAAGAAACATCAAATCTTCTTCACCTCCACAATTCATATATTACCTAGAAATAATTTAGCTCATTAGAACTTTTTGAAGTCCAAATGCCAGGTACAACTTTGAAATGTTACAGATTTTGGTATGTAACGTTAAATCCTTGAAACTTATTGTACATGACTAATTTATCCTGGTAAAGTGTTAATATTTTCTCCTTAAGCTTTGGATATAAGGAACTTACTGGAGTTTCATAAGTTAGGTGCGAGTTTCTTGGTAGCCACAATACAAAGAGAGAAACAGCATGTAATGTGAAAAGGTGTTACTGCTAGGTGTAGCAAGCTTACAGTGAAATAGAAAACGGCTTAGTGGTGACGGTCAGCATTCTCTTCAACTGTTTGGTTTCTTGTTTTTTTTTTTTTTTTTACAACATTCTTTTCTTTTTTTTAATTTTTTTGTTTTTTGTTTTTTGTTTTTGGAGACAGGGTTTCTCTGTGTAGCTTTGGTGCCTGTCCTGGATCTCGCTTTGTAGACCAGGCTGGCCTCGAACTCACAGAGATCTGCCTGGCTCTGCCTCCCGATTGCTGGGATTAAAGGCGTGCACCACCACCGCCCAGCTTCCTTTTGTTTTTAGGAAAGAAATAGATCTTGCAAAGCCACAGAACAACAACAACAACAACAACAAAATCAGTTCTCTCATGAGGACAATCCCAGCTAATTGCCATAGTGTTATTTAAGACTGTGAACTGATCACTTAGCTCAATTGGTATTCACGGGTGGCTTTACACATTGTAATGTAGTTCAGCTGTCCTCTGCTCATAGCTGTGGTGCTGATTTCATTGTTTGTTTGTTTTTTGAAACTGGTTGTATGTAAATTTATACTTACCTACCATCCTTGAAATACCACTTATAAAACTACCCAGGGATCCCACTCTGTAGACATCTAAGAAATATTTGTTAAATAATGAACTCTTTAATTATTTTCAATTTAGTTGTAAGTTATAGTAGAGGCAAAGTAGCAAGAAGATAAATTTGTTTTCATTCATTTTATGTGATAAGAAGTACAAAAAATAAAAAGTTTCTGATCATAACCATACAATGATTGGAGTTTGAAACAATGGCTGTAGGAATGTGGTTTTACTCAAGATAAGTCTTTGAAACTTGACTTTTGGAATTTAGCCAGAAAAAATAATACTATCCAAATCATCTTAATAATGAATATAAAGAACATGTTAAAAATGGTCATGGAGCATATACTTTATTAATTCATTTGAAGGACAATATAACATTTTTCTAGTGTAGTGAAACTGTTCAAGACACTGTTTTAGATAGAGCAATGAACAACATAGATTAAAAACGCTTCGTGGAAGGTATATTTTGATGGGACAGACAATGGGCAAAATAAATTCATTTTAGTCATAAATACTATAGAAAAATAAAGCAAACAAGGAAGGTAGATGCATGAGGGTGTATTTTCACAAAATCATTACACTTGGAAACACACACACACACACACACACACACACACACACACACACACACTTTTCATTCCCCCACATTTTCTATATTTTAAATAAGGTGCCTCAGTAAGAAAAATTTCATTATTTGCTCCAATACTTATATTTACTTATAAGGTATCTAACTAACTAAATCTCAACAATATTTATTCTTGTTTTATATAAAAATAATTTTCATTTTATATTATTTATGTATGTATTTTGGTGCATGCTCCAAAAGGGAACTATCACATTGGACAAATGTAATGATTTGATGGCATTAGCAGTTATAATAGATAACTCTTACTTAGGGTTCTCTGAACCAGGCACTGCTTGGTTACAAATTGTCTGAGGGTTAGGTCTCTGTGGCATTGATGTGGAATCCCGCATGCAGGAGTTGAGAGCAGAGATGTAAATGTTGGTACTTGAGCCCCAGACCTGGCCCTGTTACCATTGCCTGTCATCGTGTGCTACTTATGGTAGATGTGAAGACTTAAAAACTCAACAAATGTGAACAAAGTAGAATGCCATCATGAAAAATAAGTATACAGGCCTTAATGTTAACATTTTTTCCTTATAACTAAAACATTATGAATGAAGGGCTGGAGGTACAGAGTAACAATTTAGAGACAATACTGTTCTTACAGAGGATACAAGTGTGGTTCCTATCACCCACATCAGACAGCTTACAACTGCCTGTAGAGCGCTGGGGATATGGCATCCTATTCTGGCCTTCCCAGGGACCTGCACTCACTGTACATTCCCACAGATGATATACCTTTAATTGAAAATAAAATATTTTAGAAAAATTCTAAAGCATAAATGAAGAGATCTTTAAAAATCATGTAGACAACTTTAAATAATTTGCATGCTACACATTAAATAACTTCATACAAACAAATATCAAATTAAAGCAAAGATAAAGAAATATACCCATATTGTGGTATATGAAAAGCTATTTTGGTGCTGCTTTTAAAACCTGGGTCTAGATTCTAGACTCTAGATAAGTCATATAGTTTTCATCATGACCAATATGGTATTGGTGTTGTGGTACTGGAAACGTAAGTATTAAAGGGGCAAGCGGCAGTCCATAAGGGTGTGATGGGAGTGGAGAATTCAACATTTCTCTAGGAGGTGTCTTAGAAAACATTAAGGCCTGTAGGGAATCTTTTGACTGACTCTTTTCCCAGCTGTTGAGTGGTTTATAGCTAGTCAAGCTCCTGGTGTGTCCTTGAAAAAGCAGCGTGTTCTGTAGAGCAACTCTCTGAAGCTGTAAGGCTTTCTGGGGAATGTTTGTTGAGAAGCCTTGTTAGGACTAAGGTAGAAGTCACACACAAACTGAGAGAAGACTCTAAGGCAGCTAGCTGTCCATAGGAAATAAAATAAGCCCCAGGAGAAGGTCAAAGAGTCAAATAGATCATGCTCATTTTTATTGTAGTTTAATCCTCTTCAGCAAACTAGCTTAATCACATTAAAAATTCCATATACAATTCTTTCATTATGTGATATATAAATTTTTTTCAGAAGATACTGTCATTGAATACCCATATGATACAGCAGTAAAAACAGTCTCCACTCCAATATTTGTAATCCATACTATTTGTTATTTCCAGGGAACCTTTTATTATTTTGTCAGGAGGCCTGTCATATGATACTGTGGGAAGGAGGCCTTGCTTAACAGTGATGCACGGGAAAAGCACGGCTGTGCTGGAAATGGACTATTCTATTGTTGATTTTCTCACACTCTGTGAAACACCGTACCCGAACGGTAAGGCTCACGCTCCATAAATATTAATGTTCAACAAAGACGTCTGCTGTCCTAAGTAGTTTCCATATACTGTTGTCTTAATGCTTCAAGGGAAGAGTTCCTGCTGTTAAACATAGCCGATTTTATTTCAGCTGTTGGGTTTTTTTTTCCAGTACACTCTACCTTTTCTGTATTGTACATTAATATTAAATACCTTTCAAAGAAAGACACTGCCCATATTTAATATTTTAAATTCTGTGAAACAGTAGTACATCAGATTAGCTATATTTCTCCAGAGAAATAGAGATGATATGTGGTATATATGAAGGACTTGGGGACTAAAAGTCTAAAAATTCTAGAGTGAGTTCAAGTCCTGGTCTGGGACTTTCAGGAAGGAGTTGTGCGTTTAACCCTCACCCAGAATTATGACTTTGAGGGAAAGCTGTCTTTGCCCTTAAGACCTTCATCTGGTAGGTTTAGTCTGGCCCAGCCGTTCAGAGTAACTGCTTTGTTAAGTTTACCACATTGAATGTTAGTCATTTCTCAGAGATTCCTTCATGGCAGATCTAGACTAGTGCTCATCAGGCAGCAAGGGGCGCCAAAGCATAGACAAGTTAATTCAGAGAATGAATTCGGATGTTCATCTTCTCATTTCATTTGGATTTCTTTGAAGTTTAAAGATGCAATGCATTTTGTAGTTATTAACAGACACATATTAACATTCGAAAACAATAACAGAACTCTATCAGTTTTTTCTGAGATTCTATAGTAATTGGTCTGGATTAAGTTGCAGTTTTGATGTCTTTGCCACACCCCTGGAATATGTAATATCACAGACGTTTCTTTGAAGTTCTTGTCTTACTCATCTTTACAAATATCTAAGAATTTTGAATGGCTTATGTTGTATGTTTATCTCATCCAAGCCATATATATTATATGAACCACCCTGGACTCATCAGAATGCTAAACACTTAGAAACTGGAACAAGAAGAGAAGTAAGGGATGTCCTTATCTTGTGGCTGCCCTCTTGCATCTGTAAAGCAACTGATCATGCATTGTTCTCATATTCCAGATTTTCAAGAACCATATGCTGTGGTTGTTCTTCTGGAAAAGGATTTAGTACTGATAGACCTTGCACAAAATGGGTAAGAACGCTGGGTGAGCAATTCCATTACTATGTGGGGGGATTAAAAAAAAAAAACACAAGCATCTCTTTTAGCATGTCATTAGCTATTACAGTCCTTTGAAAACTTCACATTGATATTAATGATCTCCTTTTAATGCTCTAGAACCACATTTCCATAATCTGAAATTTATTTATTATAATGATTATACTGATATTAATATTGATATATTATATTGATTATAATTTTGTTTCTTTTTTCTTTTATTGAAAATCTATTTTTTCCTTAATATATCCTGATTACAGTTTCTCCTCCCTCTGCTTTTCACTCTCTCCCTACCTCCCCTCCCATCCACATCTACCTCCTTTCTGTCTCTCACTAATTGAAAATAAAATATTTTAGAAAAATTCTAAAGCATAAATGAAGAGATTTTTAAAAATCATGTAGACAATTTTAAATAATTTGCATGCTACACATTAAATAACTTCATACAAACAAATATCAAATTAAAGCAAAGATAAAGAAATATACCCAAATATACCCCTAAGGGAAATAATAGAATGTAATAAGATAAAACAAAATCTAACACATTAAAATTGGACAAAACAAACAGAAGGAAAAGAACCCAAGAGAAGGCAGAAGACACAGACCCACTCATTCACACACTCAGGAATCCCATCAAAAACACTAAACTGAAAGCCATAATATATTCACAAAGAATCTATAGGGTAAAAACAGAAAAGAAAAAATATATATACAAATAAAATAAGAATTAAAAATAATAAGGTAAAGTTAATAAACACAAACAAATGCAAAATGAAAAAGGAAAAGTCTGACAGTCATTATGAGATAAGGACCCTCCAGCGATACTGAAGAGCTCGTTTTCTGCTGGCCGTGGACTCATTTGCAGGTGGCTATCAAGTGGAGATGGATGGCTTCTATGTTAGTGGTGGGGACACGTGCCCATTTCTCCTTTCAGCTCTGGGATGTCATCAGGTACAGACCTGTGCAGGCCCCGTGGGCCTGCACCATATGTCCATCCGCCATGTTGATTTAGAGGGCCTTGTTTCCTTGGGGTCCTCTATCCCTTCTACCTCTTAACTTTTTCTGCCTCTTCTTCCATGGGGTTCCCTGAAACCTGAGGGGAGGGGTTCATGGGAGACAACCCATTTAGGGCTGAGTGTTCCATGGTTTCTCACTTTTTACATAATATCTGCTATGTGTCTCTATTTATTCTGATCTGCTACCGGAGGGAGCTTCTCTGATAATGGCTGAGCAAAGCACTGATCTATGAGTATAGCAGAATGTTATTAGGAGTCATTTTATTGCTACTTTTTTATTTACACCAGTATTATTTGGTTTTACCCTAGGTCCTTGGGCTGTCTAGTTTCTGGTTCTTGGTCACCCAAGCAACATTGGGTATGAGTTCCATTTTGTGTAGTGGGCCTTAAGTCAGATCAGATATGGTTGGTTATTCCCACAAGCTTAGTGCCACCATTGCCTTAGCATATTTTACAGGCAAGACAGCTTATAGATCAAAAGTTTTGTGGCTAGGTTGGTATTGGTGTTTTCCTTTTGGTAGCCTGAAGAGTACCTTCCTGTACCAAAGACACCAGAACGTGGGGTGAAGGCTCCATGTAGGCACCAATTCACCTTCTCCATGTTCAATGATTTATGATTTTCTTGTTACTTAACTCAGAGTTTCTAGAATTTTTTGCCTTTCAGCTTCATGCTTGTATATGCTAAAATCATACACAAGGACCCACCATAGTTCACCTCTGATGAACTTTTTAGTCTTACTCCTTCTGTTCAGTCTGTTGTGATGTATTATGCAGATTCCTGTCAGACTAATTGTGACCTACGTCATGCCCTTATTACTCTGATTTAAACCATTGTTTGCTATTATTGCTTTAACTGCTCTCTCTGCTAACTTAAAAAGACTGCGGTGTTATTTCTCACTTGCTCTCTCCCTATCCTCCCACAGTGGCCTTAATTTAGGGGATAGCAGACCTCAAATTTCATACCTTCTCTTACACAACTTTTGGCACCTGGAACCCTCCACTTATTTCACTGTCGATAGAATCCACACACTTTTCACCACATGCTTTATGGCTTTCCTAGACTCTTTACAGATATGTCTGATCTGTAAATCCCCAAACCCCATCTCAGCTCTTTGTAACAGCTTCTGGCATTTGCTATATTTATACCTGTTATCAGTAATACTCAGTGTTGTGAATAGAATCGCCGTATTACTTATTTTCTCCTGAAAAATAATCATTGAGCAAAGCTTCCTTTGAGCCGCAGTCACCCTGGGGCTAAGGTGGTTTTGCCCCCAGGAACTATTTGACAGTGTCTGGATAGATAGTTTATTAGGTGGAATACTACTGGCATCTAGTGGATAAAAGATAAATATACTTCAAATATCTGCAATGTACAGCACAGTTTTCCAAGTGAAAGCCTCTCTAGATGTGGACAGTAATAAGGTTGGAAACCTCATGTATGTGAGTGGTGCTGCTTGCCTGATTATTTTTTTAAGACATTAAATCCTGACTGAATTTCAGCTTAGTATCTGTTACTTATATTAATTATTAGTAAGTTTTTTATTTTATTTTTAAAGTAACAGACAATTTGAAAATAATTCTGTATGATAGCCCTAGAAAAATATGTTATTAATATATTTTTTTTCATTTTCATCTATTAGATAAGTTGTTTTAATAATGGAATTTGTTGCATGTGCTCTGTACTGAAATATGATTAAGTCAAGAAATACTATTCAAATACAATTCAAATCACATGGGATAATATGTTTTATTTTTGTTGAACTGTCAGTTAAATATGTGAAATACCAGATCCTTAGAGCTAAGGAAAAGATTTATTATGAAGAGAAGAAAGCTAATTTTTATTACTACTCCTTTTGTGTGTGTGTTTCATCTTTTGTTTAGGAATAAAGATAGAGATGGTCGGGCTCATTTTATAGTTTGTAAATTTTTTTTTCCTGAAATACCGCTTGTTTTTTAGTATTATTAGCAGTAGGCAAATTAACACACACTGAATAGCCATTTTGTACCTTTTAAGTGTCTGTTTGTTTCTGGTTTTTTTTTTTCAGATATTTTAAAGTCTCATTCTAAGCAACATTATTATGTTTTTAGTTTTAAACATATTACTATGTATTTAGGTAGAATTGTACTTTAATTTTATGATTTAAAGCATGTTTTGATATCTTGATGAATTTATTACATAGCTAGAAAACAAGGGAACCTCATGGCTCAGCTGTAGTGTGTCTGACTCCATATCTTAAAAACCATGAAAAGTAAAATTATAATTTAGGTTATTACTGGACTAAAATACCTTAGCTGTTCGCCAGTGTGACAAGCTTCCTGAGAGAAAACTTTTCAGAGAGGAAGTATTTATTGTTGCCCACTGTTTGAGAGGTTCTGGTCCATTGCTGTGGGCTTACATTGGTGAGGAAAATACCTTACCTTTGCAGGAAGAAAGTCCTACTGCAGGGTTGTCAGTCTCACAAACTCCCAGCAGCCAGAGGGCAGGGAAGTGTGCCGGTGCCAGCAGGTCCCCCTGCCCCTTCTGCCTGGGGCGCCAGCCTCGTGAGATGGCACTAACCCATCAGAGTGAGTCTTTCACCTTAACTAGTCCTCTCTGGAAATGCCCTCAGATAGACCCAGAGACGGGCTCCACTGGTTAGTCTCTTCTTTTGGGTTATGTTTGTGATTAATCATCACACAAAACAGCTTTCTTTAATATTGGATGAGGTATCAAAATGATGGAGGAAAAAAAAAAAAAGAATTGGAATTTAAGGTGGCTATGCCAGCAGAAGGGTGAGGTATTCGATACCACGATGTTGAGAAATTACTGATTTCCCAGCAGTTTAAGTTCTGCTTCAGCCACTTCCTAGCTGACAAGTTAAGCCTTTGTTTTGTCGAGAGAATGGGTCGTAAGTTAGGTGTGAGAAGCACATGAGACTAACATGTATGTAGCGTGCAGTTTTTCGTGTAGCAGTGATATAGGTGCAACCTTTGTGTTTATTAGTGGTAAGAGAGCATCTTCCGTAATAGAAGTCTTCGATGTTTTTACATATTCACACAGAATAATAAAATCCTAGAATGTATAGTAATGCCTTCATGGTTGTGTTAATCACAGGTTACAGTGTGTTAATGTGGTTTTCTTTTTCCTATTGTTAAAGATACCCTATATTTGAGAATCCCTACCCTTTGAGTATACACGAGTCCCCTGTTACATGTTGTGAATATTTTGCTGATTGTCCCGTGGACCTCATTCCTGCACTTTATTCTGTTGGAGCTAGACAGAAACGTCAAGGCTACAGCAAAAAGGTACCAAACCTGAGTTCATTGTTTAATGTAACATATTATTATTATTTTGAATTTGTCACCTTGAGGTGTTGGTAACATTGTTAACTTTTTAGGAAATCATTTTTAGAAGTAAATTCTGTACTGTGTTCATACCTATGTAATATACCTATACATTGTATACTACATGTCTACTATAGAGAATATGTGTTTTCAAGTCAATTTTCAATTTTTTTTTATAGGAATGGCCCATCAATGGAGGTAATTGGGGCTTGGGTGCTCAAAGTTACCCAGAAATAATTATTACAGGGTAAGTAAACATATATTTTTGCCAATTAAATCAGTAATAGCTAATATACTTAAGACAGTTTGAATTTTAACTCACTCGGTAAGTAAAGCTTTCTTCTGTGTTACAACTTGCGAAGTGAGTTATCGGCGAGAACTTGGTGGCTCTCAGTGATTTCTGCCTTTTGCTCATCTTTGTGAATGAGTTTGCTGACAAGTAACTGTTTTTTTTTTCCTTTTCTTTTTTCATCATATTTTTGTCTCTTTTGTTTGTCCTAGGCATGCTGACGGGTCAATTAAGTTCTGGGATGCTTCTGCAAGTAAGAGCTTTGACTATTTAGCTGTTTGTCAGGTTTCATTGCTATTGCCCTTATACATGATGTTTTAAATAATTGTATAAACCACATTAGATTTGAAAGTACTAAATGATCAGCACAGTTTATTGGCTTATCAAGAATCCAGATATTTTAATGTTGTTAGTAAGCCAAATAATAATTCTCAACAGTGTTCCAGTTTTTTCAAATTTCTCCAGAACTTCTCTTTAGAAGTCAAAAATAGACGTGAAAATATATTTCAAATTAGAAAATGCTTTGATCCAATTCTAAAGTACTATTACAAAAGATTATGTTGTCCTTGTGAACAGACCTTGGATTAGATAGTAGCAAAAGAGGGAAGAAACACCTTTGTGATTGGAGACCATTTATAGAAAGCATTTATAGAAATCCACTTAACTCGGGATAGCTGGTGTTTTATAGGAATGTTTGATAATACTGGTGCCTTTTTGGAAGAAAGTTTATATATATAGGATGTCATTTTAGGGACTAAAATATGTCCTCCATATGTTTACAGCAAGTATTTTGCTCCAGTTTCCTCTTGTAGTTTCTCCTCAGTCCCTCTAAATCCTTTGTGATGGTGAAAATGTCTGAATATATAATACACTGAGAAATAGACAGAGAAATGAAAGTAGGGTTTAGGTAAATGTAGGCTGTTTTTCTTCCATAACATGATGATTAACCATTATATTTGGTTTTTAAAGATTTGATGGAATGTTTTTATTTACAGATTTTTCATATAATATTTTGATCATATTCTTCCCCTCCCTCAACTCCTCCCAGATCATTCCAACCTCCCAACCCATCCCACTTCATGCCCCCCCCAAAAAAATTGAAAAAGAATAAAATCAAAACAAAAAACAATAGGACAAAAAAATACCAAAACAAAACAAAAAGCACCCCCCATACACAACACACACACACACACACACACACACACACACACACACACACACACACACACATGCACACACCAAATGGAGTCTATTTTGTATCGGCCAGATTGTGGTTGGTAAACCCAGTGACACCCTACTGGAGAGTGCTATTTTCTCTTTCTGAGCATGTAGCAGTTGGATTGAGGGCTGGATTTTGTGTCTACTTTCTCTTCTCCATGCTGGGGCTTCGTGTGGTTTGACCTTCTGCAGGTCTTATGCATGCTGTCACATTCTCTCTGAGTTCATACGTGCGTCAGTACCTTGAGCCTTGACAGGAGGGACTTGATAAAGACATCCCCTTTAGGGCTGAGTGCCGAAGTCTTTCACTCTCTGTGCATTGTCCAGTTGTGGGTCTCTTTGTTAATTGCCATCTTTTGCAAGAAGAAGCTTCTCCGATCAGAGATGAGTGATGCATGGATCTATGGGTGTAACAACGTGTCCTGATGAGTCATTTTACTCCTACGTTACCTTGCCAGAATGATAGTAGTAGCCTTTCCCCTAGGGCCCATGACCTAGCTATAGCTAGCTCAGGTTCTTGACCACTTTAGCAGTGTCAGATATAGGTTCCATGTCATCAAGTAGGTCTTCAATCCAATTTTGAAAAAAGTGGTTGATTACTTCCAAGCTGTTTGTGCCACCATTGTACCAGTGTACTTTGCAAGCAGGTCACTGTTGTAGGTCACAGAGTTTGTAGCTCAGTGATACTTCCTCTTCCTGGAAGTCCTTCTCCTCCCATCCTGGTCCCTTAATAGCTGCCTAACTTCTGTGGGAGTTTAGTTTTGTGCAGGGTGATAGATATGGATCTATTTCCATTTTCTACATGCAACTATCTGCTTTGACCAGCACCAGTTGTTGAATATGCTGTCTTTCCTCCAGTGTGCACCTTTGGGTTCTTTGTGAAGGCTCAGGTATCCATCAGTGTGGAACTTATATTGATCTTTAATTCTGTTTCTTGGTCAAAGTGTCTGGTTTTTACACCAATAACCATGCTGTTTTTATTACTATAGCTCTGTAATACAGTGTGAAATCAATGGCGATGATGCCTCTAGCAGTTCTTTTATTATTCCTATTTTAAGCTAGGCAGTGGTAGCCCATGCCTTTAATCCCAGCACTCCAGAGGCAGAGGCAAGAATGTCTCTGAGTTCAAGACCAGGCTGGTCTACAGAGTGAGTTCCAGGACAGCCAGGACTATATAGTGAGACCCTGTCTGGAAAAACAACAACCAACAAAATAGAATTCTTTTACTTATACTGGGCTTTTTTCATCTTTCCATCTGAAGTTGAAGATTGTTTGTTTTGTTGTTGTTGTTTATTTATTTATTTTTGTTGTTCAATTTCTGTGAAGAATTGTGTGGTAATTTGGATGGGGATTGCATTTGAATCTAGATAGCTTTTAATAGGCTAGCCATTTTCACAGTATCAATCTTACTGACCCAAGGGAGGTCTTTCTGTGTTCTGTTATTATCTTCACCTTCTTTCTTCAGTGTCTTACAGTTTTTATTATTCAAGTCTTTCACTCATCTGGTTAGAGTTATCCTAAGTTTTTGTTTGTTTGTTTTGTTTTGGGGTTGTTTGTTTTGAGGTGATTGTGGAAGGTACCGTTTCCCTGATATCTTTCTCTGTTTGTCATTTCTGTATAGGAAAGCTTTTGTGTGTATGTGTATGTGTTAATTTTATATCCTGATACTTTGTTGAAAGTATTATCAGCTATAGAAGTTTCCTAGTGGAGTCTCTCCGGTCTTTTATATGTAAAATAATGTCTGCAAATAAAGATAATTGACTTTTCCTTTTCTGTTCGTATCCCTTTGATGATCTCTTTCAGATGTCTTACTGCTCTAGCAAGACTTCAAGTACTACATTGAATAGCTATGGAAAGAGTACCCTTGTCTTGTTTCTGATTTTAGTGGAATTGCTGTGAGCTTTTCTCCATTTAGGATGACGTAGGCTGTGGGTTTGACTTTATTGTGTTGAGGTTTATTCTTTGTATCCAGGAAAAAAAACAAAAACAAAACAAAACAAACAAACAAACAAACAAAAGTCTCTTCAGGACTTTTATCATGAAAGCTTTTGTCAAAGACCTTCTCTACATCTAATGATATAATTGTGTGGTTTTGTCTTTCAGTTTGTTTATGTGGTGGATTACTTGTTAATCTATGTTGAACCATCTCTGCATCTCTGGAATGAAGTCAGTTTGTTCATGGTGGATGATCTTTTTTGATGTGTTCTTGTATTCAGTTTCCAAGCATTTTGTTGAAATTTTTTGTATGTATGTTTCTAAGGGGTATTTAATTGGTCTTTAATTTTCTTCTGCTGTTGGGTCTTTATGTGGTTTTGGCATGAGAATAATCAGGGCTTTCTAAAACAAACTGGAAGGGATTTCTTGAGTTTATTTGGTGGAATAATCCCAGGAGTGATGGCATGAGCTCCTCTTTGAAGGTCAGTAGAGTACTGCACTGAATCCATCTGTCCCCGGCTTTATTTGGTTGAGAATCTTTTACTTACTGCTTCACTTTCTCTATGGATTATGGGTCTGTTTAAATCATTTATTTCATTTTAATTTTATTACATCATGTATATCTAGAAATTCATCCGTTTCTTGTAGGTTTTCTAACTTGGTGAAGTACAGATTTTTAACTTTCCCTAAATTTCTCGGTAACATTTCTATTTTTTTTTTTTTTTTTTTTTTTTTTTTTGGTTTTTCGAGACAGGGTTTCTCTGTGTAGCTTTGCGCCTTTCCTGGAACTCACTTGGTAGTCCAGGCTGGCCTCGAACTCACAGAGATCCGCCTGGCTCTGCCTCCCGAGTGCTGGGATTAAAGGCGTGCGCCACCACCGCCCGGCCATTTCTATTTTAATATCTAATTTTATTAATTTGGATCTTCTGTGTTCTTTGCTTAATTTGGCTAGAAGTTTGTTGATTTTTGTCAAAGAACCAAATCTTTGTTTCCTTGGGGTTTTTTTTTGTTTTTTTTTTTTTTTTGGTTTGTTTGTTTCTGTTTCATTGATTTCTCCCCTTAGTTTGATAATTTGTTTCTTGCCATTTGAGTACTACTTCTTCTTCTTGTTTTTGAGAGCTTTTGAATATGTCATAAATAAGTTATATATATGCAATTTCTGCAAGTTGTTGGTGTAGCGCTTAGCGCTGTCTTAGTATTATTATGAACATGCTTCTTAGAACCTGCTTCATCATTTCCATAAGCTTGGGTGTGTTGTGTTTTCACATTCATTCAATTATAAAATGTTTTTAATTTCTTACTTGTTATCTCTCTTGACCCAGTTTTCATTCACTAATAAATTGTTCAAGTTCCATGAGTTTGTGTACTCCCTGCCATTCTGTGCAGCTGTAATCCATGGTGTTCAAGTAGGGTGCAAGTCCTATTTCAGTTTTCTTATATCTGTTAAGACTTGCTTTGTGTCCTAATATGTGGTCAGTTTTGGAAAAATGTCCATGGGCTGCTGAGAAGAAAGTATATTCTTTCGCACTTGAATAGAATGTTCTGAAGGTGGCTGATAGGTCCAGTTGATTTCTGATAACAGTTAGCTCTGTTTCTCTACTTTATTTTTGTCTGGATGACCTGTTTCTTGGCAACAGTGGGATATTGAAGTCATGTGCTCTCCTTATGGCAGTCAGTATGTGATTGTTATCTACAGTAGTGTTTCTGAACTTGTGTTTGTTGTATAAGTATTTAGAATTGGAGTATCCCTTAGTGGATTTCTCTAATGCGTATATAGTATCCCTCCCTATCTCTTCTGATTTTTTTTTGTTTGTTTAAAGATCATATTTTGTCAGATGTTAAAATGGCTACACCAGCTTGTTTTTTAAGTCCATATTTTTGGAATACCTCTATCCTTTTACCATAAATTGGTGTCTTTCCTTGATGGTGAAGTATATTTCTCGAATACATCAGAAAGATGGATCATGGTTGTTCATCTTTGTGATCTTACACTAGGATCTAGGTAGCGAGAGTTATGACTCTAAAGTATTTCTTGATGTAGTTGTCTGCTCTTGTCTTTGCTGGGTGCTTGTTTCAGTCTTTGCTTGCTGTTGCCCACTCTGGATTCTAGCCAAGTGTTGTACCTGTGGGGTTGCTAAATCCCAGTAAAATATGGAGGCTGTTGGTCCCTGATAGAGGAAGATTTATGGGTTAGTAGGGAGTCACAAAAAAAATGGACAAGGAATAATTGAAAGGGGTGGTAGAGAAGAATTAACAATTTTGGGGTTTCAGCTAAAATTTGTAATATACTTTCTTCTAGTAACTCTACAAGTACTGTATAAATTAAAAACGTCTAAAGTGTTTGAAAAGTCAAGAAGTAAAGATGACAGACCGAACACGGACATTGTAGATGAAGATCCATATGCCATTCAGATCATCTCCTGGTGCCCAGAGAGCAGAATGCTGTGCATAGCTGGAGTGTCAGCACATGTCATCCTTTATAGATTCAGCAAGCAGGAAGTGGTAACAGAAGTCATCCCGGTAATCACCTCTTAAACAGTTTCCTTCTCAGTTGTCTGATATTTTTAAGCTTTTAAAAATTATTTAGTAAGAAGTTTACTATTGTTTTTGCATAAAAATTTGAAAGCACTTTAGTATTTATATCACTATCTGTTTTGTGAAAATAGCATTTTTACATATACTTTAAGGGACTATCTGAATCTTTAAGTATATTATGTCTTTTATTTAAGGAATGTCAACTTATTGGTATTCCATACATTCTAAAATCATGATGCATATGTGTGTACATGTATGAACTCCCACCCATACACACAAGTTCTTAAAAGTTGAGTCAAAAATCTTTTTTTCTTTTATCGCTAGAAATATAGTCCTTTTTTTTTTTTTTTACTTTTAAAAATATTCTTTCTGGTTCATATAATACAGGAGTTTTAATTATTAGGAATAGGTAAACAGCCATTCTTTTATGACAGATGCTTGAAGTTCGACTGTTATATGAAATAAATGATGTGGAAACGCCAGAGGGTGATCAGCCGCCACCTTTGCCCACCCCCGTGGGCAGCTCCAACCCTCAGCCCATTCCTCCTCAGTCTCATCCATCCACCAGCAGCAGCTCATCCGATGGGCTTCGCGATAATGTACCTTGTTTAAAGTAAGTTGCAAAACATTAGGTCTGTTTTACATGTTATCTCTTCATTTAGAAAAATAATTATCATTAGTACATCTATGATGGCATTTTCCTGTAAGAATGGGTATTCTTGTGTTTGGTGTGGTTAACTGAGCTTGTATTTATGGTATAAGAAGAACGGTAATTCTATAGTGTTACACCTAATATTACCAAGGTTTAAAATAATGAGGTAGGATGGCTATGGGTCACCCTGTATGTATCACTACACCTTCACATAAGCCATGATTTCATCCTGGACTTAGATTAATGTGGTTTATGTTCATTCTCTTCTCTGAACTCTGAAAATTCTGCTTCTTTTCATTTTCACTTTGGATTCAGTGTTCTCATATTTTATGTTTTCCTGAATCTTAACATCACTTTATCTTTACATAAAAGACTTTACTTTGTATCATTTTAAGAGCAGACTAGTTGATGCAGGGATAAATTGGATGCACTTTTATTTTCATTTTTCTGTTCAGTTTCTGTTTTTGAGTGACTAAATTCTTCAGAGGTTATAGAGAAATAAAGTGATGAGTAAAGAATTAAAATCGTTGGATTACATAAAAACTGTGTGACTCAATGTGCTACATAGAAAACAACGAAAATCACGATAGGGGACAGAAGTGGATGGGTTCAAAGTGGAGAGGGTGACAGGACAGCATGTGTGCTCAGTAGAGAACTAGGTTTTGTGTTGATTTTACAGAAGAGCAGCTGAGAGTGCTTCTAGTGCATATGCGGTGGTTAGAATGTTGATATAGTAAAAAAGCCACTCCTCAAATAAGGCAAACAGACATTAAAAGAAAAAAATCACAATCAGATTTCTTAAGATTCATTTATTTTATTTTATTTTATGTGAGTTGATGTTTTGCCTGCATGTGTGTCTATGTGAGGGTGGCAGATTCCCTGGAACTGGAGTTACAGACAGTTGTGAGCTGCCATGTGGATGCTGGGAATTGAACCCAGGTCCTCTGGAAGAACAGCCAGTGTTCTTAACGCCTGAGCCATCTCTCCAGCTCCTACAATTCTCTTTTAAGTACATGTTTTACAGAATTTTTTCCTATGTTCTCAAAATCTTGAGAGCATGGATTTTAAACGAGTGATTCTCCAGCAGGGATGATCTCGCCTGTTTCAGGATATGCCCCAGTGTCTGGAGACAGTGTTAGTTTCCCAGCAGGGGCTGGGGCTGCTGTTGAGGTTGAGTTGGTAGACTTGGTAGATGGGGCCTGAGATGAGGCTCAGATCTATAATGTACATGGCGAAGAATTGCTTCCTTCAAAATGCAGGAGTCTCAAAGGTCGCAAGCTGGCTTCTTCCCTTCCTTCCCATGTTTCCTTTCCTCTTCTACTCCCCCTCTCTCTCTTGCTTCCTCCCACCTTCTCTTTATCTCATACTTAGAAACATCTCCTTTTAGCTACACTTCTAGCATATATTATCTAAAACGAAATTTACAATACAGATTTATATTTTTGCTATTTTTTAAGGATGCAGTACTACTTTAACACTAAATTTTAAAATGTTACTGCAGTGTTTTCATATTGGTTTCATTTTTTTAGTTTTTGTTAATTTTATAGATGGATAATATAATTATCTATTATGGGTATTAGTAAAATAGTTCTATATTTCCTCAGTTTTATCAATTATATGAAGTAGTGTTTTAGCATATTTAGCACAATGTTATCACATAAAAATGTGAGATAATTTGTCATCTTCAACAAAATTAGAATACTTTAATTTGGGCTTTAGCATTACTTATGCCTCTAAATGTTCATAAGCTTAATATCCAACAGTCTGAAACATGAGATCAGTTTCCTCCTGAGGAATAAACACTGTCAATGTATGGCTTTCCCAAGCCAAGAGGCTAGGAAATAGTTAGGACAAGAAACGAAGTGCTCTCAAACCAGAGTTACAAGACCTCTTGCCTTGGCTCCCCAGATAAAAATGAAAGGCAGGTCCAATAAGCGAATCTTTGTCCTCTGATTTTGCTTAGGTAAGTGTTTTTCCACTGTTTGTACTGACAGAAAGGACAAGGAGAATAAGTAAGTTAATTACCAAAAACAATTAAAACCTCCAGCCAGAGCCTGGAAGTCTAAATCCTCTTAAGATGCACTGTTTCTGGAACTGAGTTTTCAGTACTGTCCACAGGCTTGAGGTTATGGATAGCTATCATTATTGTCTGATATTTGTATCTGTGGTGAGATGTATTGACTTCTAATCTGCAAGTATTTAGTAGAATGTCGCTTAGTATAGCAATTTCTTTTCAGTTCAGATTTCAAGGGATTCCTAATGTCTAGGAAGTCTCACAAGCCAACTTGTTACTGCTTAATATTCTTTGTTATTAGCATTAGCTGTTAACATTTGTATGTGGATATACTTCCCTATCCTGGACTTATACAGTAACTTAAATACATTGTTTCTTAATCCTAGAAGAATTAATGTAACTGTGATTTGATAATGATGCTCTTCTTCACTTTTGAATGCCATTTTAGACTTCTAGGGTATACTGTGGTGTTATCTCCATTTTGGGAGGAGCTTGCTTTCAAGGGGTTTCTTACACTGCTCCCTCTACCTCATGTGACCAACCTTGATTTCTGTCAAGATAATGTAGTTCATGCCCTCTTCTTCTTCTTCTTTTTTTTTTTTTTGGTGTTTAATTTATTGAACTTTTTTTAAAAATTTTTTATTTTTATTTTGCAATACAATTCAGTTCTACATATCAGCCACGGATTCCCTTGTTCTCCCCCCTCACCTTCCCCTCAGCCCACCCCCCATTTCCACCTCCTCCAGGGCAAAGCCTCCCCTGCGGACTGAGATCAACCTGGTAGACTCAGTCCCCTCCTCCCAGGCCGAGCCAAGCGATCCTGCATAGGCCCCAGGTTTCAAACAGCCAACTCATGCAATGAGCACAGGACCCGGTCCCACTGCCTGGATGCCTCCCAAACAGATCAGGCCAATCAACTGTCTCACCCATTCAGAGGGCCTGATCCAGTTGGTGACCCCTCAGCCATTGGTTCATAGTTCATGTGTTTCCATTCGTTTGGCTATTTGTCCCTGTGCTTTATCCAACCTTGGTCTCAACAATTCTCGCTCATATAAACCCTCCTCTTTCTCGCTAATTGGACTCCCAGAGCTCCACCCGGGGCCTAGTCATGGATCTCTGCATCCAGATCCCTCAGTCGTTGGATGGGGTTTCTAGCACGACAGTTAGGGTGTTTGTCATGCCCTCTTCTTATCTCCATGTGGAATTCAGGGAGACCAGCTTCTTTTGAAGAATATAACAACAGAACAAAATATGATTTCTAGACCTGTCTAGCGGGTTACTAATAATTGCTACATAATAGTTGTCAATCAGTGATAATAACTACAAAAAGTATTTTTAAGAAAAAGAAAATAGAACTAAAACCCTTATGCTTTTCCATTAAATGTTATATTATTCTATGATTATTTTTTAAATATGTATTTTCATTCTTTGAGAATCTCATACATGCATTCATTGTGTGCTGATTATATTCATTTTCTACTCCTCCTCTTAACCTTCCAGATCCCCCTGCAACTTTATGTCCTCTTCTTTTTTTCTTCTTTTTTTAAATGACCCACTGAGTCCAGTGTCTGCTGCCCCTATGCTCATCCAGTGGATGGGCACACTGGACCATGGTCAACTTACAGGGGGAAACACCTTTAAAGAAAACTGACTCTCCTTCCAAGAGCTATCAGCTGTCAGTAGTTCCTCAGCTAGGAATACATGCTGGAATGTTGACTACCTTGATCTTTGGTCTGTCTTGTGCAGGCAGCCATAGCTGCTGTGAGTCTTTGATCAATTGTTAACCTCTTTTGAAAACTACTCTTGTCCTAAATTTGATTAACCTGAAATCATACAGTATAGTTGCTTGGTGAATGGCAAAATTTAACTCTATGTATGTCTTTTAGACTTTTGATTAGATCTGTAATTGCTGTGCAGTGAGGTGGCTGTTCTTCACTCTTAAGTTGACTGGGTTTGGAATCACCCAGGAGATAGGCCTCTGAGCATGTCTGTGGGGACATTTCCAGAGAGGTTTAACTGTGAGGGAAGACTCAGCATGGATTCAGTGGTGCCGTCTTATGGACTAAGGTTACCAGGTCAACAGAAAGGGGAGGAGCAGGAAGCCACGGAGCACCACTACTCACCTGCCTTTACTTCCTTTCAACCCAGTGTGACCATCTCCATATGCTCCCACAACCATGTCACACTGCCATAGTGGAATATGACCCCTAGAGCAGTGAACCTAAGCAAACCCTTCATTCTTCCAGCAGCCTTTGTCACAAAAGTAAGGAAAAGAGCAGAGAGTCACCGCCAGGAAGTGGAGTCCTGCTGTAAGAAGGCTGGCTGTGTAGCTGTTGGGCCCTTTGAACTAGTGTGATAGAAGAAGGTGAAGGATTTGGAGCCATGGGCTGTAGAAGCCCTAGAAAACTCTAAGCAGAGCTAAGGGGCTGTTCTGATAAGAGTTTGGAATATAAGCACTCAGACAGAAATTCAGACAGGAAAGACTTCATAATCAAGGAAAGTTAAGACTATACCAGGAGCTGGGCCAGAGACCATTTATGTTATAGTCCAGCACAGAATCTATCTCCATTCTGTGTGCTGAAAATTTAAGGGAGGCTGAATTTAAAATAAAAGCCTACATTGTTTGACATAAATAATTAAAACAGACTAATAAAAAAGCATGATGTCATGATTGTGGAATGACCACTGTTCTTACTCCATTCTAAGTTGGAGCAAAAAGGTAAGGACAATATGCAGTTTGGTGGGAAAGGAGTAAGAGAAAGTAGCTGGAATTGTTGAAGAATGACTTCAACTAAAGAGAATCTAGTGTTCTCTGATGACACAATTGGGAAGGTTCCCTGTGGGTAAGACTTCCACTCCCATGAAAGACTCCAACTTATAAAAGTGAAAATTCATTTGAAAGGAGGAGCCTGAACTGAAAATGCCACTGAAGGGGCTTCCTGTTCAAAAACCACTGAGGGAAGTATTTCCTTAGGTTTCATACCCGGAAGGCATTCTGATAAAAAAAGGGAAGACTATATCTCAAAATAGCAACATCATTCATTTGGTGTTGATGTTGCAGGCATGCAAAATCCAAAAGTTAAAGGATCATGGAAGATTGCACCAAGGCTCCATGAAACCACTAAAGCCAGGCAGTTATGTGAGAGGGTAGGATTCCCTGTAAGTAACTGACAAGCTGTCCAAGGTGAATCTTAAGCTGCAGTAGAGATACCAATGTATTAGAGATGCCAGGGCTGTGTGATAATGCACCAGGAAAGGATACAGGCCTAGAGTGGGAACTGGACCAAGGAAGAAGCTACATGTTTCACAGTTGGCAGAACTGAAAGAGTGGGTTCCTGGACATGCCGGGGTCCAGATGATGCTAGCATAAGCCCTAGATGCCAGACATGAATCTTTAGGGTTTGATAGTTCGTCAAGGATTTTGTCTTACTTTGATCTTTTCTTGTTGCCTCCTATTTCTTGCTTTTGGAATGGGAATGTTTACAGTGTCATTGTACATTGGAAGTATGCCTCTTTTTATCTCCTTTGTTTACAGGGATTCACCAGCCTAGAAGTCTCAAGTATCAGAAGAGACTTTAGACTTTGAGCTTTAGAACAGTGTTAAAACTATTAAAATTTGTGGCAGTGAGGTGCATCAGTTACAGATAAACTAAATTCACTCTGTGTTGTCAGATAGTCATGGGTCTTTGAGGACCAGAGTGAATGTTATATTTCAGTAGTTCTCAACCTTCCTAATGCTGTGACCCTTTAATACAGCTCCTCATGTTGTAGTAACCCCCAACCATACAATTATTTTATTGCTACTTCGTAACTGTAATTTTGCTACAGTTATGAGTCATAATGTAAATAAACATCTGATATGTGGCCCCTCTGAAAGGGTCATTCAGCCCCCAATGGAGTTGCAACCCACAGGTTGAAAACTGCCATTATATTTAAAGTGGTTATATCTGGATGTCACAATAACAAATAGATTTGTCACAATTAATCTTTTATTGGAGCATGACTGGATTGAAAGTCACTGAGACTGACCTCTAAGAGTGTGGGCATTTCCAGAGAATGCTTAAATGTCTTCATCCCATGGAAATGGGAAAAAGAGAAAAAGAAGCAGCCAGCTGAGTACCACCACTTATCTTCCTATCTCTGCTCCCTTCCCACTTTCTATTTTTAAAATCTAACTTCTGTCATTTCTTCTTTTATTACATTTACTTATTTGTGTGTGGGGGAGGGTGTGCACATGCGCACGACCATGCACATGTGGGCACATGAACGTGCCGCAGCAAGCATAGCGGTCACAGTGATCGTGGGAGTCATCCTCTCCTTCCACATGTGGGTCATGGGCATCAGGGTCAGGTGTCTGAGCCTTTCCATAAGTGCCGTAACTTGCTGAGCCAGCTTGTTGAGACTTGTTGATTCATCCCGTTCTGTTATTTCTTGACCAGGCTTCATTTGTTTTTTATTCTGGGGATGGACCTGACTTCCACAAAGGCAAGAATTCTACTACCTAAATATTCCCCCAGCTAGTCCAGGTTTCAGGGACTTTTTTTTAAAAAAAAAAATTATGAATTAGAGATTTTGTATCAGATTAGTATTTAGAGGAGTTTTTTGGTTTGTTATTTTCTTACTTTTTTTCACTTCTTAGCAAAGTGAAGTTTTGAAAAGATTTATTTTGTGTTTGATTTATTGTGTGGGTTGGTGTCTGTGTGTTTCTGTGTACACATGAGTGTGGATGCCTGTGAAGTCTAGAAAATGGCATTCGATCATCTGGAGCTGGAATTATAGACAATGCCACCTGCCTGGCCTAGGTCCTGTTCACTGAACAGTGGTCCTTGGCAAGAGCATCAAGTGCTCCTAACTGCTGATTCACCTCTCAGTCCCATACAAGGAGTTCTGTGTATCTCATCACAAGTCTTATGTGTAGCTTTCATGTACTTATAAAATTAGTACTGTAAGATCTGCTCCTATTCTCTGGAGCCTAATCCAGTATGCACATTCTGTATGCCAGGCACAAGGAGTGCTTCCTCGGGGCTTGCCCGCTTGCCCAATTCAGACAAGAATAGCCAGCTGCATTTGGACTCTCAGCCTGTCTGGGCAAGAGGTCAGATGCCTTAATTGTCATTTTAATTCCTTAAGACCAACAAGTAGAAGGGATTGCTGGTCAGTTTCCTCAAAAGTATCAGAAACTCTCCCTCAGTAGAGTACAGCTCTGAGGGCCTACAAATGTTGTGTAAGCAGAGGTGACTCCAGTTCAGTTCCTATTACACATGTGTACAGTGACTCATTCTCCCAGTAGTCTTGACAACCAACTCTCACCTCTTTCTTAGTCAGCACATTGCTAGCAAGTGTCTTAGTCCTTGTCACTACACAAGTACCAACAAAATTATTCCAAGGTGTTCTTGTCTCTTAGTGTAGTTTCAGGCTGTTTCAACAGTGAGTAGTCTTCTTTCTGTCCTTTATACTCTGTCATTCCAAGGCAGAAGCCAAAGAATTGTTGGAAGACTGGACTTTGCAAGAGTTTGTGCAATCTAAGTCACCCTCAGCTTAAAATGTAATTACCCATGCAAGTAAATTGCTCTTATTGCCGGGTGGTGGTGGTGGCGCACGCTTTTAATCCCAGCACTAGGGAGGCAGAGCCAGGCAGATCCCTGTGAGTTCGAGGCCAGCCTGGTCTACAGAGTGAGATCCAGGACAGGGACCAAAAAAGCTTTTTTTTTCAAGAAAACTCTGTCTTGAAAACAAAAACAAAAACAAAAAACAAAACAAAAAAACTGCTCTTATTGTTTAAATATATTTATTTCACATGAAGTTTGCTGATACAGACAAGGCAGGGGTTACTGTCAAGTATTCCTTCAGAAAGTCTCATATTTCTATAAACTCCTCTCTCCCCCACTTTCTAATATCGTAGACTTAACCAATACAAGTTTAGCACAAACGTATCCATTATTTGTGAGATTTGCATATTTACCATCTGTCTGTCAAGTAGTTCTAAATATATAGATCCCTGCCATCCCCTCAAATGTACCAGCTATTCCTCTGAAACTAGCTCCTCGTTACTGACGTGCCTAGTGGGTTCATTGAGTGACTTTGACTTTAGAAGCGCTGTGACTTCTCCTCTCTTGGTGTGACTCTATTCAACCTCTGGTTTATTCACCTATCCAGTGAATCTTGAATACCTCCTTTGTTACAGAATATTAAAATCAGTCCAAGATTTCTGCCTTCCTCAGCTGGTGAGGTGGCCCAGCAGGTAAAGGTGCTTACCTTCCTGAGTGATGACCTGGGTTCAATGCCTAGCACCTGTCTGATGGAGGGGAAGAACTGACTCCTGCAAATTGCCTTCTTTGCATGTATGTGTGTGCATCATGCACACACAGTTAAATTAGTAAATAAGTGTAAGATGATTTTGATTTATACCTTCCCAAAACTTATAACCCATATCAAGTTTTACCACGTAATGTATTCTAAATCTATTTTAAAAATATTATTTCATGTCAGAACAATCAAAATAACTTCCTAATTGGTCCACCTAGTCTACTGAGTCCGGCATGTATCCACAAATGAACCTTAAAATGCAGAGAAGTGCTTTGTTTTGTTTTATGTGGTAAAAAGTTACCCACCAAAAACCAGTTGTTAGTACTTATTTTTGACTTCTGTAGTGGTTTTTTGTGGTTTTAAGCTTTATTTTTTTCATTCATTTATTTTTTTCTCTCTGGCTTCTTGGTGCTGCTTTTGCTCATTCTTTAGCCCCCTTCCCTGTTCTTGTTCTTCCTCACCTCTTTTCCTTTCTCCCTCCTCCGTACCCGTCTCCACTTTATGTCCACAATTTGTCGGTATTTCCCTACCATCCGCACTCTGGCATGGGCTCGTCTCTACAGCTAGGCTAAATACTTCTACAGCACAGCGTTCCGACTTTCACCTTTTAGGGATCTAGTGTGGTTTCCTGTATGAAATTATTCCCGCATAACTATGTATGATTTCATGTGCGAAGGGCCATCAGCTAATTGGAAATGTGTTAAAAAGCTAACGTGTCTTCCCTTTTCTTTTTTCAGAGTCAGAAGCTCACCACTTAAACAGTCTCCAGGTTATCAGACAGAGCTAGTTATTCAGTTGGTGTGGGTGGGTGGAGAACCTCCACAACAGATCACCAGCCTGGCACTCAACTCTTCCTATGGACTGTAAGTATGAGGGTTCTTCCTGTGTGGTTTTATTTGTTGTCTTTTTTCCCAGTGTCTTTGTAGTATATCTTACATAATTTTGCATTTAAATATAAAAGTATAAATAACTTGGTCCTTATTGTAGCATCATCTAAAATGTTGCTGTGTAACTATAATTTCAATTTTTTTTTTTGCTTTATTTGGGACATGGTTTTGTTTTGAATAATTCTTGGAGGTTTATACTGTGATTACTGATATAAATTAGTGGCCAATGCTCATTGGAGATAAAGTCAGTATATACTCTCTGTGTGTTCCTCCAGAAAAAATATTCTCGTATTTCTCTTAACAAACTCTAACAGGCCGGGCGGTGGTGGCGCACACCTTTAATCCCAACACTTGGGAGGCAGAGGCAGGTGGATCTCTTTGAGTTCAAGGCCAGCCTGGGCTACAGAGTGAGTTCCAGGAAAGGCACAAAGCTACACAACGAAACCCTGTCTCAAAAAACCAAAAAAAAAAGAAAAGAAAAGAAACTCTAACATAAGATTTTATAAACAGATTTCTGAACTGTAACTGTGTCATTTTTTTTCTGCTTTCAAAGTCAACTTGTAAAACTTTCTAAGAGTATAGCAGTAGTTTTCACAAAGTATTCTTCTATACAGAGCTGTATATTCCTTTGGTCTATATAAAGCATTTGTTATAGTTTGTTTATTTTTAGAACCTCAGCATCACAGTAAGAAACTGCTTATGTACTGTCTATTACAGAGGTGTATATGCACAGTCCCTGTACTGTCTATTACAGAAGTGTATATGCACAGCCCCTGTACTCTCTATTACAGAGGTGTATATGCACAGTCCCTGTACTGTCTATTACAGAGGTGTATATGCACAGTCCCTGTACTCTCTATTACAGAGGTGTATATGCACAGTCCCTGTACTGTCTATTACAGAGGTGTATATGCACAGTCCCTGTGCTGTCTATTACAGAAGTGTATATGCACAGCCCCTGTACTCTCTATTACAGAGGTGTAAATGCACAGTCCCTGTACTGTCTATTACAGAGGTGTATATGCACAGTCCCTGTACTGTCTATTACAGAGGTGTTTATGCACAGTCCCTGTGCTGTCTATTACAGAGGTGTATATGCACAGTCCCTGTACTGTCTATTACAGAGGTGTTTATGCACAGTCCCTGTGCTGTCTATTACAGAAGTGTATATGCACAGTCCCTGTACTGTCTATTACAGAGGTGTTTATGCACAGTCCCTGTGCTGTCTATTACAGAGGTATATATGCACAGTCCCTGTACTGTCTATTACAGAGGTGTTTATGCACAGTCCCTGTGCTGTCTATTACAGAAGTGTATATGCACAGTCCCTGTGCTGTCTATTACAGAGGTGTATATGCACAGTCCCTGTGCTGTCTATTACAGAGGTGTTTATGCACAGTCCCTGTACTGTCTATTACAGAGGTGTTTATGCACAGTCCCTGTACTGTCTATTACAGAGGTGTATATGCACAGTCCCTGTACTGTCTATTACAGAGGTGTATATGCACAGTCCCTGTGCTGTCTATTACAGAGGTGTATATGCACAGTCCCTGTGCTGTCTATTACAGAGGTGTATATGCACAGTCCCTGTGCTGTCTATTACAGAGGTATTTATGCACAGTCCCTGTGCTGTCTATTACAGAGGTATATATGCACAGCCCCTGTACTTTCTGTTATAGAGGTATTTATACACAGCCCTTGTGCTGTCTATTAGGGAAACATTTATGTACAACGCTGTGCTTTGTATTACAGAAGTATTTATACACAGCCATGTCTTGTTTTCAGTAGCAACTGTAGGGAGTCACCTGTCCTTTTGTTCCTGCTAACTCAGTATCAGCTGCCAGTATGCCTTAAGGGTTCTTAGAGTAAGACTCCTTTATACACAAGAGATCAGGCTGTGCTTCCTAAACTGTAATGAAGAAAGGATTTTGAACACCTCAAAGGGAGTCTCCCAAGACTCCCAAGACTTATACTTCCTTTTTATTCTTGACAGAGGAATTACCAGAACTTACTCCAACCTATAATTCCATTTTCCTAGAATCAGAAAAATAGATGTAACATCACTTAGTATTTGTATGTGTGTGGGAGGGGGGGAGAATTTCCGATCAAGCTTCAGCTTCTGTGTTAAATATTCTTATAAATAGTGCTAATGCTTGACTTAATGATATAGATAATATCTACAGAGATATGGATAGTCCCTTGGGAAGGACTGTGTACTCTGTATACCCCTGACTACACTTGTCTTTAGTTTCAGGCAACTGGAGTGAATCCCCAGATCTTCAAACTCCACATGTGAGTGTGCGCGTGCACACACACACACACACACACACATACACACACACACACACACACACACACACACACACACACACACACACACACAAATAGTAAATAAAATAAATAGGAAAAGAGTTTTCTGAAAGGCCGACCATCCTATTTTCTTCAGCTTTATGTTTACATTCTTTTAATAACTTGTCTGCACTGAGATACTTATGCTTCCCTGGCCAGGGTGGTTTTTGGCAACTGTAATGGCATCGCAATGGTTGACTACCTCCAGAAGGCAGTACTGCTCAACCTTGGCACCATTGAACTGTACGGCTCAAACGATCCTTACCGGAGAGAACCCCGGTCGCCTCGGAAATCACGACAGCCTTCAGGAGGTAAAAAGAAAGAAATCTTCCTGAGCTTTAAAGGCTACAAATGCTCACATGCATGTGTCCCATGTGTCTGTACATGCTTCACTTAAGCAAACAGCTTGTCTGATTTAAACTGTAAATGTAAACAACCAAAGACTAACTAGAAATATGAGTCTTGTTTTGGTTTTGTGTTGCCTTTACCTTTTCTTTTGTTCTTAATAATCTAGGACTGTATTTAATGTCACACGAGAACCAGTGTCACACTTCAGCTAAGGCGTAACACCAGGAACGTATGTCCAGGTTATTGTAGAATAGAAATAGATTTCAAAGTTGTTTGTTTGGTCCCTCTAAGCCAATAATTGAGTTTGACCCATTTGATGAAAGTAATCATTCCTGTGTGAAAGTAGGCACAGAGGTGGTTTACACCCTAATAATAAACATGCACAGGAAGCCTTGATTCAGCACGAGCTCAGGTTCATTAAAAAAAAAAATTGTAGCATGCTTTGATGTTTGCTAAGTATCTAGTATTAGTAGTAACTGTTTCCATGCTGCTGTCTCTTAGAACATAGAACACACATATTTCTGGCTAGGTATCCTGTACCTCTTGCCTGTATTTCGCTTCACGATATCAGCAAATAACTTTATATGTATGATGTATGGGGTATATTGACGAGACCTCTAGCATTAACTGAAGTGGGCTTGGTTTTCCTGTGGGCACTCCCAGCTAAACCAGCGATTGAGGGGAACCCCGTTTAGAGCTTGTTTCAGTCAGCTGCAGAATCCTGGTGAGCACTGGAGCACTGTTTAAGGAACTGGTGTAAGCGTTCTCCTCAGTCCCACGGAATTAAAGTTCTCTTTGATTCAGGGTGGGCAGAGCCATGTTCTCTAGCACCACAAACATGTACTCTTACCTACACACATACGTGCATACATACATATCCCCCATACACACACACACATAACATTTTAAAATTCTCTCAGATTCAAGTTGCTCTCAGTACATTATTGGCTAATGATAGCTACCAAGATTGTAACACATGAGAAAACGAAACAGAAAATAAAGATACTCTTAGGCCTTTCTATCATTTTGCTTAATGGTTGGCATTTTCTTTTCGGAGTTTGTTTTGCGTTGTTTGTCTGTGAGTGTGATCATACTGTCATGTATTATCTTCAGCAGACGTTCTGTCTCAGCCACGGCGTTCTAGCACCTGTCTCCTTTCTCTCCCCCTCCCCCACATTGCTTCCCTGAGGTTTGCTGGGTGTGACTTCTTGCATGTCCGGCCTTTCTAGCTTGTATTGTGAATCAGTGAAAACACTCCGCTCTTCCTTTCTAAGTAAGTCATTTATGTCTTGACAGTTTTGTTCTCTGTAAGATCATTGTTTCCGTTTTCATTTTACTTTCTAACTAAAATACTTTATGTCTAAAAGACTAAACTCATCATTTAGATTTATCTCATAACAGCTATTTAAATAATGTGTCCCAACCCAGCTTCTCTAAGAAGCAAAGAAAGAAATATGTATGAAAGAATGTGAAAACATTTTCATGACAGAAAAAATTCAGACTTTACAAACTTGTACAAATCTTACTTGTCCTGAAATCAAAATTTTCTCCTTTATACTTTAGAAGGTTTACATTAAATTGCTAGTAATTGAATATCCAAACTTATCTAAGGATGAGACAAGTTTTATTATACAATTAAATTTTTTTTCTTAAATTTTACTGCATCCTACTTTATTACATAGCTAGTCCTATAATATCATTAATATTATTTGCTTCATTTTATATTGAAGACATAGATATTTAACATATGAGTACTATTTCAAGTTTTTATTAGGTTAAAGTATTTCACATTGTAATTTTGCCTCACTTTATCATTATTTAAGGTTTCTTAAATAAAAATAAATAATAGTGTGGGACTGGGGGTGTACATCTGTGGTAGAAAGACTGCTTCATGGAAGGAAGGAAAGGAGGGTTAATTGTTTTATAAATGTTTCTAGGAATCTTATATTTGTGCGTCTGGTTGCAAAAATGACTTACCTATTTTTCATGTAAAATTAACTGTATAATAATTGGTATTAAAATTCTCTAATTGTATTGATATAAAAAGAATATTCTTAGCCAAGTGTTGGGGGGGCATGCATACAATTCTAGGATGTGGGAAGCAGAGACAAAAGAATCTCCTCAAGCTCAAGGCAGGCCTGCTGAAACCCTGTCTTAACATTCAGAGCAGGCTGGTAAGCTCAAGGGGTATGTTTGCCCCTCCCTCTCAGCACGGGGTTACAGATGTGTGCTATGGCACCTAGCGCTCTCTCTCTCTCTCTCTCTCTCTCTCTCTCTCTCCCTCCCTCCCTCCCTCCCTCCCTCCCTCCCTCCTTTCCTCCCTCCTTCCCTCCCTCCCTCCTTCCCTCCCTCCCTCTCTCCCTCCGTCTCCCCCTCTTCCTCCCTCCCTCCCTCCCCCCCTTCCTCCCTCCTTCCCTCCCTCCCTCTCCTCCTCCTCCTCCTTCTCCTCCTCCTCCTCCTCCTCTTCTTCTTCTTCTTCTTTTCTCTCTCTCTCTCTCTCTCTCTCTCTCTCTCTCTCTCTCTCTCTCTCTCTCTCTCTCTCTCTCCCTGTAGTATGTACTTGATTTGTAGCACAAGTATCATGACACTGTTCTTCATCCTTTTATTTTGTTTGGGTTCTTTTTGTTTTTGTTTTTCGAGACAGAGTTTCTCTGTGCACTTTTGGTGCCTGTCCTGGATCTCGCTCTGTAGACCAGGCTGGCCTCGAACTCACAGAGATCCTCCTGCCTCTACCTCCCGAGTGTTGGGATTAAAGGCATGCGCCACCGCCGCCTGGCTCTTCAACCTTTTTTAATAGGTCAGTTTGAATGGAGAATTTTATTTACCTCCAACAGATAGAGTCTATTTTGATTAGGACTCTAGGGTCACTTACAAATTTGTTTTATAAGATAAAACATTATCATTTGAAGTTGAAAATATTAACTCTGTCATTACATTACAGTTGAATTATTACTTGAAATATGGATTGAGGCCTCATAAGGAACATTGTAAAACTGTCACAGGGATTCTAGACCCTAGGGGTTACCCAAACCCATTTCAGACCCTCTGTGTATTGTGTTTTCTTATCCATATACATTCCTGTGATAATGTTCAGTTAGAGTGAGGCACAGTAAGATTATCACCAGTGACCAATACTAAAATGAACAATTAATATTTCTATATTAATGTTAAATGTGTACGGTCTCTGTCCTTCAAAATGTCTTACTGCTGTGCACTCCTCCTGTGTGCCTCCCTCAGGCATGGTACTCAGAGCAGTTTATGGCTCTTGTAGGCACATCAGCATCTGGACTTTGTGAGGTACTTGATCATAAGCACTACAACACTGTGACTGTTTAGTCAATAAGCAGTACTGGTCCTCTGTGACGAGTGGGCAGGTAGATACATATGAGGATGGAGTGATGATGCCTCTGGGCAGTGAGATTTCAGCACACTACCCAGAGAGGTGGCTAATTTAAAATTTAACAATTATTTCTAGAATTTACCATTTACTATTTCAGACCAGGTTAACAGTGAGTAATTGAAATCATAGACAGTGAAATTGTAAGAAGAGGTGTGTGTGTGTGTGTGTGTGTGTGTGTGTGTGTGTGTGTGTGTGTGTGTTCAGTGTAATAGGTTTCACAGGCAGGATTGCAAAAGGAGTGCTCGCAGATGCCTTAGGCCTGAGTTCAGTTCCCTGAACCTAAATGTGGAACAAGTGAACCAGTCTCTACAAGTTGTCCTGTAACCCTTGTTATGTGCCCTGTGGCATGCACTATCACACACACACACACACACACACACACACACACACACACACACACACCTGCATATACACTGAATAAAGACATGAATATAGAAGTCTTTTAAAGGATGTTTAAAAAAGCACTTATACCAGTAAGTGTTATACATAGCAATTGTAAGATTGTTATTTCATGAAATAATAGGAAGCAGATTCTGACTGGTCCCATGACATACATTGTGTGACACCTGGCTTCTTCTGAGTCTTTAATGTGCAGTCCAGTTTCTCAGCTAATCCAAACTTCCCAATAAATGCCTCTTGTGTGTGTGTGTGTGTGTGTGTGTGTGTGTGTGTGTGTGTGTGTGTGTATGTGCAAGCGCGCACGCCTGCTTGTGTTTCTGTCCTACTACATTTAGTTATGGGCCTTGAATGAAAATGAGTAGGGAAGGTTATACTTGAACAAGTTCCGTTTACCAGTTGCTAAACCAATGAAGAATATGGTCCTGTCTCCCTCAGCAACCATTACCTGCCTGTACCTCTGAAAAGAGTAATAGAGGCTCAGGAGTCCCCTTCCACACCTGTGGTGGAATGCTGATTGGCCAGTCCTGTGGAATCTGCATGAGAAACCACCACCGCCATGCATGCCATGCACTCAAGGCTGCAGCAGCAATGTTGTTCGACAGCACTCACTTCCAGCCTCCAGCTCTGTGTTCCTTCTGCCCACTCTTCTGCAGTGTCCCTAAGCCTCGGGGGAGTTGGTGCAGGTGTCCTGTTCAGGGCTGAGCACTCAAGTCACATATGCCCAACATTATGACTAATTATGAGTCTCTCCCTTAACTGTCACCCACTGTAAAAGAAGTTTCTCTGAAGAGGCAGAGAACATTGATCTATGAGTATAAACATAACTGTCTAGAAGGCAGTTTGACACTGTATCAGACTAGCAAAACAACAGTAGATTGCACACACACACACAGACACACATACAGACACACACACTCACATACAGACACGCACAAGCAGGCGCGCACACACCTTCACACACACACACTCACACATAGAAATACACACACACACACACACACACACACACACACACACACACACACACACACACACCCCACTTCCCCTGGCATGGGGTTTTTATTACTTTAACAGTGCGAAGCATGAATTTTCTCGTGTGGGGTAGACCTCAATCTAATCAGAAAGTGGTTGATAAGGATCACCCCAAAACAGTCTTGTCAGTGTTTCATATCATACCTGACAGGTCAGTACTGTAGCCCATAGCGTTTATAGCTGTGTGAGATTCTTGGTGACTTTCCCCAGAAACCTACAAAGCACTTTCCAGTGCTATGACTGCTAGCCAGCAGAGAGGAAGCTCGGTGCTAGCTCGTTGCTAGCTCGGTTTCTGTGCAGCCAAAGCATGTGATGTGTTCAGCAGAAAGGTCTTACCCTCCAGCTCTGGCAGACATCACAGAGGAGCAGCAGTAACCGGCACTGTTTGGGGGCCTCTGGTGCCTTCCAGACCAACATCTCACAGAGAGGCATCCCACACATGATGCTGGCATCTTTGTTTAGTAGTCTGGCTTTGGGAGCAGAGCATTATCCAGCTACGCAGGGTACCTCTGTTTATATCCTTTATTATTATCATTAGCATTATTACTATTGGCTTATGGTGTAGTAGATTTCCACATGGCTTTTTCAGACATCCTTCATTTTAGTTAATCTTGTCCCTTTACCTCCTCTTAAAATACTTTTTAATTATAATTTTGGCCAACTTATAGTATGGATCATATATAATTTATGTAATTCATATCTACCTTGAGAGAAGTCTTTAAGAGGTTTTAAAATGTGAAATTATAGTTTTTAAGGGGGATACTGTATAGGATAGGTAATTGCAATATTTAAAATACTACAAATTTAAGAAATACAAAATATTTTCATAATTATTTAAAAATATTTAAGTGATGTGTTCAAGACATACTTAAGGAAAACCACTTAGAAATTTGAGTTGAGGACTCTTGTGGTATAAAAATTGTCAAGCTTAAGTGTTTCTTCTCCCTTGGGGAAGTCAATGGAGCATACCATGTGTCCCCACATCTCTGGTGTTGATCTTAGGTCACGTCTGATATCCTTCAAGAATAGCAAATCACTTCATTAAGAAATTCTGTTTCTAAATTTTCTTCTTCAGTGGACTACAGCCACATTACTTGGAGATATTTTGTTACCAGAATGTTTCCATCCTGAGCCTCATTATTGCCATATCTGTTAATCTGTCTTTTTGTGGTTAGTAGTGAAATAGACCCTGTGAGTAGCAGGCGAGCTTGTATGAATGGGTGTGGTCTCATTTGCTCCTGATTTGTCTTCCAGCGGGCCTGTGTGACATTACTGAAGGGACTGTCGTCACAGAAGATCGCTGCAAGTCTCCAACTTCCGGTAATCTGGGTTTTATTTCGTTAACGATTATGATTTCAAAAAAAAAAAAAAAAAAACCAAAAAAAAACCCTAAGATGGCATATCGGTATATCTTTTTATAAACACTTATAAGAATATATGAGCAACATAGATGTCTTTCTTAAAGTCATAACTGTTTCAGTAAGGGACAAGAAATGTGGCACATGCTGATTAAAAGTCCATAACTTGTGTCTGTTCAGGCTCGTATGATTGTTCAGTTAGCTTTCTTACAGTTGACTGTGTTGAATATATTTCCCACTTACTATTGAATGATCTAGTTATCTCAGATCTGTGCTTCTACATACTCCTGCAATGTTTAGGAGAATGGAGTAGAATCAGTAAAAAGTTGTGTTTTTCAGTTGAAAATTCAGCTTTTTGGTAATTATTAAATAATACCCATTCTAATGCTATAACTCAATGATTGGCATCAAACCCAGGGCCTTCCTTGTACATACTAGGCAGGCCCTTTGCCAGTAAACGACACCTCCAGCCCCAAACGTTATTAAAGATCTTGATACCTGTAGTCTGAAGAAATGGACCCATAGGAAAATTTTGGCCTATTTACATTTGTTTTTCATTTTGATCGAGGTCATTTCTAGTGTATTTATGGACTTATCCAAGCAGCTCTTTTTTTATTTGCAGGGTCTTTATATGGCCCATGTGTATAGTAGTATTTCACAGCAACATTATTTTTAGTACATTTGTGTATCCTTAGAAATAAAATCTTGAGTTTGTTATTGTATGAGATTGTAGTTTTGCTAGTCTTTAGTAAATTTAACTTCATTATTTTAATTAAATTTATTATTTTCTACCTAGGAATCTTCATTAGCTTTTCTCCTAGAACGATTTTTCTTGGCATAAGAAACACCATGTCTGGGTTTCTGTTTTTCACTAGCCATTCCACTATATTGGAAAGAATTGTAAGATGGGATGTTTCTGTTTCCACTTTATTAGCCCTGAGCTGATAAAAGAAGCTTTTGTGTTTTCTTTTTACAATTTTTTTAATGATTTTTGTACAAATTGATCATTTCATTTTGCAAAATTGAAGAGTGGACAAGGGAGTTGGTCCATGGGTAAAGTGCTTGCCTTTGAGATATGAGTTTGTCCCTCAGAGCCCACACAGAAGAGCCCAGCACAGTGATGTGTTTTTGTCATATCATCACTGGGGAAGGGAAGACAAGTGGATCCCCGAAGCTTGCTGGCCACATAACCGTGCCTGTGCGGCAAGTTCCAGGACAAGAGCCTCTGCCTCAGAACACAAGGGGGACAGCACCTGAAGGCTGACACCTAGGGTTGATCTTTGGTCTCCACATGTATGCACACGCACACACACACACACAGTCTATTCACAGAGGTATTTTGTTCTGTGAACCTCCTATTTCAGTTTGCCCATTAAACTCCTAAAACGTAGACCCACAGAAGCCACACTGCTCCCTACCCATCAGTAAAGCTATAGACGACAGGAAGGCGTTACTTTCCCTCTTGTAGGGCTGACATCTTTCTAAATTTGGAGTTAGAATTGTAGTGTATCTTCATTGTTCCTTCCAAGGACATTCAGTCTATTTCTGCTCTTCCCACCTTCCCTGCAGACCAGTCAATATAGTTGTCAGTATATTAAGGACCTGAGTACAGTGGGTGTTTTGAACATGGAACAGACCACACTTAAACTGCTACTATGTTTAGTTACATACAGCCCAAATAAATTAGCATTTCTTTCATACTAGGCCAAACTTTAAAATGGCAGGGGGAGGAAGCACTTAATAGTCACACACAATTTTAGATAAATGCAAAAGACTAGGTAAATATACGTATATAAATATAGAAGGTACATAAATGTGTAATGTAAATCCCACCCTGGAGATCCTCAAAGTAGAGGAAACTCGAAGGTGGTTCAACATTTTAAAATTATTTTGCTTATTGGTTCATATGCAAACGCAGTATGATTTTAACATTGATGAGATGCCACCTGTTTTTATTATTTCTATCAGTTTGAAATGCAGAGGTAACCTCAAGAAGACTGGAGATAAGACACGAACTCTTGATTTTTTTTTTTCCCGCTAACAAGAGTTTTATTAAGATGAAAGGGACAGACGAGTGCCCAGGCCTGTGGGAAAGACACATGTGTAGAGAAGAAGAAGAAGAAGAAGAAGAAGAAGAAGAAGAAGAAGAAGAAGAAGAAGAAGAAGAAGAAGAAGAAGAAGAAGAAGAAGAAGAAGAAGAAGAAGAAGAAGAAGAAGAAGAAGAAGAAGAAGAGGAAGAAGAGCTTGATCTTAAATATAAAGCCTGCAGTGTATCCAGATTAGCCTTTGCTTATGCTCAGATGATAGAATTCTGAGGAATCAAGTCTGTTCTTACTCATCAAGAAGTATTCTTTAAAAAGGCCAAACTTCACAGGCAATGATCGCTTCTAAAGCACGCTGGGGGTGCCAGTGTGCAGAGCTGAGCTCCCTGAAGTGGCGCCTGGATGCCCTTGTCAGGCCCCTCTGGTCACTGTCTTTTTGCAGCTTGGGTGTATTTTTCTGTTATGACCGTAACTACTATTCTTTGTGGTCATGGCTTGATTATCTTACTCTTCATATTTATAATTGCATTGCCCTCATCCATTTTTACTTCCTCATTGAGAAGTAAAGGAAGGATTTATTATCATTCAGTTCTCTTACTAGCAAATTAGAGGCCAGTAAAAAAAATGGATTAAATTAATTTGAGGTGACTCAAAAAAGTCACAGTTTTCTTTTTCTTAATTTATTTGCTTTTGGTACTTTGAGAACAGGCTTGGCTAGCCTGGAACTCACTATACAAACTAGGTTGGGCCCTGCCTCCTCTGTGCTGGGATTAAAAGTGACCACACCCAGCTTTTTTTTTTTTTAATTGTTTTCAATAGCATGAAAATTACAAAAATACTTGTCTGAATTACTCACAATCAGATAGGGTATAAATAAATAAAATTGTTAAATGGCACATAATAAATTATTAAAAACAATACTTAATATTTTAAAAGTTAGTGTTTGTAGGAGAGGAAAATATGTATAAAAGTGAATGGAAAGTTAAAATGAGTCCCTCATAAGTACTAAGAAAAGATCAATATTTTAAAAGTGTAAGTGCCCATGTGCCTTCTGCCAAAACTGATGCATTGACCAAAACTTATGCATACAATGGAGAAAACTGAGAATCTTTTAAATCTTGTAACCGAAATAACCGGCTGTTCAACTAATTATTATAAAAGCTCTTTTCAGAACATGTGTCAAAACATGTTAGAGAGTTTCCTTTTCCATTTATTTTAAAATAAGCCAGTAGTCTGTCTGAAGCTGACGTCAGTGCAGCATGGTGGGTACCTTAGGAGCAAGTGGAGGTGCTAACTGCAGGGACCATTATTTCAGGGAACTGTGACTGTTTCACCCATCACTCTAGAAATGATGTGATCTTTTTGTAATGCATCTGTTTATATTTATATAGACATATAAAATGCTACGATGATGTTAGGAATCTGTTAGGCTATTTTAAACCGAAGATTCACACATAGCATGATATAAATGATAGCTTTTGGTGTTTATCTGTGGTCTGGAGAAAGTAAGAAGTTGTAGATGTTTTATATGTTTGTTAAATTATGGTAACCTGGTAGATTTATTCAAATAAACTTTGTAACTTGTTATATGTGATCATAACAGTTACAACAACCAGTAGTAAGCATTTTCAGCTACATTGCTTGTTTATGTTTAGAAAACACCAGACATTTTTCTAACATTAATATAATGGAGATACTAGCCACCTATTACTCTGATATGAAATATATAAAATAAAGCTATTATTAATATACATTTACCATAAATTTATGCAGCCATTTGGTACCAGAAGTGACAATATTTTAAAATATGAAGTTCCTATGGCCATTATAGTCTTTAAATGTGTTGTATTTGTATGAAAAACAGCTATCTCATTTCTGCTCTGGAACTATTACTAAGATCAGTGATGGTTTTGTGATAGTTCTATATGAGATTTGGGAGAATCTATGGATGCTATTAACCAAAATGATATGGATTATTCAGAGAGTAGTGTTTTCAAACCTCTATAGGTGTGATTGAATTCTGCCCACGTTGGCAGGCTTTTCATGGTGAGAATGTCTCCCTGGCCATAGTAAAGAAAAATGACTTTTCAGAAAGTCAAGTTCGAGGTTTTGAGTTTCTAGCTAATTCACTAAGGTTTATTATTTTTACTGGGAGTCTTTTAAGCATAAAAAGGAAAACGTTTTATTTACTCTCAGTTCTTTTTTATATATTTTCTTCTAGCAGAAAAACTTCATTCATTTAGCTAATATGAACTAGTGACAGCTACATGAAATACATCCCATTGATCACAAATGGGGTGCAAAATAGACATTTGTTTCAGTGAGGGAAGGTCATCCGTGTATAAATTTAAAAATACCACCTAACTAAATGGTGAATATTGTATCAGAAGTATATGAAGTATCGTGAGGACCTAAAGGGTGACATAATCTCTAGTTGGGAATGTGGTGAATAATTTAATCTGTGACATATGTTGAGATGTACTTAATAGTTTTCTAAATGTTACCTTTCCTTTCTGACTTCTTTGACTTTTAAATAATATAAAATACAACAAGATATTATGCATTAAAATGATTAGAAATAAATGTCTATATGGTAGGGTCTGCCGTAAAAGACTGTATATAACACACTGATGTCAGTGCTGGGGTACCCTCAGACTGGGGGTCCCCAGGACTGTAGCTGTGACTGTTTGCTGTGCTGGCTCTGTGCTTGTGACTGACAGTGTCCCCTGTTCCCTCCATTGTCTTTACATGTGTAGGTTCTTCGTCACCACACAATTCAGATGATGAGCAAAAAGGGAATAATTTTATAGAAAAGGGTATAGTATCTTTATTTTAAAATATTTTATTTTCTTTATACTTAATTTCTTTAGTTTACTCTGAATAGATTTTGACATTTTATATTAAAATATTATTTTCAGTGAAGACCAAAAGCAGAAAGTTTTCCAAGAAGGTAGCCAGTGACCTAGGTAGGAAATAGAAGTTTTTATTTTGTTTCTAATTGTCGCTCTATGCAATGCTAACCCAACACCAGAAAATGATCTAGTGCATTGCATCTTGTGGATGTTAATTTGTTATTCCTTTGCTAAATGATAATCTTTGGGCTATGTCTATTCTAAATGCATTTGGGAAAAAATTCTTAAAATCAGTTAAATTCGGTTGTGGTGCTTTCTCTGGACTTACAGTGTGAATTATTCTGTTAACTTTTATTTTTGCTTTGTTTTAAAATAAAGCAGGGTTCAATTTATGTTCTCAATACCATGCTTAGACTCTCATGTTAAACTGAGAGTCAGTTTTTCCTTTATAGTTTTACTTGTATTTTTTTCTGCCTTTACGCCATCTCTCTCATATTTTTAAGGTCCCATATCAAGAAAACGATCTTCTAAAAGTTGACAGTTTTCAGTCTGTAATCAATAACGGTATCAGGGTATTTGGCAGTTCCGAACTAATCACTACCCCCATGCACAAATAAAAATATTTATACTACTTTTGTTTTGTGCATATTTTGTAAGGAATGGCTCAGTCTAAGATTCTTAAAGTTTACGGCCAAAGAAGAAATATATAACCATACTTGGAAACATAATCAAATTAGAGATGTTTATTTGGTCATAAAAATTTGAGGGTGCTCAAAAACTTTGAAATTCTTGACTAAATAATATTATAGAAAAAGGCCTAGTTCACCTTTGACTTAACCATGAAATGTTCATTATCCAGTTTATTTATATATATATATGTATATATATATGTATATATATATATATTCATATATTCCCTATGTCTTTACCACATATTCCTTTGTTGTTGTTTTTCTATTTTGGGGGTGGTTGAGTATATGTGTATGTGCATGATCGTATTACGGGACATGCACTGAGTGTACAAGTGCATGTGTGTGCACATACTTGCACACAGAGGATAACCTGTGTATCATTCCTCAGGTGCCATCTACTTTTTCCTTGTTTCCTTTGTTTGGCGTCACTTTGCTGAGACAGTGTCTTTCCCTGGCCTGGAACTAACCAAGTCACTGACCAGACTGCCTGGCCAGGAGGCCCCGGGTCTCTGCCTTCTCAGCTCAGGGATTGTAAGTGCACACCCCCATGCCCAGCTATTTTGATGTGGGTTCTGGGAATAAAACTCAGGTTCTCCTACTTGCAAAGGAAGCACTTCTACCAACTGAGTGATGTCACCATCCCTACCACATACTCCTTTAATCTAGCTAAAGTAGATGACTTTCTCTATAACTGAAAGAGTTGGCTTTTCCCCACTTCATAACCTTTAGTATATGGTTGAATTTTCAAACATTCCTACAAGAAAAACCTTGTTTTCTTAGAATTGTAAATTGAACCCTGTTTAGTTGTGTTAATGGTGGATGACTCTTAGCCCTTTGGTCAATCTTAAATAAGATGGTTTATTTTTGGGCAAAGGGCTTTTCATCAATTATTTATTCTTTATTGTGGTTTCATAGTAAATCTGTGGGCAATAATGATTAAATCACTTTAATTATGTACTAACTTCGCAACTAATTTCCTTTATAGCATATTGTATCCTGTTACATTCTGGTTCTGTCACCACTGTAGACAGAAGTTCTTTTCCACAGCAATTTTATTAAGTAACTTTTACAGTTAAATTGCCTGACCTGAAAGAATTTGCAGCTAGTCAAATTTGTTACCGTATCTTCTGTCTGGCTTCTCCTTCTATGACAATGTCGCTTTATTCATGTGTACCTTCCCCCTATTTTAGTTTTAGGGCAATATAGTTTTATTAACGTGGACCTTCCCCTTTTCTCTGCTTCAAGTAGATATGTAACTGGAAATATGTGTGTTCAATTATTTGAAAAACTTTATGAACAAATTTGCTAGGCTAGACAACATGTTTGGAAGGACATGTCTTGGATAGTGTTTGTTTCTTCTACATTCTTTGTGTTTTTCTTTTTGTCATGCCAACTTGTCTAGGACCACTTCTTAGGAAATATGTTGATTTTATCCATCTTTCCAAAGTTATGCTAGTATATGAAACTTACTAATTGTTTTTAACCAGGAACATTTTCCTCCTCTGCAATATCTTTATTGTATATTGAATGATTTTTGTTGTGTGTCTTTCTTGATATAACAATTTTGGTATATAGAAATAAAGCTAAACAACTCAAGGCTGTTCTTTTTCAAATGGAGTCTGCCCCATATTCCATTGTGAAGGTCTTGTGGTTGAAATGGTCTGCATTAGATATGTAACCTCTATATGTACCTCTCTACATTAGTATCTATTTTATAATAATAATTAGGATTAAAATATGCTGTTGAGAAACATGAAATGTCAATGAACTGGCTACCAAGATTAATGTTTGCTGTGGGACACTCTTATTAAAAAAAAAAATACTAAGACTTGGATCTGGAGAGGTGGCTCAGCAGCACTTAAGATTGCTTATTGCTCTTAAGCAATTGAACTTAAGAGGACATAAGTTCAGTTCCCAGCATCCACATCTGACACCCCTTTCTCACCTCCAAAGCCACTAGGTATATGCAAGCAAAGCACTCGTACACATGGAAATTGAAATATATTTTTCATCTTAAAAATAAAAACCACTAGGACTCCTTTAGCGTTGCTAGCATCCTGCATAATGCTCCCAGCCATGTCTTTAAGTAATTATGTGGTGGCCTTGTGAGTAAGAATTAGACTCACAGCTGGACTCTGATGAGAGAACTACCTTGGATCACTGACTGAATTGCATTGTTCTTAAGTTTCACGTGTTGGAGAATAATTGTTGCTGGTGCCAGAGATAGTGTGTGAGTTGCTTGAGGTGGCACAGGGTGCCATTCATGCTTTAGCATTATTTCTTTCTTTGAAATAATTTTTTTTCCATGCAGTATATTTCGATCATGTTTTCCCTTCCCACAAGCATGGAAAATCAACCATTTTTTCTTATTTATCATTGCCTTGACAATACAGCAGAGGTAGAGGACACAAGAACAACTTTTTAGTACAATTATCTACTATGCTATCCTAGCATTGCACCAGCACTTAGTAATCTCAGGGACCGTTATTTCTGTGTTGTACAGATGAGGGGACTGAGTGTGACTCATCTGTTTGCTCCACAGCCAAATGATAAAGCCAAATGTGCACCCCAGGGGTCCACTTCCACTGTTGGCACTGTACACACACACATATTTATATAAATATACATGTACAAAACACATAGTATAAACATACTATGCAATTCATAAATAGATAATCTGACTATGGCCCTATTCTGCTACACAGTAATCTGGGAAAAAATGGCTTGTAATCAAATTCTGTGTGTCATTTTACAAGGTTTTTTATAATAAAGTTTATTAAAATTTGACATACATTTATTGAAGAAAACTAGCCAATTCTGTCTGAATACTAAATCTTGTCCACCACTTTGGAACTCATTGCCTAAGTATAATATATAGTCCCTAGAAGTCTTATCTCAAAGACAAGATTCAAAAAAGTGAACAAGAGCAAACTGGAATACACTGGCCCCTGAACCCAAAGCCCAGCTTGGTCTCTTGGCTCCTCATTGGCTGCTACCCCAGCGAATGACTTTGACAGTGACTTCTTTACTCCTGTGTAAGACGAGCAACCTCTGAAGACATTAAAGCAGAACATAATGCAACAACATCATGCACAAAGTTGCATGCACTTAGGACACACGTAGTATGCTTGCCTCTTCATGCTGTAGGATTGACTTGGTTAGTAAAACCTTAAAGATCAGTAATTTTCAAATCAGCAACTTTTCTTTGACTATTAACAGTTTCCATGAGTCACTTAGAAAGTGTACTCACTATTATTATTTACTCTTCATATATATTTTATAAATATTTAGAAGTGAGATTCTACAAATAACAAAAAAATTGAGTTTTGTTTATGTAGAAATGGATAAATATATATATATATATATATTATATATATAACTTCCAAGATATCCTTGTGTATAAAATACAATCCAAATAGCTAGCACTGTTTGATCAAAATTAACTTTCCTGAAGATTCCATTTGATGTATATTCCGTTTCATGCCATGGTAAAAGTAGATTTCTAGTTGGATCCCATGTTCTGATCTGGTCTCCAGGACCATTTTAATTTCCATGTGTCAAGTAAGATTATCAAGTTGCCTAAATGTGTGAAACTAGGAGGAGGGGAAAAAAAGTAAGAGATTAGAGAACAAAGATTCAAAATTAAAGCAACTTAAGTAAGTACTGTGGCAAAACAAATAGAAACACAGCTCTGTTTTCAATGGGCACCTCTGTGTGTTACCTAGTGGATAGTTTTTGTTCTGTGGCATTTGTTAAGATGGAGAAGACTATACTTTAGGGCCCTTATCTCCCCAATCCTAAGAACGTGGGTATTCAGTCAGTGGCTCATTTCTCAGGAAAACCTCAAGTAATTTTTTAAGTCAGTTTAAATGAAGTGAGTGCTGTTTGTCGGTCATGTGCTCTTTTCTTTAGTCCTTTTCACACATGTCCTGATGATTCTAACACAGCTTAAAGTTTCCTCTTTATGCTTGTGTTCTACAGTATTAACTAGTTAAATCACACAGCTTCAATATTCTCATCCCTGTATTTTTCAAGAAAGAGATAGTCAGAAAAGCTAAATGCTGTGTCCATAGCCACAGTCTTACTGTGTGGTGCTGTGTCCACAGTCCTACTGTGTGGTGCTGTGTCTATAGTCTTACTGTGTGGTGCTATGTCCACAGTCTTACTGGGTGGTGCTGACCTCAGGACCAGCTGAGTTGATGGACACTGCATTATAAGGCTGTGCAGTTAGAAAGGGGTTGGGGACATATAATTAACAGAAGTACATAATTAAAATGTTATGAAAATTATAGTGAATCTTCCTAGTCATTGTATGTGTGCTCTTATCTTCTCAGTATTAAGAAACTATTGAAATTAGATCAGCTGAAAAATTGCTAGAGAAATATTTAACTATTTCAATATTTTATATAATAAATAAATCCTAGTGCTAAACAGAAATTTTTATTTTATGAGAGGGATTTGTTTATATTTCCAAAGATACTTGAGGTCATATAAATTTGTTTCTAATAGAAATCCTAAAGAAAAACAAAAGCATTTAATGAAATTCAGAATTTTGTTGTAAACAAAAATTTTAGCAAGGTCACTCACAAGTCTGATTACTGAAAGTATTAATAAAATGTTTATTTCATATATTTTACTTCAAGAGGGATAAACTTGTTATTTATAACAATTATTTTGGGATATTTTATTTTCTATATTTATATATTGAATTTTGAATTTGAAATAAATTTTAAAGGTTGAGCTAGTTATAGTGGCACTCGCCTTTAATCCCAGGGCTTGGGAGGTAGAGGCAGGTGGATCTCTGTGAGGTCAAGGCCAGCCTGGTCTACAGAGTGAGTTCCAGGACAGCCAGGGCTGTGAGAAATCCTGTCTCAAAAGCTGAGTGATGAATGACGTTCTATACATTATCAGTCTGTCCATATTGGACCTATGATATCTGGTAAAAACTTCTGTGGGTTCTTTGAAAGTGTTGACTTAACATTGCCTTTAGAAGACTATTTGAGAGACACAATATCTTCTAACCCTAAGGGTATTATTATACATCAAGTATAATAGCACCCAGGTATGTGAGGTCAACAGCTATGATTATATTCAGCTACTTTAATTGTGTATTGCCTTTTATCTCTTGTCTCAGGTTTAGTAAGCTGGTGAAGATGAGATGGCTGACGGATAAATGTGGCCAGTTGTTTTGTTAGAATGTTCTAATTAGCTCAGTCAAGCTAAGAAGTAACAAGATGACTTCACCCCTCCCCAAGCCCTTTCCAGTCTACTCAATGTCTATTCCTAACACTGGATTTGTCGTTTTTTTAGATGTGGAAGTTATGTACTATGACTGGATTTCTCTTTGTTTACATGGCGCCCTTATGGACTAGCAGGGTCTGTGCTTTAAATATCTCCTAACCGTCCAAACTTTAACCAAATATATGCATTCGTGTATTAACCAATTTTTTTTTGAACTTTCACATAGGGAGCACTGTTCTATGCCGCATGCAATACCACTAACATAATAGATGTAGCAAACTGACTCCTAACTCTAAACCACTTCCTAAACCAAGACCATAACTGATTTTGAGGATGGAAAGTGAATTCCATGAAGTTTGTGGATGAACTTTTAGTTTTTCTATTATATAAAAAGACCTGTATTGACATTTTATACAAATACCATAATTTTAGATTAAGCATGACTTTGTGTTTTTCTCACTGAAATAGAAATGAAAGTATTAATTTATATCAAATAATGGTTCAGTCAAATATGTTTATTGCATAAATACTTTGATTTGTTTAGAAATATAGGCATGTTTTATATTTAAAAATTAACTTTAAAAGTATAATGAGTCCACTAAGCATGGAATGAGGAGCTAGGAAGATGTTGTGTCACATGCCCTAGCGTGTTCTTGTGACTGTTGCCTCTCTGCAACACATTCCTTCTGAGGAATGACTTTTCTCCTGTAGCCCTAAGCAATAAAGGTTCTTAAGTTAGGAGTTTACAATACTGCCTTGAAGTAAGAGCTTCAAGCACACAAAGATACTACATCAAGTAAGTACACACTTTTAAAAATTTCAAAGTAAGATTTATTTTCTACTCCTGATGTTATTATAAACTTATTTTAATTATCCCAGAATCTAGATTTAGAAAAAACAAAAACAAAAACAACTATTCACTTCTATCTTGAAAATCAGTTGCTATGATAAATATCAGTCAAATATTTCTCAGAATTTTAAAAATATATTTTATTTTTCAGCAAAGATGTCAAGGAAATTAAGCTTGCCAACTGATCTAAAGCCCGATTTAGGTAAGTAGAATAAGTGTTCAAAGTAATTGAACCTTAGAATAGGAAAGTGGAGATCAGAAGATTGAAAATTATTGGAATGTAGATCACACTGTCAATGTTACAGTGACAAGATGTGCCATGATTTCACACCTTTTGAAATAGTATTTAGGATATACTCTCAGGCAGAACAAAATACATATTTATTTCCTTGCCTCTCTTGCTTTTTTCTAAATATAATTTATTAAAATTTTCTCAATTATAGATCAATTAAATTATTAACTAATTAAAATAAAACTGTTTATATCCTGCAAAAAACATCTTAAACTCTACAAACTTAATTTTATACTAGTTTAATATTTCTGAACTAGATAACTAGTTTTTCATATAGAACAAATTTCTTATTAAGCATTGTCATTGTTGACTTTGATAGTAATTTGGAAATATCTTTTATAATACTTTCATGTAGCTCATTCATTGTAGCCACACATTTTGCTTTAATCAATCTCATAACAGCTCCCCGTATTTCACATAGATGATGGAATTGCAATAGAGATAACAAGATCCATGGAGCCCAGGCAAAGCCACATTTCTCTTTAGAATCGCTGTCCCTGAAATGTCTGTTTCTTTTGATTGAAGAAGTAGTAATGAAGGATGCTTTTACTGAGCACTGCCTTTACTTTCCTGCATTACTTTTCTGGAAGCTGCCCACTCATTCCACCTCCCACTGTTATTACCTAGAGTCCTTGTCAGACTTAGGTGTTGGCCCGGGTCATCATCCTAATTTTAGCATATCTCTGCCATTTCTCTTACCTCTGTTACACTGAGACGAATCATGTGGTAATTAGTATAGTATAGGCCTATTATGTACATCAGTAGAAAATTCTGACTATAGGAAATCCAATTTAGTAGAGTTCTACAGAACCACTCTTAAAGGGGAATGAAATTAACCATAGAATACAAGCTCACTCCTGTTTCTAGAAGAGCAACATCCTTTTCTTATAAAAATGAAAATCTGCATACCATGTAGATATAGGGGTGTGTGTGTGTGTGTGTGTGTGTGTGTGTGTGTGTGTGTGTGCAAGAGAGAGAGAGAGAGAGAGAGAGAGAGAGAGAGAGAGAGAGAGAGAATTGTCAAAGAATAAGTTTAATTAAAAACATTTATGTAAAACTGTAAAAATAATATTTATAACTAAAAAATGAAAGTCATAATTTGAACCCAGGCATTTCTTAGACTTTCATTGTACATGGTTGCTCTAGAAGAGGGTCCAGAATTTTCATCACACATTTGAAGAGGCTAATGGCTTCAGTAACATTAAATATTGCCAGTTAAAAACTGACTGTGAAGCCGGGTGGTGGTGGTGGTGGTGCACGCCTTTATTCCCAGCACTCGGGAGGCAGAGGCAGGCGGATCTCTGTGAGTTCGAGGCCAGCCTGGTCTCCAAAGCGAGTTCCAGGAAAGGCGCAAAGCTACACAGAGAAACCCTGTCTTGAAAAATCCAAAAAAAAAAAAAAAACTGACTGTGAGCCTTTTAGTATCTTTAAATGTCTCCTATTCTCAAGTACTTTAAAAGTATTTAAAAGTACTTTTAAAGCTAGTAAAAGTGTGTATACATACATAAATATTCATTACAATCAACTATTTTAAAAAACATATACTATATGTCAAATTATACAAGTAATTTAGTCAATGTGTGCCCACCCTGCTTTTGTAGGCCTTAATTACTAAAATACTAAATAGTGATACTACTTTTCAAGGTGATTATGTAGATTCAACAAAAATGATAATATATAGTATTATGCTCATACCTGGTGTTTGGCAAGCCTTGCTTCATTCTAGGAATTTTCATTTCTGTTCTTCATACTAGAGCTGTTAAACATTGTCTAACAGTGCAAAACTGTTATCCCAGCTTTTAAAAGTTGAGGCAAGAAAATCAAGAGTTTGAAACCAGTCTAATCTACACGTGGAGACACTGTCTCAAACAAACAAATGAATTAGCTCTTCTATTTCATTTAGCTTGCTTACTTTCTAAAAAAAAGAAAAGGAAAAGAAAAATCAAGGTGGAGTTGTATTTCATGAACTACTGAAAATTCTCACTTGATTTGGAACAGTTCTGGGTAGATGATAGATAGGCACCTGTGTCCATCAAGGGGGAACTTAGATGTTATTCACTCTATTTTTCTCACATTGATGTAGCCTGAGGAGTTTCTTTGGTGATGTAATTTTTATAGGTAACTCATATAATAAACTGCTATATAGTTTAATATTTTGAAGTTAAATCATTCTATTAAGTTAATACATTGTATCCTCATGGCTTTGAATTAACATTTAAAATTTACATTATTGTTAATTGTCTGTAATTTTTAATAAATATGACATTTTCCACATGTTAGTTTGCTGAGGTTTGTACGACCAACTTTTCTTGTATCATTACTTTTGATTGTTATCACTAGGACACAACTAAATTTGTCTGTCATTTAGTTGTCTTGTTTAAGTAACAAAGTATATTATTATTGAAAAATACATTTAAATTCTGATTTTGAAAAGTAACTTTGGAGATTTGAAAGAGTTAATAAATTCTTATAGTCAGTATTTTTTATAAACTCATCCAGACATGTGGTATTTATTGATTACAGAAAGTTGTTTCATTTACATGAAGGACTTCAGTCATTTTTTGTGGCATAACAGGATACCCAATTCTTTATTAAAGAGTTTATTTATTAACAATTCACACTTTAAGGATTTGCTTGCTTGGCACCCTCATCTCTTGTCTCTGGTCAGGGCTTTCTGGCTACATCATTTTATGATGTATGGCATCATGGTGGGAAAGGGCGGGGGCGGGGGTCACACATGGCAGCAAGGCCAGAAGTGGGGCAGAGGTAGGAGCCAGGCTTGCTCTTTGTACTGTGGTCCTTCTTGTGTCCGTTAAGCCAGGGTTCCTGGAGAACTGTCCACATGTCTTCTGTGGGTGACGTCACAGTGCGTGTTAACCCCCCACTGGACCCTACTCTTAAAGGTTGTGTCCTATAAGAATTACCATTCTGAGGACTAGATTTCCAGCACATTCATTTTGGGGTGACACACGCATGTCTTCTCCACGCCATAGCAGACATCTTTTCCACCATGTCGTTATCTGTCATAGAAGTACAGACTTGAACGAAAGAAAGATATATTTAGTAACTGCAGTTAGATATGGCCCTGACTGTTGAAATTATAATAAGTTTAGAGGCTAGCTATCATCAAAATTGTGTTACGTAAAATTACTGGGGGTTTATTTTCAATTTGTGAATCTAAATTTGTTTGCAGGAAGCTTGTGGGAGTATAAGGATTTGGTTATACCTTTTTATATTACTAAAAATATACCTTAGAAAGCTCTGCTGTGTTTTTATTAATGACATTAAAAAAAAAAAAAAAACATTGAAAGCCATGATTTCAGAAGAGAAGTATACTAGGTGTGATAGAAATTTCTGGGAATTTTAATATATCTAATGGCACAGTTGAACAAAATGGCTTAAACTGTTGGTTATAGATCCATCTTTAGTGTTTATTGAGTAAACCTTACGAGTGAAACGCTAGAAAATTCTGCAGAGCATGACGACACCACCAGCCCTGCACTGCAGTCATCTTAGAGCAGGGACTAAGACAGGTCAGAAATGACCGTGGCACCGCTGTCCCGGGACAACTGCGGGAGAGAACAGAGCTCATGGGACCTCTGTGACTCAGGAGTCCTGAGGGACTGACTGAGATGGCCAGTGTTGCTTGATCTAAAAGGGTTGAATGCAAGGACCAGAAGGTCACAAAAGTGAAATGCAGGTTACATTTGGAAAAACTCAGAAGTCTCCATTTAGAGCCCATTGCAAACTGGAGAGGTTTAACATCGGGAGACAGAGCCAGGAAGTTAAATTAGAGGTTTGTTGAGGGTCTGGATGATTGTAGTAAGACTGAGCATGACTACATAGACAAGTGGAAGCTACTGATGGGTTTTTCTAATCACAGTGATTGAATTATAATTGTGCTGTATAAAACTGAGTTGTATCAGCAGTGACAGACTAAAGGTGGCATCATCCATCTAGGTAAATGGAGATGAGAACCTGAATTTAGAATAAAGGAACTAGATTGGTGACAGACAAAAAGAGGAAACACTATTGCCACCGAACCTGGCATCCCAGCTCTTGTGTAGGTAAACTGAAAGCATGGAAGCAGGACTGTGGCCTGAGGGTTAAGGTAACCAGAATGTCACCAATGTCAGTAGAATGGAATGCATTATTAGTGATAGGATTTCTCAGGAGACAAAGCACAGGGCGTGTCTAGTGAGCGTTTGGGGATGCAGTTCACAGAGAGATGAGGCCACAGCTTGAGATGGAATTAGAATTGAACACAAGAAGCTAGTGGAGGAAAAATAGTGTAATTTTAAAATAGATACACCTGGTGCTGGAGATGGCTTAGCGGTTAAGAGCACTGGCTGCTGTTCTAGAGGATGAGGTTCAATTCCCAGCACCCACACAGCAGCTCACAACTGTCTGTAACGCCAGTTCCAGGTATCCTATACCCTTACACAGACACACATGCAGGTAAACACCAATGCACATAGAATTAATTAAAAAATTAAAATACAGTAGCTATATTGTTATAGACAACCTTAAGTAGAGGGATGTGGCTGGCACTAAGAATGAGCCAGAACTGGTTATACATATTGAAGCCAAACTTCTTAGGTGAGTGTTGTTTCTACTCAAGGAAAATAGGGAAACTTTTCCATTGGTTTTTATGGTGCTCATGTGAACAGACTGAGAAACAGAAGTGCTTGCCCCTTCCTGCACTTCTGGGTGCAGTTTGTACACGTGAAGACTTGAAAAGATCTTTACATTTTTAGTTTTATCGAATCATAAGTCACCAAGGAGGTACCAGCTCTGTGAGAACAGTGGGTACTGACAACAGAGGTCACACATTCAGTGTTTTCTTTGAGAGCTAGTGCCTGCTCACTTCTGAAACCTATTATTTGCATTTGACATTTGAGCAAACAGGAAGTTTTATTAACATAAAAGTAAATTGTTTTTCTTTTCACCTAAAAGGACATGTGCCATAGATTTTGCTTAGGGGTAAATTTAACTACTTGACCAAATTTGTAACAACAACAACAACAAAAATATATAATATGTTATAACTAAAGCAATCCTGCATTTTAAATCTTTTCAGATGTAAAAGATAATTCCTTCAGCAGATCGAGGAGTTCAAGTGTAACCAGCATTGACAAGGAATCCCGAGAAGCTATCTCTGCTCTTCATTTTTGTGAAACTTTTACTCGCAAGGCAGACTCCTCCCCCTCCCCCTGTCTGTGGGTGGGAACGACACTGGGAACAGTGTTCATCATCACACTGAACCTTCCCCCAGGGCCCGAGCAAAGACTCCTTCAGCCAGTGATCGTGTCTCCAAGTGGTGCGTATGCCCTGATGCTGCATGTAGATGTGTGCTCCATGTGGGACATGCTCTGGCTTAATTAGCATTTACTGATCCAAGCATTGTAAAGACAAATGGTATTAGTGGCAATTTTATGTTTTAAGAAATAAATTTTCTTAGGGCTTTGGAGAAGGCTCAGCAAGTAAAATCATTTGCTCCCCAAGCCTCCTGACTTGGGTTCAGTTTCCCAGAACTCACGTGAATAGCCCAGAGCAGGTGGTACGCCTCTGTAAACCCAGCACTGCCGCCATGTCAGGGTAAGACAGAGAAATTGGCCCACTGCTCTCAGGCCAGCCAGCCTGGGCTGCACAGCACAGAGCAAAGGGAGCCCTGCCTCAGAAACAAAGGGAAGGAGAGACCCAACTCCCCAAGTTGGCCCCCCACTTCCACAGGTGCCTGCGCACACAAATTAGTTTTAATTTTCTTAAAGTAAAATCAAGTTTCTAGTTCTACATTTAAAGGAAACAGCGTATCATTGATTTATTCATCTGCAGGTCAGGTATGTGTGTGCCAAATTCATTATTTTAATTAGCTTATAAATTATGAACTATTGACATTTGTGTTTGGAGCATGTATTGATGACGTATTTTTCCAGACTCATAAATAACATGGCTTGAGTTTGGGATTTTATCAGTGACCTCATACAATTACATATTCAGTGTAGTGTGCATTCAACATATTTGTGTGTATTTAGTGTCAGAGTTAGAATAAACATATTTGCTCTGAATTTAAAAATGGAAGTGTATACTAAACTTCTACGTTCTAGGTACTATATTGAGGTTAAAAGGTGCAATCTTGAGAATGGCATTTCTGGATGCCACGGGCTGCTTAATGCCACCTGCATACGAACCCTGGAAAGAGCACATCGTTCCCGAAGAAAAAGACGAAAAGGAGAAATTGAAAAAGCGGCGACCTGTCTCAGTCTCCCCCTCCTCTTCTCAGGAAATTAGTGAAAACCAGTATGCAGTGATATGTTCTGAAAAGCAAGCAAAGGTAATCTCACTGCCAACCCAGAACTGTGCATATAAGCAGAACATTACTGAGACGTCGTTCGTGCTTCGTGGAGACATTGTAGCACTGAGCAATAGTGTCTGCCTCGCCTGCTTCTGTGCCAATGGCCACATTATGACCTTTAGGTAAGAATGAGGTCATTCCTAAACACATACAGCATTCCTGCTTGGATCACAGAATCAAATTCAGCTTGAAAACGATACTGAGTTGTTCATAGTCTTATACACTGAGTGTTGTTCGAATACTAGATGGTCTTTTAATAAAAAACCCAGAGTCAGATATCAGGGTGAAAGATGAAAGATCAGAGAATCAGAACAGCCAGCCACTAGTTCTTACCTCTACAAAATCCTCAGCCTAAAGCGAGTGAGTTCCTGTTTCCTCACGCCTTATATACCTTTCTCTGCCCTGCCATATTACTTCCTGGGATTAAAGGCGTGTGTGCTTCCCAAGCAAAGACATGAGATCTCAAGTGCTGGGATTAAAAGTGTGTGCCACCACTGCCTGACTTCTATATCTAATCTAGTGGCTGGCTCTGTCCTTTGATCCTCAGGCAAGTTTATTAGGGTATACAATATATCACCACAACTGAGAATTTATTTTCATCCAGGTAATGGTAAACAAGGATATGAGCAATGTAAACCCTGTTTTCCCTCCCTCGGCTATATAAACTAAATGATTTAATAGCCCCAGCCATGTTTCTCTTTTATTTTTTCCATCAATATTCTAGGCCAGCATTCAGAGTAGTGGTTTTCACATCGCGTCTTCATACATAGTGTCATTGTATGTTGTACCCACCCTATAAATAACTTGCTGCCTATTACTAACAAATATTTGCTTTCCCTCAAGTTTGCCAAGCTTAAGACCTCTGTTGGACGTCTACTACTTGCCCCTTACCAACATGCGGATAGCCAGGACCTTTTGCTTCACCAACAATGGACAAGCATTATACCTTGTTTCACCTACAGAAATCCAGAGACTCACCTACAGTCAAGAGACGTGTGAAAATCTTCAAGTGAGCAGCACAAGTATTAGAATTTCTATAGAACTTAAGGGTTCTCTGAGGGCCCTCATGCTGTCTGTGTCCCCTTTTCTCATGGAATGCACAGAACCTTTTTGTTTGGTTTATGATTTATCACATTATTTTATTATCTGGGTTGCATAGCATAGATTTCATGTAGGCATATAATATACTTGGGCCATACCCCCACACCCTTTGCCTTTCCTTTTCTCTGCCTGCCCCCTAATTAGTCCTGATTGTACCCTCGTGTCATCTATACATACACAGTTTTACAGATCAGTATAAAATCTAGAATCTACAAATGGGAAAAAAGACATGTAATGTTTGTCTAAGACTTAATTTGTTTACTTCAACTGTCACAGTAGATCATTGAGCTACGTTTTAGCCTCCAAACTATAAAGCTTCTAAAAGGAAATGAAAGGAAAAAAAGTTTTTTGCCACCTTGGGTTAGGCAATGGTTTCTTTGCTGCAGGCCAAAAGCATCTTTGTGTTCTAAAAACACAAATTGATAACTTCAAAGTGTAAACTTCTAATCTTCTAAACAGAGCCACATAAGAAATTAAGACAAGCCGTAACTGTATTAAAATGTTGGTAAAGCCATTTTCCAATCAAACTTTGTGTTAAAGTATATAAAGGATGTCGTCTTTTCTGTCTGCATCCCTATATCTCCTTGTCTCCATGCTCTCACAAAGACCTCAAGCTCTGTAGAGAGAGGGAATGCAGAGGGTGGGCACCACGTCTTGTTTCTGGTCTTGGTGGGAGTGAGTGGAGCATTTTCTCTACTATCACGTTGACCATGGGTTTGTCATGTGTTGAGCTGTGCTTCTAGCCACTCCCTGTTGGTAACCATTCCTCTCTCCAAACCTGCTTTTACCTCTTTTTCTGTCTGAAGAATGTTGACAGTAAGCTCAGGGAAGACTGGCATGTAAAAGCCACTCTTTCCTCTTCCTGTGGGTTTCTGAATTTTCATGTGTCAGAATGATGTTTGTGGACGTTACATGTTTATGAAAAAGGAAGTTGACCTATCTAAATGACAGTTTGTCTGGTTCCACTCAAGATGATAATTCTGAAACTGACTATGGCCATTGCTACACTGAATGCCTTGGCCTGCTGGTAGAGAATGTTCTATTAGAAGATAAACTGGTTTTCAGGCAAAGGATCAGCTCTTCTTGAATTAGATTTAAATGTTATCTTGAAAATCAAATACTGACTGGCATGGCCGTGCAATCCCAGAACTCAGAAAAAGATCTTATATTCCAGACTAGCCTGGGATACGTACCAAGAGAGTCTTGGACACAAGTTACATCTCCTTACCCTCTAGGCAGGCATACTGTCTTGGCTCTAATGCTAACAAATAATAGGTGGGAGGGGAAAACAGCAGATTCATCTTAGTAAATTGGTCTTGGAAACCTACTGTTAGAGTAAGTCAGTGTGTTTCTGCTCTGACCATTTGTAATTTCCTTATGAATTGTTGGTGAGTCATACTCAAGGGAATTGTCACCACATTACAGCATTTACAGTGGTGACCTTGGTAATTAAATGTCTGTTTCCCTGGAGCTTTAACAGTATAATTGGTTTTTATTTTAAAGGAGATGCTGGGTGAGCTCTTCACTCCTGTAGAAACGCCAGAAGCACCCAACAGGGGCTTCTTTAAAGGCCTATTTGGAGGCGGTGCACAGTCTCTCGACAGAGAAGAACTATGTAAGTTGGCTGATTTAATTTGACTTATATTCCTTTAAGACAAAAACATTCAATCCATGTAAATATTTTGTTACATGGATAAACTATGCTTACTTTTTCATACTTATCACAATAATTAATATATCCATGGTTTAACAAAAGGCATAAAATTACTTTGTCATTCTGTTCTCAATCAGGAAAATATCATTCTCAGGGAACCAAATTAGCATAACTTCAAATGGCTTAAAAAAAAAAGGTGTTCACTACTTTAAATTGGTAATCTAGAAAACATGTTCTTTATTTACATTAAATGTGACCTTTATTGTTTTATTTTTGTGATTGCCATTAATTAATGAATGTGTTACAGTTCTGCCACTTTTATAAAATAACATCGAGAAATTGACATAAAGGGGAAAGTTGGCTTTTCACATGCTGGACAAGCCTTCTCCCACTATAAGCTGTAGCCCAGCAGGATTCTACATGGTTTACAGTTCCAACCTCCATCTGGGTGAGGGAGAACAGTCTGCTGGAAGCAAAGCTTGTTGTCTCATAGCAGCTGGAAGTAGCGAGTGAGGAGTGACCAAGGTCCTACTGTCCTTGTCAATGTCAAAATAATCTGTAGCTAAAGCTTTACAAGTAACAAATTAGCAGAGTTGTTGGATAAATCAATATGCAAAACCTTAAGATGAAATCTTTATCAATTATTAGTTATATTGGTTTTCTGTCGCTGCTGTTACTCCACACATCTATTGACCTTAAAACAGCCCAGCTGGCTAGGCATCTCGACTTCAGTTTTATCTGTGAGAAATAAGCACAGTTTACCCTGGCACCACCAGCACTCTGCTCTTCACTGGGGACTCTGGGTAAGAATGGACTTCCTGGCCTTGTTCAGCTTCTGGAGGTCATCCCTATTCCATGGCTCCTTTTTGTCAGGCAAGGAAGGCAATGTCACATCTCTCTGTTTTTCTGAATCTACATCTCTCCCTGCCTACTAAAAACACTTTGCTCTTAAGGAGTCCTGTGATTTGATTGCACTCACCTAGCTGATGCAAGATAACCAGCCCAGGTCGAGGTCCTTAGCTTAATCACGTGTGAAGCCCCCTTCCTATTATAGGCTGCTATATCCTTACCTTCCAGAAACTGAAGTGTGGCCATCTTGAGGAGGGGGGCATTTTTCTATCTTGCAATAGTGATTTATTTTTAGAAAAATTGAGTTGAGTGTTAATTTCAGTAGAAAGGGGCTTGCTTTTCCACACACAAGGTGATGGATGATGGATGGGTGCAAGGATGAATGGATACATGGATGTGAGGGACTTTTCCTGGGAAGACAACATGCACATATGTGTTCTTTCCAGAAAGGGAACCCACCACAGACCAAAGTAATGATTATACCAATGTCCAACTTGGTGAATCAATGAATTTTTATTGGGAGTTACTAGTAAATAGGCCTATCAGTGAAGGGTTTCTTCCAGGAGTAAGGATGACTCAAAAGCAGCAACACAGAACAGCCCAACACAGGTGATGTCTAGAAGATCTGCAAGCCTAGAGCTCTTCACACAGCTTGCAGATAGCTGGACAGTCCTGGAGTCTCTCTCGGCAGCTCAGCTGACCATGCCCCTCCTCAGCAGGTGTTCATTCCTGTAAATCTGGAGACAGGGCTTAGAGACTCATCCAAGTTCCTGCTCTTCTAGACATGAAGTTTGTTTACCTCCCGAGTCTCATGTGCCTTGCGCTCCTTCCAGGAACATGCTTCAATTCAAGGAAACTGCTGAACAACAGCATGTATGTGTGCATGCGTGCACATATGTACATGTATACTTAATGACATTCTAATCTAAGTCCTTCCCCCACAGTGTGGCTAATGATAAATTTATATGAAGGCTCAGAGGGCTTTCACTTCTTTTCAAATTGTCCTAAAGCACAAACCAGGATAATAATTATACAAGAAAAGGAAAAGTGGAGTCAGAGTGGACAAAGTCAAACTGTCTGTATTTGCAGATAACATAATTTTAATTATGGAAGTTCCTAAGGCAACTGACCAAAAATAGATAAAGCTAATAAGCAAGTTGGCAAGGTCAAAGGATCTATGAATAATCTCTAAAAGTTACCTGTGTTTCTATATGATGGCAATGAATAATTCAAAAGGGAAATTTAGGAAACAATTCCTTTTATCTCAGCATCAAAAAAAAAGAAAAAAACTATTAGATCTCAGTGTGGTCTTGGTGTTGGGGTAGTGTAGCCTTCCTGACAGACGTGGGAAGTTCTTCCCTTTACATTATATGGGATATGTAAAGGAGTACATTATATGGTATTAGCTCTTCTTTGAAGGTCTGGTAGAATTTTGATTTATAAAATAAACCACTTAGAAAGAATTTCACTGAAGAAGTGAAAGACATTCTCACTAAAACTTGAGAATATTATTTTTAAAAAATAATAGGTAAACAGAACAGCATCTCATGTTCTTGGATTTAAAGACTATTTATCCTGCTGATGTATCAGAGCTGCTCCTCAGACCAATCTAAATCTTCCCATCAGAATCTAAACTGGATTTTTGCACAAAATAATAGTAAGATTTATGAAATGGAGGAGGTAAAGCTGACCCTTCCGTAAGCAGAGAGTCTGAAAGCAGAGGGCCAGGGGGACACACATTTCCATGGCAAAAGTTACTACAAAGCTATGATCTGTAAGATGTGGGATATTGGCATGAACATAAGCAATAGAATATGATTGAGAGTCCAAAAATAAGCCTAGAGCATTTATGCTCAATGATTTTCTCCAAGGATGCCAAGAAAATCCAAAGATGAAATAATGGACCTTTCAGCAAATAATGTTGACACAACTAGATATTCAAGTGGATAAAAACCAGCAACATGAAAATTAAGTCAAAAGAATCAAGGACTTCTACTTGAGGGTTTAAGTACAAAACTCTTGGAAGGACGTGAAATAAATCTTTGTCACCTCAGTTAGTAATTTGTTCCCCGATATTTCACCTAAGTCACAAACAAGCAGAGAATAAAAGAGGGAAATTGTAGTTCATCTATGGGAAAACTTTGTTTCAAAAAATAAATAGCAAGAAGAGAAGATGATAATTCAAATATATTGTAGGTTGTTGTTTGGCTGTTTTTTGGAGCCCGCCACCCAGCTCCCAAATAAATCACACACAGAGGCTTATTCTTAATTATGAATGTCCAGCCTTAGCTTGGCTTAGTTTCTAGCCAGCTTTCTTTAGCTTAAATTATCCCGTCTACCTTTAGACTCTGGGCTTTTCCTCTTTTCTTACTTCTGTCTTACTCTTACTCTGTGGCTTTCTGGTTGTGTAGCTGGGTAGCTGGCCCCTGATGTCCTCCTCCTCTGACTGTTAGATAATTAGCTCTCTCTTTCCAGATTTCTCCCTCAATACATTCTCTCTGCCTGCCAGCCCCACCTATCCTTTCTCCTGCCTTGCTATTGGCTAGTTCTTTATTAGACCATCAGGTGTTTTACACAGGCATAGTAACACAGCTTCATGGAGTTAAACAAATGCAACATGAACAAAAGTAACACACCTTAAAATATTCTACTACACAAATAATAGCACAAGCTGTATACAGATCATATCTGATAAAGTCTATTATCTGGAATATACAAAGAACTCATAATTCAGTAATAAGAGAATAAGTAGCCCAATTTTGAATGAGCAGAAGATTTGGATTTCTTTTGCAATATTCCTGATCAGTAATCATTAAAGATGTCCAACATCTTTGGTCATTCAGGAAACAATGTGTATCAGAAGGCATGATGACGTACCACATCATGTTAACTAGGATAGCTGCAATCAGGACACATGAGCATTGGTAGGGTGTAGAGAAGCTGTAGCTCACATTGCTGGATGAAAATGCTGCTTGCTCTTGAAAAAGCTGCCCCCTAGACCTCAGAAAGTTCAACAAGTGCCCCAACCCATATCCCAGCCATTCCATTCCTGGGCATACATGCCCAAGGGAACTGAAAATGGATGTGTACATAAACACTTTCAGAAATGTCCAAGGGAACATTACTTCTAATAAGCCAAAAAAGTAGAAACTGCCTATTGGTTAAATACAGCACAGCAAAATGTGGTATACCCATAAAATGATGCACTTTTCAGCCATAAGAAGAAATGATACTGATGTGTGTTGCTACACAGATAAACTGGGACCTTATCTTCAAGGAAAGAAGTCAGCCATGAAAGGCTACTGGCTGTGTGGATCCATTAGCCATGAGAGGCCATGGCCATGTGGATATATTTATATGGAGTATTTATAATGGGCAAATATATAGAAATAGAACAGCTGGGCAGCAGTGGCATATGCCTTTAATCTCAGCACTTGGGAGGCAGAGCCAGGCGGATGTTTGTGAGTTTGAGGCCAGCCTGGGCTACAGAGCGAGATCCAGGACAGGAACCAAAACTCTACAGAGAAACCCAATCTCGAAAAACCAGGGAAAAAAAAGAAAAGAGAGAGAATAGAGTAGTGACCATGAGTAGGCCAGGAAGAGTAGAAAGTGATAGTGACAGGCCATGTGCTTCCTTGTGAGTGGTGAAGACGTTCTGAGATTGGGCAGTATGTGAAGGGTCCTTACAGTTCAGGAAAAGAAATGTGAGCGGAAGTACAAGGGCGTATAACTGGGGTCTGCTCTCAGACTTGCCGTGATCTGGGAAGTGGTCAGGATTTGGGTACTGAAGGGAAGAGGCAAGCAAGCCCTTTAAGGAAAAAGTGTGATTTTATGTATCTGAAAAGGGAAACATTAATGGAGACAAAGAAAACATGTCTACAAATCTGGGCTACCAAAATGGAAATAGTATTTTTATAAGAAAGTGTGGGATCAGAACACTAAATTGAATGTGAAAATTAAAACTTAAGTCTTTGTGCTTAAAGTTAAAAGCTTAAAATTCATAAACTATAATATTAACAACTCAAAAAGCAATTTTAGTTACAAAATCTGCATCAGTGTGCCTACTCTCAACAATGGCTAGCTAGCCCTGATTCCCCAGATCTCTGCTGTATGAACCAGGAGAGAGTAGGATGTTTATAATGGTGCGCTATAGTTTCGCATATTTGGAAAAGCATCGAGAAAAAAATTTAAAACAGCACAATAAAGGTATGTATAAAGTTAAATAGTAATGTTCTAATTGTATTACCACATGATCCCAAACTTGTATTTTAATGCTGCCATGTGATAGGACTTTTACTAACTTTTTCTCTGTTATTCAAACCTTCCAGTTGGCGAGTCCTCCTCAGGAAGGGCCTCGAGGAGCCTTGCACAGCACATCCCGGGTCCTGGTGGGATCGAGGGTGTGAAAGGAGCAGCATCTGGAGTGGTGGGTGAATTAGCCCGAGCCAGGTTGGCCCTGGATGAGAGAGGGCAGAAGCTTGGCGACCTGGAAGAGAGAACTGCAGCTATGTTATCCAGCGCAGATTCGTTTTCCAAACATGCTCATGAGGTATGCCTAACATGTTGCCAGCCACCCAAATAGCTAGATAAAGCAAATGTCACAATGACAACATAGTGTGTCTTCTGTTGCTTCTACAAGCATATATTTTGTGAAACTGCAAGTTCCAACTTTTCCACAAGAGGGAACCATTAAGAGAACAGGGCAGTGGTTTCTGGTCTTTCTTGAAATCTGTGCATTTTGAAGGCACATGCCCACCTTAGGACCTTCATAAGCAGTGCAGAAGCTTTGTAGCTGTTTGTCAAGGACCTCAATAAAAATACTAAACTCCCTTAACTCACCAGAGTCTGCAACCACCTTAACCTAAGAAGGAACTCTGTTGTCTCCTGGATTCTTCCAGGTAGATCTAAATAACAAAAATCAGTTAGCATGTTGAAGTCTCTGTGTCTTGCAAACTAATGCATATGGAGATGTGTGGGAGACTGTGGGAGTCCAGCTCCCACCTTTTCCCGCCTATTCTAGGGTTCTTAGGAGGAGGAAAGAGGGATAAGAAAATATCAGATAGAAAGAGAGACCTGGATGACAAGAAGAAAGACAGAAACACAGGATAGCTTCAGAAGGGCCTGGATCAATACACAATGGCCTCGAAGATTTATTCAAAAGGCTTTTTATAACATACCAAGGGGAGAGGCAAAAGACTTTTCCCTTGCAAGATCAAAGCACACCGTACAGTCAAGTGTAGACCCTTTCAAACACCTGATAAACACGCCCATAGTCAAATCATCCCCTTATGCAGCCCTGCTGGGTAAATCAAGCTCACATTCTCTAACCCTGAGTAATTTGGGCCTCCTCAGAGAGGTAGTGGTTCAGCTTTAGTAAATTCTTTGACCTGAGAAACAGGGGCTGTAAAGTATAGGGATCTCTAAATGATGCTCACACGACTATATTTTGTTGACTGACACAGGGCCTTATGAAAAAATGATTTGTGGGTCTCAGAGATGGCTCATCAGGTAAGAGTGCTTACTGCTCTTGCAGAGGACCTCTGTTTGCTTCCCAGCGCCCACATGGCAGCTCACAGCCATCTGTAACTCCAGTTCCAGAAAATCAGATGCCCTTCTCTGGCTTCCTTGCAATATAAGATGGTACACATACAAAAATGCAGGCAAAAGCGCATGCATATAAAATAAAAACAAATTTTAAAAAATGTCTTTATGGGCTTAAAAGCCTTTCTGTAAGGTAAATATTATTATTTTTGCATATGTGTGCCACTCCTCCATGCTCTGGGCTGGTGACGTCTCATTTTTGCTTCCTTGACTGGCCGGCCTTTGATTCTTGCCCAGGTGAACAGTATCCAAGTTGCTTTTATAGAGAGCATCAAGTCTCTAGAGTAATAGCATTCCTTTAGTTGTTCAACCAATAACCATCTCTTCTTTGCTCGAGTTGCATGAAGGACGTAGTTCGACCTGGAAGGTGCCTGTCTGGAGCATCCCAGGGAGTTGTGAGTGCCCCCAAAGCACCTCCAGTGTAAGCAGATAGCCTTCAGCGTAGAGCAGGGGTTTTGTTGCCCCAACACAAGCACTTGCGTCCCTTTCATAGTGTCTGCACATCCCGATCGATCGACGAGGAGCACAGTTGTCTTCCTCTTCTCTAGATGCAGTTCTTAGATGTCCTTGAGAGTCTAATGAGGACAGTGCACTGAGGTGCGTTCCTGGGCTCATGAATTCAGATTGCCAGGCCTAATCCCCAGTAACCCACCATTCCGCTAACCTTGAGTAAAACCTGGAAGCCTTTTTCATAAATAAGGTTTTTTATTTAGAACATGAGGAGGAAATAATACAGGAATTGTACAGATCAATTAAAATCAAGAAAGGTGTGTCAAGTGTTGTTTAGCTCACAGCAAGGGCTTAGTAAATTTGAGATGGAGGTAGTTTTTTTCACCTTCCTTTCCCTAATTCTTTTGGTTCTAATTAGAAGCATGGCAATTGACTTATTTTGAAGTTATTCACTGAGTCACCAAACTATGTTACACATTAAAAAGAAGTTATGATACATATCAGAAACTTGAGCATCTTCTAGGATAGTTTTTTTTTTTTTTTTTTTTTTTTTTTTTTTATTAGTGAACATAGCCATTTTTCATCTAAGTAGAATAATTCTTGCTACCTTAAATAAATTGAAGTGTAATACCAGACTGGAATGTTTCAGGGTGGTATGCTTTATAGATACCAATTGTAAATAGTTTTCTAGAATTTTGAAAACATATTTTTCTTTTTTCCCCTCTTTTAGATGATGCTGAAATACAAAGATAAAAAGTGGTACCAGTTCTGACAACCAGAATCCACCAAGACCAACTTCAGCCAGAAGGAGAAGGAAATTTCCTTGTTGATGTCATTGGTATCTTTGGGAAAGATAACGTACAAGGGTTGTACACTGCTGAGGACTGTTCTATCCCAGCACAATCAAGCACTGTTTTACCTCAGTCACATGGCTTTACCTGAGAACTCACCCACGTGCAAACCGGACGGAGCATATGGTGTGTGCTGGCTGTGAGTTGACAGACGGAGAACTCAGCGGGGTCACGTTGACAGATGAAAACCACAAGGGGATGTTGAGAAGTCCTGGTGGGCTGTTCCTTGGATCATTCCTGTATTAAACTTTCATATGCCAAAAGATTTTGTGCCGTTGTATCTGCCGTCAGTGTTTGATCCGAGGTGGGGAGAGGCAATAAATCCGAAGTTCTAAGTCCGAAATGGCCATATTTGTGTTGGGACTGAATTATGAACAGCTGTCTGGACTCACTCTCTCCAGGCAGACTGGTCATCAGTATCATTAGTGAAAGCAGCGAAGTGCCCCCTTCCCTTTAGACTGTGCTGACTGGTGGGCTCTAAGTAATCAAAGATACACATAGCTTGTGTATGGGATCCTCTTCAGTTCTTGTTACTATATCTTTGTGTTCAGTTCCTCTTTTTTCAAAAGCAAAATAAGGTGATATATCACTTTTCATCATCGAAAAGTGCAGCGCATGACTGAATTGCTCATCTTCTGAGAGTTTCCATGTAGTGGCCATGCGGTGTGGAAAGTAAGAAACCCTCCATTGTGGTGAGGAGAATTCTTCAATGTCTTTTGTCCTTGTTCACATTAATTCAGCTAAAGGTAGATTTGACCAAAAGAGTTACTGGTTATATTTGTAGAAAAGTTGAAATTGGCTAAGTTTTTAATTTTGCTTGACTTTTTATAAAATGTTTAACCAAATGATGTACCCTTGCATTATTTAATTAAAATTGCTAAAACAACAATGTTTCATCATTTCAGTAAAATGCTCAGCTCCCCTTTTAAATTGTCCTTTATTTGCTAACAATTCAAGTACACTCAGGTGATGAGCCAGTTAAATCTTAGTGCACATGCTGCCGCATGGAAGACTACAAGCGTCTTTTGTCAGTAATTGTCCAAGAGTCTAGTCTAATGACCTACAAAATATCTCCTGTAGAACTACATCACACATCTGTATATATCCTTTCAAAATACTAAAAGCAAAAAAGGAAAGGAACATATGTTCATTTCAGTAACTAAGTTTTTTCTGTAATAGAGATGTGCATTAAATGGCAGAAGCCCTGAATGATTGGTTCCTGCTCTAGCGTTACAACCTAGAAAGAAAGCAGTCTCTAACACAGAGTCGGAGGCTATAATTGTGAAAGCCACAAAGGAAGAAGTGAAGGGGAAGCATGAAATTTGTATATTGTCTTCTATGAAAGTCTGTAATGACTCATTGTCCTTTAATAAGCAGAGCACAAATTGATAGGAAGCCTGCTTGTTTTCTATTCCATGTGATGCGTGACGTTCCCTGTAAGACATCTTCAGTTTCCCAGCCTCTCAGTCACCTGTTTCTCTTTCATTGATAAAATCTTTTGTTTACATTTTATAATGTGCACTACTGGATATAAAAGTTTACATCAAAGTTTATTTTAAATAGCATCAAGTAAGAATTAAATATATGTGGTAGAGAATTGATCAAGACAAAAATGTTTTATAACTACGATCATTTTTAAAAGTTTCGCAATCTGTAGAAAGTGAATAACATTTCTGTTTCGCGTCCGTGCTCCGAACGTTCGGCAGTTTACAAATTGCTTAATTTGCATTATCTATTGTCCACTAAACCCATGTCTCATGATACCTCATAGGAAGAATTGTGTCCCTTTTAAAAGGTATAGTTTTATGAATATCAATCGTCGAGAGTTTTAAAAGGGTGAAAAGTACTAAAGTAACTAGCAAACTGCTTGGCTCTGTGGAGTCCCAGCTATTTGGGTGGCTGTATTATTTGTGTATCAGATTCCTTTCTATAGTCATTTTAACTGATGTAAATAAGATGAATCAAAGTTGTAATTATTTACTAATAGAGAAGTAGATGTGTTTACCTGAGATGGATTTTATAAAGAATATCCTAATGTGTCATTTTAAATCATTTGTTTCTTTTTTTTTTAAATTAATCTACATATTGTGCACAACAAACTAACAGACTAGGATTAGAAAGTCCAGAGTATTTTTGAATAGAGAAAATGATCTTCCCAAGCTGTGCTTGATTCTGTAAATAAAACAGTCTGCAGTATGACCCAGGGGACTGACTGTGGCCTGAGATGGCCTGCCTCCCCCAACCCAGTCCTGTCTTTTCTGATGCAAAAAGAAGGAGTCACCAGCAAGCCAAAGTTTCAGGAAATCCAACAGCGGCAACAATAACAAAAGGTCGAAATAAAAAAAAAATCAGAAAATGAAAGCGTGTGTGTCTGTGTGTGTGTGTGTGTGTATGTATGTATGCTCTGTGCCCTCAGCACTGGTCACACTGAAATGTCTTTGATTCTGAAATCCAAGCATTCTGCAGTTAACGTTATTAACAGGAAGAGAGTTCTCTGTATGTACCACACACCCAATTCATTTCATTCTGCAAACTGAAATCAGTCCATGTTTGCTTAGAATACTGTTATTCAAAGTATTTCATTTCATCAAAATCTTTCTATCTGTTTGAAATATGGCGTCACCTTAACACTCGCTCGCATTTCAGTCATACTGTATTTCCAAAACTCGATTATGGATTTAAAAAACCTGTTCTTCTTGATTTGAGGTTTTCATGGAAAAATACTGCTATGTACATCTGTCATTCTGTGCGAGTAGACTGCAATTTCATCAGAATATTCCTTTAAGAAGTATTTACTTAGAACTTCTTGTCGGTTCAAGTTAGTTCAGATAGACATCTGCGTGTGCGAAACAAGCCTGAAAGTGTACATACCTTTAGGATGAAGAGGATGCTGGGAGATGGCTGAGGAATGGGGGGGGGGGGGGGGGGGATTTGTTCCAAGTTTACCGTAAGTTCTGTATTCGAATCATCTGTGCTTTGCTCAAGGCATTTCGCATGTGACATTAGTAAAGCTGTCTCCAAAGGTAATTTTTTTTTCCCTGTGGCAAAGATTTATTTTAACTTGGGGGATTTTGTTTATTTGTTTCTGCGAAATAAAGAGCACTGAACTTTAAACTTGAATTTTTCTGCAACTTTTTTAGATAATGACTTTTTATTGTCATTTTACCTGCATTTTCAGTTTAAATCAAGAGATATGTGTGTATGAAACATACCAAAATCATGAATATGCTGCTAGCTGCACCTGAAACCAGTTTTAAAACCTTTAATAGGGTTTTCTAGAGCTTTTAAAGATTAAAAACAAATGGAATGATTTGCTGTACATTCGGTGTTATTGGTCTTTGTTGGGACACTTTCCGAGCTGTTTTTACAATCACACAGTAACACGTTATATTTATACACTGCTAGAGAATATACTTTTAGTTTTAGGTGAATTTTTATAAATGTATTCTTTAATTTTAAAAATGGTGAACTTGTTAAGTCAAAGTACTTAAAAAGTATGTATATTATCCATACAAAAAGTTATGTTTTATGCTTATAGTAAGAAAAACTGGTATCTCATATCGAGATACATTTACATTTTAAAAAGTCATGCATCGCTGAAAAGTATTCACACATGACAAGAAACAATTATGTAGTTTAAAAAAAAACCCTCTGTTGAATGTTTTCAAGTATTGGTTTTATTTTGAGGGGAAATGTCCTCAAGAATAATTTCTAGAACTTTCTCTGTAGCTTCAGCTTGCTGTTGGATGCCTATCTTGGCTCTTGTTTTAATATATATATTAAAAATGGTTTTCCAGATATTTTCTTCTACCTTTTTTTAAAAATAAATTTCCAAAAATAGGAACAGAGTTTACGTATTTTTGTCAATGAAGGGTTTTTTTTTTATTTTGTAGTTTATAGAATTTGTTCCTTATCAGTTTGATACTTAATAATCTTAGGGTTTTTAATCTCCATTTACTTTGAAAAGAATACTCCTATGTGGTCAGTGTCCCTTCTGGTTTTCTGTTTGGTCTTTTTCTTTTCAGCGTTTGTTCTGGGTTGAGATGGGTGCCCAAGTGTGCTTCTGATTTGGAAATGAGTACATGGCTGCTGGGTTTTGTCCACGGCTCCTTCCTCAGGGTGACCTGCAGAGAGCTATAGGCACCGTCGCTGTCTGCCTCAGATGCTGTCAAGGTTCTGTGGACAAAACACAATTGTTTCAACTGAAAGGGGGATAGTGTACCTGAGCTTTTCTGAGGATGTTTATGATTTTAGTAACTTCCCAATGAGGAGTCTGAAGTTACTGGCCCAGTTCATTCATGAATTAGGTGCCATCTGCAGAGCTGCTTAGGGATATCCTGTGTCTGTTCCTCAGAGGACACATGAATGTACTTCTGCCAGTATTTTTCAGTGAGACCCATTGTTTCAAGTAAAACTTTTTCGTCTATAAGATAGAAATAAATAGTGTCAATTCATTGTAGGTCATTTGACTCAGGCATTTAAAACAGGTGTAGGTTAATTGCTGTGGAGCTCTATTTATGTGATTTCGGTTTTTTTTTTTTGGTTTTTCGGGACAGGGTTTTCTGTGTAGCTTTACACCTTTCCTGGAACTCGCGTTGTAGACCAGGCTGGCCTCGAACTCACAGAGATCCGCCTGCCTCTGCCTCCCGAGTGCTGGGATTAAAGGCATCGCTTTTTTTTTTTTAAATATTACCACTTGTATTAAAGACAATGTAATGAGTTTCAAACAAACTTAACACATCAATGGGAAGTAATGCAAAGATGAGAAAAAGTGACTTGATTTTTTTTTTTTTGTGTGTGTGTGTGTGTAAATAGTAATGTGATACTTTAAGTGTGCCCTCTGCTCAACATGGTAGCTAGAAATCAGGGGTTGGGGGGTGCTTTCTGGTTGCACCATTCATTCATTGTAAATGTGTTTTCAAAAAAAATTATAAAACAGACAGATTTAGCTTCCCAGCATCGTCCGCACCGAGGATGAGCATGCTTGGTCCCGAGTGCTGGCCTGTGTGTGTGAACACCGTGTGTGCTGTTCAGCTGATGAAGTCTCTCCCTGTGTTTGCTCAGTCCAGTGACTCTCTCTAAGATAATTACTGGAACATGCTTTCCAAGTACCGTTTTTTTTTTTTTAAATTATCTGTGCATTGTTTCCTTTTTTTTAAATAGCGCTATTGCGAACACTAAAAATGTCTTCAAACTTTGTAGTTATTTTGCATTCCTGTAACTTAACAGACAGAAAAATAACTGTCATCACAGCAGAAAGGTTCAAAATTAAGTAATGAAATATTTTTTTGTAAATTAATACCATTAAGCTGGTATTTTAAGAATGTATCACAACTTAATGTTTCTGGAAAATGTTCATATATATGTATATGAATGTCTGCTGAAGGGCTCTGTAATCGGGCAAAATAAAATATTCAGATCTCTCCTGAAACAAAAAAGCCCCTTTTTCTGAAAATTTGTTTTAATATTTTTCTGAGTTGTGGAGTTAACACATTAGTTGAAGAAAATAAACCTATAAAATAAATTGTCACATTTCCAAAGATATGCTTATAGGTAATTGAGACCACAGACATTGAACGAGGTAGGGTTCCTAGTGAAAGGCACCTAGACAGCCACATGGTAGGTGGGTGGAGTGGAATGCAGACAGGAGATAGATCTAGATGCATGTAAATAACCCAGGAGTCTTATTAAAATACTGATTCTGGGTCAGTACATACTAGCAGGGGGCTGACATACTAGCATGTCTCTGACAAGCTCCGACTAAAACACACTATTGGTCTGTGGAATGTCTTTTGAGTAGTGAGGATAGTGGATATTTCCATAGTTAGCATTTTCTAATTGATTTGTCGGTATCAGCGTGTAATTACTTGTACCAAAAAAGGAGCATCCAGCTAATGGATCTAGAATCAAGTCAGGGAATGCTGAGGTAATTCTCATCCTTTTTTCTGGTGATTTCTGCCTCTTACTGTGATGCACACCTGTTCCACATGGGGGCAGTCACGCCCTGAGCAAGAAATCCTTCAGTATTCAAGGGAGAACCCACAGGCTTTGCAGAGGTCTGCTTTTATGATCGTCCTTTTATCTGGAAACTTATGCACTACATCATTTTATGTTATTACACATCGATGTACATCATTTCATATTGGTCTGAATGATTATCAAATGTTTTGGTACTTTTGTTCTCAAGTAAAAATTTGAAGACAAGATTTCTTCCTATCTCTGGCCATGCCTTCGTAGGGTAACTATTTGAGTATGTCCTGTGTAAGTGGCTCAGTGTCATTCAGTGCTTTCAGAAATCTCTACGTATTATTCTGTGCCTAGGAGTATATAGGAAGATTCTAATTTTTCCCCATAGATTTAAAGATAATGCTGTTTGCATTTTCTGTTTGCAGTTTCTGTACCAAAATTAGCTGTCATGAGTGCCCTAACAGGAGCTATTAAAATGTGTGCTGCTTAGGTGAAGGCATCTCTTAAAACAAAAAGGCCTCTCTGAGTTATTTTCTGACTTTATTTTCTCTGTTTGTCTTGCCTATACTTTATGTACTAACCACTCTTAAAAGACAAAATTAAAGCAGGAAATACATTTTATAAATAAAAGCAAAGTTTCCCCAAAAAATGAATATTTGTTATCAAAGAAGTGTGAGGACTTCACATAGCATGTAGCTGGGGTTCTGAACTGATGGTGTGTACATCTTCCTGCAAATGCAGGATTCCCTGGGCTCTGTCCCTATTGACTTCCCATCTCATTCAGCTTCTTCCTTGTCAGTCCACCCCTGACTGCCAAGCCTCTCACCCTAACTCACAAATGCTCTACAGTTCACTCGATTTATCTTTGTCCATTTGGTAGAAAATACTATAAATTCCCTTTCCCAGGGACTTAAATGTTAGGTAAATTTGTAAATAATTTTTATGAACTTAATGTGCTCCCTATTGCTTGCAACATTCAGACACTCAAAAATCTATACCACTAAACCAATGAAACATGAAGGAACTGTGCCCAGACAGCATAAGAAGCAGTGGGATACAAAGCCCTGTGCCAGGGCCCACAG